GATCCCGAATATCCTAGCTAATGCAGCAATCACGCTATGCTCTTTCTCTCTCTCTTAATCCTACCCTCACACTATGGTTGTGGCCATCCGCCCTTTCCTTTTTGAGATGGGAATCTCTCGAGCTTGTAATCCTCAAACTGACTCAAAGAGCTGCCTGGGAAAGCGGCTTTTGGCCAGAATTACCTGAAAGTTAGCTAGCCTGGGAGCCTGATTTGCATGCACCGCTGTCGGATTGCGGAACGTGTTTGAGTAAATGATATTTCGCCGCTGCAGCTGCAAAACGCCCCCTCCCCCATAACTTCACACCCAAAATCCAGGATGACATCCTTCTCCCCTTGCTTGAGTGGCACGTCTTTTGTTTTAATAGGTCCCTTTTAAAAAATTTCACTTTCCAAGCAGCGAGCTTTTAAATGCGCACAGCGAGGCGGTTTCCTCGTTTTCACCTATAAAGCAGGTCAGTTCTTAGCCGATTCATTCACCCATCTCAGTAACCTTTGGAATTATCCTGGGCTCTTTTCAGAACAGCGTGTGAGCAGCATAGCAATCAGATGAGCACACCTGCTGACATGCTCTGCCAGCACTTTATGCATTATAGATACGTTCAGCCAGACAAGTCTCTACAATAGAACGGCTGTCATCTTAATGCACCAGTGGCCTCTTTTCGGGGAATGCCGTCCGGGGTTAAGGTGGGGATTAGGGCCAGAGGGAGATACCCTCGTACCAAGTCAGACTGCCGGTCCATTTAGCCCAATATCGCAGGTGTTCATTGGTGGACGCTCTCCAAGGTTTCAGGATGGGCTCTTTCCCCATAGACGGCAGGGGGTGAACCCGAGACCGTTTACAGGGGCTCAACTCATAGCTGTCAAGTGTCCCTTATTTGGCGGGAAAGTCTCTTATCCCAGCGCTGTGTCCCGCTGCTGTCCCTTAAATTTCCTGGGTTTCAAAGGAAGCAGCTCCTCTCCCTCCCTCCCTGCTGGCCAGGGAGGAGGGAGGCTCCAACTGTGTTGCTTGGCTGCGTTGCTCACCCAATAAGGAGTCTAAGAACGACAGGGGGTGGAGCTTGCATGCCTTGTGCCGATCAAATCGGCCGCGTTGCCTGGGGACTTGCCTTTGCTCAGTGCTTCCCAGCGGAGAGGTGATGGTGGTTTTCCTTGCTGCATCCCCTTTGCTGAGTTGCTGTGCTGTGGGAACCACCGCTTGAGGCTTCGTTTGGCTGCTGGCTGGGCTTTCTGCCTTTGGCTCGGAGGGGCTCAGACGTTGAACATACCTGTGCCTGGAAAATCCCTTATTTTCGAGGCTGCTGGTCCCTTATTTTCAAATCTGTAAGTTGACAGCTATGGCTCCACTCCTGGGCTACAGCTGCCCCCCCCCCAATGCTCCCACCTTAGAGTAGAGTTTGGCTCATTGTATAAATGAAGCAACTTTCAACACGCTTCAGGGCCTCTTTTGAATATAATGAGACGTTTGGGGTGGGAGAGCCTTGCAACTTTTAATCATGGAGGAGGGGCTTTCTGCTCCCCCCCAAAACCATTCATCTCTCTCATTGTTCACAGGTGATTGGACCAAGCATGAGTTTCTTGTCCGGTTGCCTTCAAAGCCCTGCACAGCCTTGCACCCTGCCTGAAACCCCATTCCAGAATACTCCATCAATGGATGGGAAGCCTTTTGCCCTCCAGATGAGGTTGGATTCCAGCTCCTGTCCTCCCTGACCATTGGGCATGCTGGCTGGGGATGAGATCATTTAGGCGCCACAGGTTCCCTGCCTCTCACCCATGTGGTTGCCTTTCTTTAACTCTCTCTTCAAAGCCTACTTTTTCCATGAAGTCTCTGACGCTTATTATTTATTATTCTTGTTGCTGTTTCACTTCCATGCGCCCTGGCAGAAAATGAGCATGTTCTATGATTTATCACCTCCTTAAGGGAAACAGACCAGGCTTTTCTCCTTTGCTTAGAAAGAGAGATCCTTTATCCCGTGTAATCTCTTTGAAAACAGGAAACATATTCTCTCTTATCAAGCCACCCCCACTTGCTCCAGAATTCTTCAGGAAAGCTCAGAAGAAGAAAAACAGATTTCAGATTGAGCCAAGGAAGAACTCACTCTTCCTTGATCCTTACTGCAAAAGTCTGAGCACCTCTCTGTTAAGGCAGTAATAGGCTGGCACTTTAAAGAGCAGCAGTTCAGGCCATGTGAAGTTCTGCTATCTGCCACTGCTGGAAGTTGGCCGCATGTCACATTTACTGAGGTCTCAGCCCTGCTTTCCTTCTACAGAGGAGGAAAGTTCGCAAGATGCAGCAGGACTGGAGTGGCGGAGATTTTACAAAGAGGCACCAGCTTGAAATCAAAAGGAAGGCCAGGCTGTAGGAAACCCCACACTATTTACTTCTTTATACATGCAAATTCCACAATCATGCAAATGTTAGAAGACAGAAAGAACAATGGTTATGGTGGAAGCTTGCAGGACCTAAAAAAACACAGCAAAGGCCAGACTGGCAGTGTGGAAGGCACTGCAGGGCTGCTGGCATGACATGAAGCAGACCTAATGTGCTACATTAATGGGGTAAAGTTATGTGACATGCGGACATGATTATCCCATGTTTGTTGGCTTGCTGAGTTAGCACACCTAGGTGGGTCCTTGTGCAGTCGTACCTTGGATCTCAAACGCTTTGGCTCCCGAACAATCAAAACCAGGAAGTGAGCTTCCTGCAGCCAATCAGAAGCCACACTTTGGTTTACCAACGTTTTGGAAGTCAAATGGACTTCGGGAACGGAGTGCGTTCGACTTCCAAGGTACGACTGTATACAAATAGAGGCTCTAATGAAATGCCACTTACAGCATAAGTACATCTTGCACTGGGGTCCTGTTCCGGAGTGCTGCATATACTCAAAATTGTGTATACTCAAAGCAGCACCTGCATGAACATCCGTAGCTTCTGGAACCAGCTGCACCCCTCCCCAGAAGACTGTGGGGCCATCTGGAACAGTGGGAGGTGGTGGGGCTGCAAGGGGAGGGGGGAAATCAATGGAAACCACCCCCCATTCACCCATGGGAGTGGAGCGAGGGCCTGCAGTGGAGTAACTCATCACCACTTGGGATCCAGCCCATTGTTTTGAACTATTTATAGCAGTCTTTCTCAACCTGTGGGTCCCCAGATGTTGTTGAACTACAACTCCCATCACCCCTAAGCTAGCAAGGCCAGAGCTCAGGGATGATGGGAGTTGTAGTCCAACAACATCTGGGGACCCACAGGTTGAGAACCGCTGATTTATAGGATTCCCTGGATGTAGACCTTAGCTAGCTTGAGAGGGACATGGCAACATTGGGACACCAACAGAAGTCAGAGGGAAGTTTAAACATTGACTTCCTGAAGGCCTATGAACTGCTGGTACACACAATTGTGAAAACACACAAACACTAAGGCGGGTGGGGATGGGTTTCAGCCACATGGCTGTGCCAATGAAAGTCAACGGAAAAAATGATTGTGCATAAACAATTACAATATGCTAATCCATGTAAAGCTATTGTAACGGATTAACGTTCGTTAACATGGCTGCTGAGGTAGTATTTGGGACTGTCAACGGTGGCAAGGCATTGGGGAAGGGAAATAGTCTCCTGACCTAAGTTTTTGTATAAAAGAAGCCTAAACACAAATTTACTTGGTGATAAAACATTACCTTTAAAGGAAATCGCTGAAAGTTTGTCCAGGCAGAGAGGGCACTTGCAAACAAAAGAATAAACAATTGGACGCTTCCCCTTGGATTGGCATCACCTTGACCATGTTGAGAGCACAACAAGGCCCCTCTATTCTGATGAATTCTAATAATAATAATAATAATAATAATAATAATAATAATAATTTATACCCCGCCACTCCGGGCGGCTCCCAAATCAAGTGTTAAAAATACAGCATTAAATATTAAAAACTTCCCTAAACAGGACTGCCTTCAGATGTCTTTTAAAGGGAAGATAGCTACTTATTTCCATTTCCTTCACATCTGAAGGGAGGGTGTTCCACAGGGCAGGCGCCACTACTGAGAAGGCCCTCTGTCTGGTTCCCTGTAACCTCACTTCTCGCAATGAGGGAACCGCCAGAAGGCCCTCGGCGCTGGATCTCAGTGTCAGGGCTGAACGATGGGGGTGGAGACGCTCTTTCAGGTATAGAATGCATTTGGGGCATACAAACAAGCAAAAGGGAAGCCCTCTTTGTAGACATCCTTATAGGGAATAACACTCAAGCAGAACTGTGCTGAGTAACCCCTCCCACTTGAACCCACATGCAGAGTGCTAATGCTTAACACTTGTACAGACTTCCACACAATCTGGAACCCTGAGCAGCCAAGGTTCTAGATCACATGGGAGTCTCCTGCCTTCCTGCAGTTATTTATGTTCTCCATGTGGATGCCAGGGGATCCACTACTGAGGGCAGCCCAGTTTCCCACGTGTATGTGCTTACTGTGAGCAGAACACCCTAACAGTAGAGACGATTTTGGGGAGTGGGTAGTCTAGGAATCCAAATGCTAGTATCTGGGCACCTTTATTTCCTTTTGCCCAAGTTTACACGTTGGACAGCAGTGGGGGAAGGGGACCAGGCCACCTAATTGCACAGATCTGCTTTGAGATATAATAGGACATTAGCAGTGGGCGCGATGCATTCGGGAAAAGCTGAAAGGCAGCCTGTCTTCATAACTTCGCATTTTACTGCAGCGTTCTTGCTTCCACCGCCCACCGCCCTCCAATTATACACATGCAATGAGTTTAGCTGGTGTCATTTTATCACTAAGCCCCAAATGTGTTCAGAACAAAAGCCATCAAGACAACTTAGCTCAAGTGCGCTGCTATTTGCAGGGAGAAAACCCATCTGAATAACTGTGATTGTTTGTACATACTATAAGCTTGGCAATAGCTTGAGGGATGAAGTTGGCTGTAGATCAACACAAAATCCCTAGGGTGATAGCCAGGATTTGTTGAAAACAGACCAGCGTATAAACTCGTACAACGTAGTAATTTTACCATATGCTCATAATTAAAAAGCTTTTTATTGCTCTAGCTCGAAGAACATTTACAGATTAGCAGGAGTATGTACAACTTCTGAAACGATCCTTTCCAAAACAGAAAAAAGGGTAGGCTTAGCCTAACTTGAGACACTGAGTGTTGAAGCTGTCGCCCTCCTTGAGAGCCACAGCCTCAAGCAGAGCCTGCTTCTTCTGCATGCTGCGAGAGGACTCGAGTTCGTACATGGTTGTCAAATTGAAAAGGACGCTCTCGTGGAGGTAGTTCCTAGGGTCCTGCTGAACCATTCCTTCCAGCTGCCGGAGGGAATCCTTCAGTTTCCCCAGATAAAGCAGACAAACTGCGGCATTGTTGTTAGCCTAGAGAAAAGGTACATTAGATTCATCCACGGAACAAAAAAAATAATGCACTTCAAGATATTAATTCTAAACACACCGTAATTTGCTCTTTCCTTCCGAGCACGCTAGAGGGTCAGTCCTTAGAATATTGTCTGTTTGCCAAAAGTCTTGCAAAGAAACTTGAAATGGAGGCCAGGCACCAGTATCACTTAAGTCCCAAGCAATACTGCTCTGCGTCATTCATTTGCTTCAATGAGATTTGCATAAAAAAACCCGACCATCCTAAAGCGCCGAGATACGTTAATGAAAGGTGCTGTTTTTGTAAAATTTACTGATTCCCGGGACCAATGACTTGCCTATGCCATGTTCATTTGTGCAACGTTAATTACAGTTTGGGGCAGCGGACTCTAGAGTAGGAATGAGGAACTGGCGGTGCTCCAGAGGTTGTTGGACTCAAAACTCCCATCAGCATGGCCCCTGAAGGATGGTGGGAGTTACAATCTAGCAACATCTGGAGGACCATTAATTCCCCATCCCTGCTCTCAAAGGATGCCGTTTTAGAAGCCTATGATTTAACTGTAAGACATATCCTACCACAGCATTGGATGGGTCAACCTTCAAAATCTCTGTGAAGAATTTGTGAGCTTCTGCAAAGTTATTCTGACCAAGATGGAGGAATGCTCTGGAATACAAGAGAAAAAGAGAGAGTGTGCTCCTTTAGAAGATTAAAGTTACTTAAGAAAACTCAAAGTAACAGAGGCATTATAAAAGGTGGTGGGTTATCCTTGCTTCCTCAGATTTCTGAGTGCTCTTGGCCACTGATCTTCATCATGTGGTCTTGATGTTACAATTTAGATTTCAGATTAAATGCATAGCGAATGTATAGCAAAGCTAAATTCTAACGATGAAAGGAATTAATGATCATTTCACATGTCATGCAGAGTGCTGCAACAATCCTAGGTCCTTGTCTAGAATACTTTACATATATGTGCTGGCTAACAGGTTTCCTGCATTAACTCTTTTTAATTTGAAATATAGTTAAAACATTTTAAGTGTACACCTAAATAATGGATGTGTGAACTGAAGAACTTCTTCCAGCCCAATTCTAAGCATATTTAATCAGCAGTAAGTAGGGATGTCAGAGAATTCCGATGAAAACAGAAAGGGAAGTGGAAACTGCCAAAGCTTTCTTATTTATCCCATGTTTGGAACGGAAATCAATCCAGCAAATACAATAGGTTTTCAGTTTGGTTGTTGCTTTCAGCCTGATAACTAATATTCCCCACTCCCATTTGCACTCTGTGTCTTTGCATTGAAATGAGTGGGATGGAATACTGCAAAGACAAATTTCTTTATGTAATTAATCACATCAATAATGTAATTTGCAAACAGCGAGACAACTAATGTAGTTTCTAGAGGAAGGCGAATTGTAGCAGAACAGAAACGCTGTTGCATAAAGCAAATACAGGGTGAAACAGAAAGCAGCGCCTTTTATACCCCTAGTAGTAAGTTATACAGAGTGAGGGATAGCTCAGTTAGTAGAGCATGAGACTGTTAATCTCAGGGCTGTGGGTTTGAGCCCCACATTGGGTGAAAAATTTCTTCATTGCACGGGGTTGGACTAGATGATCCTTGTGGTTCCTTCCAACTCTATGATTCTATGAATGGGACTTCCTTATAAGCACATATAGGATCGCAGCATTAAGCTATGCTGGAAAGTGATTTGAAGAGAAAGGTTTGGAGTGGACAAGAAATACTTTTCAAGTCAGCTCTTGTAACAAAGGAAATAGAACTCCGTCAATCTAAGATAACATGACTACACCATGTTATACAGATCTCAAGGGCTGGTAGATGCCAATCAGTCTTTCTTCTGACAGTTGTAGTTACATAAAAGAGAAATGAAGAGAAAGGGGCATTCTCTTGGGCCCCTTAATGTTCACAGTGCATTCTTTGCAAAATCATGTTTAAGATTAATTTAGCTTTTTTACATTTCCCACCTGTTCATTAAAACCATAATTTGGTTCTTCAGCCCATCCAATTTCTGAGTCACTTTCTCGACGTCTTGAAAATACTTTTCAGCCATTTTTATGTCTCCAATCTAGGTGGCACACATAAAAAAATATTATAAGAAACATTTGCTGCAATTAACAAAGCACACAAGGGAGGCATCAAAAAGGTAGGTTTTCATACAAAAATACCTTTCTGCACCGGGCGAGGGAAGAAGGAACGTACAAGGAATAAGAACAACAAGAAGGAGTCAAAAATACATGTGGCTAAGATTAGTCATTTTGCCTCAAAATCATAAGGATGCCATTCCATTAAAACATTTCACCCAGAAATTGATTCAAGATATTGTTGCAGAATCATAACTCAGAAATATTCCTTTTTTAAAAAAAGGATTAAATTGATATATGCCTTCCACAACCACAATGACTAAGGAAAGTTAGGATATGTGCTGAAATCCTGACTTACAGGAGCAGCATGTTTTTCTTTGGTTGTAGTGCAAGCTCTTACTCTTTTGTAATGACACAAATACTTCGCTCTGAATCTAGCATCAATCAGGCAAGCTTTCAGCTTTCCTGCTTCCAGATGCTTAATATCATTACTCATTTAAGGATGTACTGGTTTCTTTCTAAAAAACAAAATAAATAAAAACAAGTGGGTGATATCCAACAAAGCCATACATAAAGCAGACCTGAACTTCCTTCTTACTTAATTCCATTGACTTCAGCAGGTCTCTTCTCAATATGACTAACTGGATTATAACCTAATCGTCCCCCCAGCCCCCCACTTGAAACACTGCTCTGAATAGTGGACAGGAACGTAACTTCAGAAGGGATAGCCAATCAATGATCTGCACGTCCATCTTTTGCTGGAAGGAGGGAGAATTGCTCCTCAGCTCAATACCCTTGAGCAAGGTTGTACACATCTGATTCAAATTACGCACGACTGTGTATACCCCAAGTTTCCTGCAGCCTGATTTAGGCAGTGGCTTTCATGCAAACCATAGTTTACACAGCACGTGCCATTTATAGCATGTTCCTTCTCTTAGGTTGACCAGTTTCTTGGAAAGGGGAAGAAGTTTTTTTGCGACTGGAAAGCTCAACGTCGTCTTCAATTGATGAGGAAAAGAAAAATGAGACCACTTTCCAGTACAAGTTTTTGTGTGCAGTGAAGAAAGGAAATGAGATAGAGAGGTGTTGCCACAGAGCTTTTTTTTTGGGGGGGGGCTTGAAATGCACTGTACAATTCCCACTTTATCTTCAATGCAAGACAGGGTTGAGAGTTGTGAGTTGAAAGACTGCTGCTGGAAGGAATGAGTGATCAGGCCAAGACTGTACATCTTGTAACCCTGCCAGCAGCCCCTTGGTCATACAGTGTTTGCCTGCCAGGTTTTCTGCACAGTCCAAACAGGGAGAAAAACCAGGAGGCTTTTTTAAAGCCTCAGGCAGCCTGTCACACAAAACTATAGGGCTGCATTCAGCTTGATGAATAGTAAGCTACCTCTGCCACCCTAGAAGCAGAGAGTTCACTGTCCATCTCCTATAGCTCCCTGTACGTTTCCGAGCACAATTCAAAGTGTTGGTGCTGACCTTTAAAGCCCTAAATGGCCTCGGTCCAGTATATGTGAAGGAGCGTCTCCACCCCCATCATTCTGCCCGGACACTGAGGTCCAGCGCTGAGGGCCTTCTGGTGGTTTCCTCATTGTGAGAAGTCAAGTTACAGGGAACCAGGCAGAGGGCCTTCTCGTTAGTGGCGCCCGCCCTGTGGAACGCCCTCCCACCAGATGTCAAAGAGAACAACAACTACCAGACTTTTAGAAGACATCTGAAGGCAGCCCTGTTTAGGGAAGCTTTTAATGTTTGATGTATTACGGTATTTTAATATTTTGTTGGAAGCTGCCCAGAGTGGCTGGGAAAGCCCAGCCAGATGGGCGGGGTATAAATAATAAATAATAATAATAGTTATTATTATTATTACTACTACTACTACTATGTCCAACCCCAGGTTCCAAGTATTTTGCAGTTCTGGGAGTGTATGAAGAAGTCATTTTGCAGCAGGGCCTCTGTCCCAATATCAGCATCCACAGGTTTTTGCAAATGCTGATGGAACTTGTTTTCTCTGCAACTTAATTGTAAGAGGACTCAGGTCTGGGGCACTGGCTTCAGCACTTTTTGATGTCGAATGCTATGTACTTAAATATTCCCCGGGTGGGATTTCACTGCTGCATTACATTTTATTTAAATGGTGGTTCTCTCCCATCCTTGCCCACCACCTCAGGGAAATGCTGGGATTTACATTCTCTCTCTCTCACACACACACCCACACACCCACCCCCACCCACCAAATTTCATCAGACATGACAAGGCAAGTATCGTTTTGGAATTTAACAATGCATAAGACAGTGAAACACTGACAAGGGAGAAAAGGCAACGTCTCTGGTGCCGCCCCCCCAAACCATGTCGAGGAACAGCCGCGTTTTCAGCTGCCGCTGTTCCAAGGTTATGTAAGGCAGGCCAATAGGTTTCTCGTGCTTTGTCTTCATTTTTTTTGTGGCACTTGAAGGAAAAAGGCCCCGTTCTGACAGTAAAAACCACTAATTCAAGAATATCCAATAATCTCTCTTCCCTCAAGGCCCCCTGTAACAGCAAACACCGAGGAAGACAAGATTCCCTTCAGAGCCTGTTAACATTGCTCTTTGAATTGGACAGACAGATTGCTCCTCTGAGACACGCGCCACTCTCCTTGCATTCTCCCCAAGGTTGGGCATGTTGTCTTTGCAGCAAGCCCAGCCTCTGATGAACCTCAGAGCAAGAGAGCGTAAAAAAAAAAGGAAAAAAAAAAGAGCGTAGCCAGGAAGTGAACTCTGCTCTCTTGTGCGCTCCACTGAGACCCAGAACAGCCAGCTGCTATGGAAAGGACTTACAAGTCATCAATAAATGTAACATAAACAGGCACAAACTATTTTTTCCTAACACATCTCTACTTTATGTTTTAATAACCTTATTTGATATACTCCCAATTATTTCAATGCTTCTCCAGCTGCAGACAGCCTTCAAATACCAACCATTTAATGATGGATAGAGAGAGAGATAGCTGAGTTATTATACTTAATTCGAAAAGCTTAAAGGTAAAGGTAAAGGGACCCCTGACCATTAGGTCCAGTCGTGACCGACTGTGGGGTTGCGGCGCTCATCTCGCTTTATTGGCTGAGGGTCATGTGGCCAGCATGACTAAGCCACTTCTGGCAAACCAGAGCAGTGCACAGAAACGCCGTTTACCTTCCCGCTGGAGCGGTACCTATTTATCTACTTGCACTTTAACGTGCTTTCGAACTGCTAGGTTGGCATGAGAAGGGACCAAGCAACGGGAGCTCACCCCGTTGCGGGGATTCGAACCACCGACCTTCTGATCGGCAAGTCCTAGGCTCTCTGGTTTAACCCACAGCGCCACCCGCGTCCCTTTTCGAAAAGCTTACTGCCCGGGAAAACATACAATGGTCCCATCACGAATGGGAGTAGCAAACCACAATCTCCGACCTAAAGAGTTTGGTCTGAAGCAGAGTTCGTGGTTTGTTTCACTTCAAACAAGGCCATGATGTGAAAGCAAAGCTTGTTTGGTGTGAAACAAGCCATGATCCCCAGTTGGGATGTAAGGCCAACAATTACATTAGGGATCATGGTTTGTTGCTTCCATTCATGGAGGAGTGAAGGGTTTATTTCAAGGTATGGATTGGGTCATAGCGTGGTATGGTGACTGGCTATTGGAAAGTAGGCCTTTCCAGTGATGGTGTCTGGCTGTGGAATGCTCTCCCCAGAGAGAGGCAAATCTGGCTTCTTACTAGGCTGTCATTTTGGTGCCAAAAGGCCTTATTTTCTCAGGCTTTTTGGTCTGCTTTAGCTGCCCCATGAACACTGTTACAGTTGTACCTTGGAAGCCAAACGCCTTACTAGTCCATCGTTTTGGCTCCTGAACGCCACAAACCCAGAAGTGAGTGTTCCGGTTTGCAAACATTCTTTGGAAGCTGAATGTCCGACGCAGCTTCCAATTGCGTGCAGGAAGCTCCTGCAGCCAATCGGAAGCTGCGCCTTGGTTGTAAAAACATTTTTGGAAGCCGAACGGACAACCAAGCTACGACTGTATTGGGGAGGGAGGGAGGTTCTTTATAAATATTCTTGATGAATATTTAAATCTTGCCATTTAAGTGATAAAAAGAAACCCTGAACAACAGAAAAGGAGGGGAACAATATCCGAAGAAGAGGAATAGACTGCCTTGTCATGTACGAGTTTTATAAAGAGCTCAAACTTCAAAGTAGGATGCCCAGAACTCTTAAGCACGTGCTTCGATTCAGAGCCGCTCTGTCAATGACTGATGGGCTGTGGCTTGACAAAAGTGCAGAAGAGCAAGCTAACCATCCATGGGCAATGGAATGGGGCATCTAGGTATTCCCTCCCGCCATTGTGGTGTGGCAGATCTCTCCTCTTGGAAGACAGGAGGGGCATGGAGAGTAAAGAGCTAAAGAACAATAAGTGCCGATTGGTGCTGAAGACAACCACTAATGTTTTTTAAAGGGCTACAGCAGGACAATGGCAGAAAATTCAAGTGGCTCATGCTGGGAATCTGCCCACTATGAAACTGTGTGTTCTCTCTTTTGCACACGCTCCCACTCCCACTCACGTTCGTCTTGAGGGCCACTAGCCTGAATACTAAACTGCAAGTTGCACAATTGGAAGATTCACCCGTTTCCATGTACAGAGAGAGAAATGTGGATTATGTGTGTCACCCCATTGCAAACTGACTGGATGTACATTTAATTTATAGCAGAGGGGGGAAAATGTGTCAAGTGAGAAATGTCTCTTCAAAGCACAGCTTACCAAATATCAAGTATCATTTTAATGAGACACGGGCTTTGTTGTTTAGACTATTACATGCTCCTTTCAGCAGAGTTTGGCAGTACCGGTGGTGCCTGGTAACCTACAAACAGCATTATTATGCTCTGGATGGAATAATAATTGAAATGCTCAAGAAAGGCAAGGGAGAAAGTGTCAGGCAAATAAAGACGAGAACGTTCTTCCCAAACTTCCTTACATGCCTTATCAAGTTTTGTATTCTCAGTTGCCATTTAATTAGCCATCTCTGTTCAGACCTTTGGGTGTTAACTCGACCTTCTGAACTGTTGAGTTTCCCGTTGTACCATTTGGTTAATAACCAACATATCAAACTATATACAAGCAGGGGACTTTTATCGCACTCAAATATTTGTTCTATTGTGGTCAAGAAGGGCTGTCACTTGGGCTTTATTCAGAATCAAGTATATACCTGCAGGAAAATCCTCCCAATTCCACTCAACAGCTGAGGCTCTTGCTCCGGGTAATATTTGATGACTGTGTGATATGTCTCCACAGCAAGCACGTAGTCCTAGGGGGTAGAAAGCACACACACACACACAGATGCAAGGTCAGCAGTTGCTCTTTGCTCTATGCACGCAGCAAATGCACGATAAACAGATGGAAGCAACGTAGTTTAAAGGTAGAAAAAATAGGATGGTTGAAAACACAAGGAAAGGGTTGCCCCTGTCTATGACTAAATGCTGCTCTACTGGATTTAGCAGGGTAAGGGAAGACACTTGGATTGTACAAGAAGATGCACGACCAGGTTGAAGACCTCACCCATTACGTGAGCAATGGGACAGCTGTGAATACAAAGGAGACTTGAAATAAAACCAAAATATCTCTGCCCCCCCTCAAAGCAGAACCAAATATATCTGCCCACTAAGCAACAGCTTTGTATTTGCCAAAATCATGCACAATGGGCGTACGTGTACACACACACACACACATATCTCCTTCACCATCTTTCTGTTTGGCAAGTGAAGCCTTCTGCACAGCCAAGTCAGACTGACTGCCAATGTCCTAAAAATTCCTCTTGCTGGGAAAACAGCCACTGCTCTTATGATGAGGGAACGGCCACAATGGCTAGATGAAGGGAATTTTAAAAGGAGCTCAGGGCAAACGGATGGGGATTTAGCAAACAAGTAGGGATTCCTCCCACATTTACACTTAATGTTTTTGAAGAGATGATTGTCAAAGAATGCTTTCAGAACGTTTGTCTGCTTCCTGGGTGTGGCTTCTTGATTGATAGGTCTTGGTCTTGATTTAAATATGGATTTTTTTAAAAAAATGTACAAATAATGAAAAAAATAACTCAGCACAGAAATGACAATGCAGAGAAGCATTATACCACATCGGGCGGGGCAATATTTATTAATATTCCTAAGTCAAGACATTCCTTAGGCTCGGACCATGTTACATTAAAACACAACAAACCAATAGATACACATAGCATAACTTTAAATGCTTAACCCTGACCAAATACGAGAGATGCTACAAAGGTTCTGGGCATTTAACACAATGGCTCAACCAGTTCTATGCAACGGCTTTGACCACTAAATAACCCGTGAACCAATTCAAAGGACTCCATACACTAGCCTGCGTACAATCTAATAAAAATAATTAAATAATTTTATTATTAATACCCTGACCATCTGGCTAGGTTGTCCCAGCTTCTCTGGGCAGCTTCTGACACGCATATAAAAACATAATAAAACATCAAACTTGAAAAACTTCCCTATACAGGGCTGCCTTCAGATGTCTTCTAAAGGTTGTATAGCTATTCATCTCCTTGTCATCTGATGGGAGGGTGTTCCACAGGGTGGGTGCCACTACTGAGAAGGCCCTCTGCCTGGTTCCCTGTAGCTTTACTTCTACAGAACTGGAGGCAGAATACCTCTAACAGCTGCTGAGATCATGAATGGGGGAAGTGTTGCTGCACTTTGGTCCGGCTTGTGGGCTTCTCAGAGAAGTATCTGGTTGGCCACTGACGGAACAGGGTGCCGGACTAAATGGGTCTTTGGTTCAATCCAGCAGGGCTTGTCTAATGATTTCCATTTTCTTCTCCTGGAGCTCCTTCTGAAGGTCTGAGCTCAGGAGTAGGCTTGTGGCTAGCTGTGGTCATAAAGTCGGGAAAGGGTCTTCAAAGCCATTCTGCACTTCCAAGAGCTCCTCATTCAACGGTTTTGAATTCAGAAATTTATTCTGGCTGCTCCCTCCCCAAGGAGCCAATAAATAATTGGGTGGTATATTTAATGAAAAACAATGAAAATAAAAATCAATCTTGCCAACTCTCTTTTTCTTCACCGCCCCACAATCAAGATGCTTCCATGCTTTATCGTAGTCACACTAGACTGAGATGTGAAGCCAAAAAAACTACTGCATTTTGAAGCAGACCTGTCAAATGTTTCTGAGAAGGGGATATACCCTATCAAATAGAAGAGCAAGTTTAATGAACATTAAAATTTGACTCCATTTGAATACTATATTCAGCTGCAGGGCAGAAAGCTGGAAGTCCTTGTATTCTTCTTTATCTTTCTTCCCCTAATCTTTCTTCTCTCTCGTCTCTCAATTTCTCTTTCTTTAGGTTTTCCCTTTTCTTGTCCTTTCTTCTTTCTGCCTACGTTCTTTTTTACACTAAGTAGCTGTTTTATATCAGTGCATTATTTAAAAAATACTTTGTAATGGGTATGTATTTTTGTATATCTCTGAATAAGTATCAATAAATAAATTCTAAAAACAACTGACTAAGAGTGGCCAAAACAACTCTAAACTTCAAGGCTGATGTCAAGGACAAAATTTAAGCAGCGCTTTAGAATCCAGTTACATGGGCTTCATCCCACCGAAATTGCTGGTCTTAAGAAAATAAGTTGGGGTGCAGAATGGCAGCCCTTGCCTGTGTACTGATTTAGTCATCAATGGAACAGTTCCAGGAATTCAAGAAGGAATACAGTGGATATGACAGCCTCCAGAAGCATTTTTTCTGTTATTTGTGTGGCAACAGCAAGAGACAGGCTGTAGCCAAGTGGTATTACTGCAGCATAATTTAAGAAAGATTTATGATGTATGCCTCCTTTAAATTAGAAGACAGAGGCTCTAAATCAAGCAAGAGTCCTTAGGCATCAGTCTCAGGCCTGACTAGGTCAAGCAACTCTCCTTTCTCTGCTGTTTTGGTTTCTTGAGATCCAAATGCCAAAAAAGAGAGAGAGAAAACGAACAAGTTTCTGTCTTAAGAGTCTATTAATAGCCAGCAATATGAAAGGGAAAATAAATTTAAGCAAAAACTGAAAAGCAAACCTTTACAAGAACAGTTCAAACGTCTATGTTTTTAAATGCAGGGCAGTATTTCCAAAGTGTTTAACAATTTAAACCAGGCAAAACACACACACACACACACACACACACAAAAGTGAACTAATGTTCTCTTCACGTTTAGCTTTCTAGTAGTACTGGAAGTAAAATTGAAAGCATACGTTTTTCACTTATTTCCCACTATGAAGCAATGATCATCAGCGATATATGTAACAATTATTACATCCACTCATGACATGCACATTCCTTCTACATGTAGAACAGACTGAGTCTTGACTCAAACATGCTCTCTGATGTGGTACAGTCCTTAAATATTGGACCACTTATATGAAAAGTTGTTGTCAGCATCTGCCTCTCTAGGGAAAACCAATATATTAGGGCTTCTAGCCAAACACAAGATGAAGATACATGTGGTTGTCCCACATCGTTTCATGAGACAGTACATATTTGTAATGAGACTATACCACGTGCCTTTCCTAGACATCTGAATCAGCTGTGTGTGGTCTGGACTCCTCAAGATGCTACAATGGAGGGCAAGGGAGAATGTTTCCTTCGGAAGGCATGAGCCACCAAGAACTTGCTCATTTTTGCAAGAAAATGCCTTTGGAAATCGCAGACCCAGAGTAAGGTAAAGGGGACCCCTGACCATTAGGTCTAGTCGTGGACAACTCTGGGATTGCGGTGCTCATCTCGCTTTATTGGCCGAGGGAGCCGGCGTACAGCTTCCGGGTCATGTGGCCAGCATGACTAAGCCACTTCTGGCGAACCAGAGCAGTGCACGGAAACGCCGTTTACCTTCCCGCCAGAGTGGTACCTATTTATCTACTTGCACTTTGATGTGCTTTCGAACTGCTAGGTTGGCAGGAGCAGGGACCGAGCAACGGGAGCTCACCCCGTTGCGGGGATACGAACTGCTGACCTTCTGATCGGCAAGTCCTAGGCTCTGTGGTTTAACCCACAGCGTCACCCTTCTAGACCCAGAGTAATTGCTCCCAAATAAGCAAACTGCCTTGGCTCCGGATCCTTTCCCTTATTCTCCAGTTCTGACTTTCTTTAGACGATTCAGTTGGGAACTGCAACTCTGGGAGTGGAGCAAAGGGTTCAATCTTTCTCCCTGAACCATTTCCCCAAATTAAATCACTCCATGAAACAATCTGCCCCAGAGGGGGAAACGTACAGGTGAAAATTAATGTTCATTTGTTTTCCCCTTAATGTTACTATTTATTTATCTCAGTGCTATCAGTAAACACAAACCTCCATGCCGGTTTCATAGTTAGATGATTCTTTTGTATCTATATAGTGGGAGGAAAAGGCAAGGGTAGAATGCTCAAGAGAAAACAAGGGGGGAAATGAAGGATGGAGATATGCGCTAGTGCTGGGGAGAACTCACCTTCCAGCACTCAAACACAAAGTCTTTGTTCATGAAAAAAGAAAACAGCCAGAGTTATTTTCCAGTTAGGTTGTACTGCTGTCAGGATTACGGTGCAGAATGCAGCCTCTCAAGCATTATGGGCAAATACTGGCTATTTGTGAAATTTATGATAAACAGCCCTTTGTCAATTTATTTGTTGAATTTTATTTATTTATCTATCAGATTTCTCACCTGCCCTTCAACTTAAGGTCCCAGGGCAGGCTACAGCCAGATAATATGCAGTTACATATAGACAGAGCTGTTACAATTATAAAACAGGAGACTTCCTCCAAATGGAACAGAAGAGTAAAACTCTTCATACAAAACCCTTTGATCTGCAAGTTGGAGGGTTGATTGCAAAAATGAGGCATAACTGACTCCAAATCCCTTTCTCCATTCATTGGGGCTCCAGACTATAGTCTGTGGCCTCCTCTTCGCATTGGTATTTAAACGGCATGCCCTCATTCCAGTGTTAAGAGCTCACTCCTAACCAGTTTACGTTTGTTTTTTTTTAAAGGTGCAATACTGCTATTAATCCAGTTAATAGCAAATGCTGTTTTAATTAGACTGGTTACTTATACCTTCTCATCAATCTCCACATCATCATATTTTCCCTGTGTTCTTCATTAGAAAGAATCTATTTCCAAAATTAGTTAGAACACAAGCGCTAGAAAACAGCACTTTTTTTGGGCGGGGGGAGGGAGGGATGTCACTAGATGGTGGTATATTGCACTTTACACCGATGACAGAAGAAACAACAACCAAAAAAAATCCTAACTTTATTACACGTGAAATCAAAGCTGACAACTAAATGATTTATTTGAAAGCATGAAAAGTAAAATAAAAATAAAAATGCGCCCAATTCTTGTAAACAAACACTCTTAATTATCTGTACTCATGTGATTTTAATTTTTACCTGTGTGATTTTGTGATTAATTTTCATTATGAAAATTAAGGCGAATGCTTTTATAGCAACCCCAAATTACACATTACGTTAACTGGATTTCTTCATTAACTACATTTTTTGAAAGGGGAAAATATGTAAGGGGAGGGCAAGCTTATTTCTCCCCCTCCCTTATTCTAAAAGGCACATGGTTCAACACTGTATAAATCCGCGGCGTTTGCAGAAGTGCAAATGCGCATGGATGGGGATACATGACTTATGAACGTGGCGCCACGCTGCGTGTCAGATGTGAATTGGGAGCGTGACTATTCCACAAATGGCAGATAACGCTGTTGATTCAGCGGGGTTGGGATACTTGTTTACAGCAGGGCAGGGCGCAGCTCTGCGATTCCAAAATGAGACAAACAAGCCATGTTCCCACTGTGGCTCACGCTCCCCACCATAGGGATGCATCTGTGGAGAAGGCACGCCATGTTCTAGAGAGCACCTTTCTCAAGGAATTTTGGTGCACCTGATGGGACACTTCCTCTCAGTCCATTGCATCAAGAGATGGCTTGCTGCAAGCTGTGGGAAGCTTTGGGGGGGAGGCGAGGGAAAACCGAAATTAAACGTCCTACCAAGCAACAAAGCCCCGCAGTTTCCCTGGATTGTGGCCACAGCCTTGAAATCCAATTTCCTTCCTTGAAATTAGTATGTGAACATTGCTCTCGGCGGAAGAATCTTCCATGGAAATGAATGCCTGAGCTGGGAAGTGCAGACAGCAATATTCGACGGGCAAGTTGCGAGAAATTTTTTAACAAGGGCTTAACGCTTGAACACAACGCTGCCAAGGCAGAGATCGGAATTCTCAAAATGGTCTTGGAAGGCTGTGTTTAGAGATGGCTGTTTATGCAAACCATGATTGCATTTGGATCTAAGACTGAGTTGCGGTGCTTCAAAAGAATTATAAAGAAGGGGGGAAAGTAAAACAAACAGATGGCCAGCCGCTACTAAAGGGAGATGATACAAGAAAGATTTAATACAAAGAAGAGGAGCAAGGGTTGAATGCAGAAACAAAGACGTCTATACAACCTGTGTATTTTAAAAAGGAGTATTTTAAAAGGGATCTTACTTTTGCACTTTATTATCATTAAAATGCTAAAACAACACTTTCCTTGTTTTTTAAATGATTTCTTGTTGCTATGATCTTCAGACTATTACAGCATACTGTTGCTATTTCCTGCCTAGAACAAAGCATCTTTTCCTCTTATCACTGTTAATCACCTACGTGGTACCACTGCTCTGCCAAGTATGCTAAAAAAAAAGTTTTCCCCCTCACCAGGTCTTTTATTATTTGACTTCCATTTGACAGATATATTGGATTTGAACCTGTCTCCAGCAGTCAGAGTTCACAGTATTCTTTGCCTCTACAAAAACCAACTTCTCATAGAGTTTCTTGACGATTACTATCACTCCTTCAGTAAACAAAAGCTTGTCCATTTCAAATAAAACACTGACATTGCCAGCGTTCAATAGGAAGGAATTCATAAACGCAAGCTGGTTTGAAATGCAGCTGTGTGTGAGAAGGTACGTGGCAATCTCTTTGTGGGGAATGGCCTCTCATGCTGTTCCAGTAATCTCAATAATGGCATGGTAAACCCCAATTGATTGATTGATTGATTGAATGCATGCATTTTGCACTGGCTAAGAACCAGTGGGGACGTGGGTGACGCTGTGGGTTAAACCACAGAGCCTAGGACTTGCCGATCAGAAGGTCAGTGGTTCGTATCCCCGCAACGGGGTGAGCTCCCATTGCTCGGTCCCTGCTCCTGCCAACCTAGCAGTTCGAAAGCACCTCAAAGTGCAAGTAGATAAATAGGTACCTCTCCGGTGGGAAGGTAAACGGCGTTTCCGTGCACTGTTCTGGTTTGCCAGAAGCGGCTTAGTCATGCTGGCCACATGACCCGGAAGCTGTACGCCAGCTCCCTCGGCCAATAAAGCGAGATGAGCGCCGCAACCCCAGAGTCGGTCACGACTGGGCCTAATGGTCAGAGGTCCCTTTACCTTTACCTTTAAGAACCACATATAGTGCTGCTTCACACAAATGGTTTGTTGTACAGTGTTATCCCCAAGTTGGTTTCGGTCATGTTATTTGCGTATACTGCTTCTCTGCATGTGCCGCAAATAAAATGGTTCATAGCAAAGTCCAAGGAGTCTCCAAGTGATGCAAACAGCTTGTTGAATGGGGCTACTTTCAAGTGACGCAAAGGGTTTGTTTCATGTTGCCAACTCCAAATGATTACGTTTCATGTTGCAGCCCTGCTGACTTTTGTGCATATGGATTGCATTTAAGGATTGTCTGTTAAATGCGCATGCCAGGTTCTAGAAGCGATGCAATTTATCACGATAATTAACAAAATACAGGAGCCCAGCCTTTTCAATCATTAAAAATTTCTCACTCTGACTTGCAAAATTATCCTTCCGCCATTCTGAGATTTACAAAATCTGCTCAAGCTGCGTGAGTTGGCACGTTAGCCATTGGAAAACAGGCCAGCTATTTTCTCAGGACGGGTTCAAATGCTGCAAAACTGTCTGTACAGGGATCATAGATCCAGTAGAGAGGAAGAAACTGAACGCAACTCACAACAGAGCACGGCACGTGAATGGCTGCTGGGGAAACAAAGCTTTCCTTCATCTTTCCACGCAGAAATGTTCTGGGTGAAGGTGTTGAGAGCTAGCTCTTAAGAGTTGCATTAAATCAAGACGCCGGCCTTCTTTGGACACGTGGACTGATTTCAGCCTTTTGAAAAAAGGAAACCAGGAGAACAAGGCCTGGGAAATTAAATTTACTCAACCACGTAGAGATCTCAGTTTTGGAAGGACCTGAATTAGCTCAAAGGTATTTATTAATACTTGCCAACCTAGCAGTTCGAAAGCACGTCAAAGTGCAAGTAGATAAATAGGTACCGCTCCAGCGGGAAGGTAAACGGCGTTTCCGTGCGCTGCTCTGGTACGCCAGAAGCGGCTTAGTCATGCTGGCCACATGACCCGGAAGCTGTATGCCGGCTCCCTCGGCCAATAAAGTGAGATGAGCGCCGCAACCCCAGAGTCAGTCACGACTGGACCTAATGGTCAGGGGTCCCTTTACCTTTACCTTATTTATTAATAGTCGTCGTAACAAAAGGATCTGAAAACTCTTGAGTTAGTAAGCCACAAGGGAATCAGTGTCATGGCATCATAGAGTTGGAAGGGACCCTGAGTAGTATTTAAACACATTTAAATACTACATGTCAAGTCTGAAACCCGTGGCATCGTCAAGAAGAAGAAGAAGAAGAGTTTTGGATTTGATATCCTGCCTTTCACTCCCTTTAAGGAGTCTCAAAGCGGCTAACATTCTCCTTTCCCTTCCTCCCCCACAACAAACACTCTGTGAGGTGAGTGGGGCTGAGAGACTTCAAAGAAGTGTGACTGGCCCAAGGTCACCCAGCAGCTGCATGTGGAGGAGCGGAGACGCGAACCCGGTTCCCCAGATTACGAGACTACCGCTCTTAACCACTACACCACACTGGCTCACTGGTCAACAAGTGGAAGTAGAACAAACGTAAACACCAGGCATGAAAAAGGGAGTGAGAAGGCATGAAACTGACGTTGGTCATAGCAGGTTGGAAATCCAGCCATAAAAATGTATATTCTGCCTCGTTCTTGCATGGCTGCTTAAAGTGATTTCAGCAGGTGCATCCGGCTTACACCCCACGTAACGGCAAGCAGTGATCTAACTCATCCTCAGCCTCACTGAGAACCTACTCGAGTATATATGGTAACCCACCTACCTTCATCATTAGCAGACAGTTTGCTGTAGAGTACATCACCCGGCCCAGACGTGACCTCCACAGCTGAACGGAGGCTGTAAAATGAGAGCAGCTTGTGAATGTGCACAAATAAATTAGAAGCTCTTTCCCTAGCCATCAATTATCAGTCATATGCGTTCTGATTTAAATGATTTCCCCTCGTTAACACCGCTGCATCTCGAGCGCAGTATTGCTAGCATTCTGCTAGCATTGCACGGAAAAACCCTGCACCCTCTCGATAGCGCGAGGCTTGATTGGCGAGAGGAACAGACTGCCGGAATAAATGAAGCAATAACGCAAAGCTGGGAAACGACCTCTCAGGTTTTAGCTCAGGCAAGGAAGCATCCATTTTTTCCCCGACAGCAGAACAAAAGGCGGAGAGGGAAAGGGAAAGGGAAAGGGTGCTCAGTTATCGCAAGCATTAGTTTACAACTGTGTCATTAAAAGCTTTAAAATCTACACTGCTCAGTTCCTTCAAAACTGACCAGCAATTCTTTTAAAAAAACTGAATTTGCAACCAGAGCATGAATGTTGAAGGGCTGTCTTGGTCTGGGGTCCTGCACTATTGCCTCTGGCGTATGAGATGCTGCCGAGCCGGTCTGACACCCCTACGCTACTGGAACACATGGGGTTTAAAGGCTGCTGCATATTATAGCAGCAGCAGCAGCCGATCTCTCGCTCCCTTCGCTTGCAGACAGGTTCCTGCTGTGTGAAAAGGAATGGCTCACATTGATTGTTCGCTGCTTAAAGGGATCCGAGAGTCGCAAAGCCAACTAACAGAGCCTCTCCTGTTACAAAATGAGCGCTGGGGTAAAGGGTGTGTGTGTGTGTGGGGGGGGAATGGTTTCTAATTTGTAGTTAAATATGTCCAGGGCTGCAATCCGAAGCGCACTTAAGAGGACGTTCTGCGAGACCCACTTCTGATGCAGAGGATCAGGCTGCCAATTTAATTGCTTTCAGGGTGGAGGTGATGACGATGTGCCCATGATTGTGGTTATCACTCAGAAGGAGCATCGCAAGGAGAGGAAGCGAGAAAGAAAGGTGCAATAGAATTGCCGGAATGGCAAGGAAATGTGCCCCAATTTTCCTGTCTGACACAGTATGCTCTTTTTATTGCTGCAAACCTTGGCTGGTGTTTTTTTTTTTTTTTTTTTAACTCCTTATTAATAGCCACATCCAGGACTAGCAGAGAGTTATTCATTTAGATTAGTTCAAATGAATGCCCTGCCCAACCTTTAAAACTCAAGCCAGCATTCACCATTAAAAAATAATAATTATGTGTGTTTCTATCATAGGAGCCAACTCCTGGGGGCGGAGGTCCCTTCACGCCCCCCCCAAATATTTGAGGTCCCTCGAGTTGATGGGCATTGCCATTCAAAGATGTGTGTGTGCCATGTCATGTGATCGATTATGTGCATCGGGGCTTACCTACCTACCCCCCCAATATTTTATTCAAGTTGGCACCCCTGGTTTCTATTATATGCATATGTGTGAGTACATGTGGGCATGGATGCACATTACACTGCCCCCCCCTGCATATCCTCACTCCTGACCTAGAAAGCCCAAGAGCAAAAATTGCACATTATGTGGATGTTATCCTTTCCCCTACAGATGATGCAAAGCTGTCCAAAACCCACCAATGCTTCCTACGGCTGCTTGGTATCAGTGGAAGTGAAGCAGGTCCAATATCAGGTTGAGCAAACCTATATAAGATGCATTATTACAATTAAAATAAGCTCTTTTTTTTAAATAAGAGCAAAGCTATGCAGAATGTGTTCATTTTTATTTGTAACCACTGTCATATTATGGCTGCATCCCTTTTGTGCATTTTTTGTTGCTCTGGGAACTGTGTGCTGTGGAGCACCTGTAGGACTTGATGCCTTGCAAAAGAAGGAGGAGGAGGAGGAGGAGGAGGAGGAGGAGAAGGAGGGAATGGAAGCAATGCACTGCCAGGAAAATGGTGCAATGCTAAATCTTTTTCCTCCCACTGAACAAATGGCAAATGTGATGTCCTGCCCTGTTCTGCAACAAGCTGGTTTGTGCAACACCTACTTAAGAGCAGCAGTAGGGAAATTATGCTGCAGATCTAATCCCGGAAAGAACTGAGGCTTGTTTCCAGTCACAGTTCACAAGGCAAAAAATAAAGGTTTGCCTCAGCTGGAGCGCGCACAAAAACAGATAGAGAAAGTTTCCTGCAGCTCAAAACTGCACCAGAGGCCCTTGCAGAGAGCAGATCTGATTGACCTACTCTGGAAGAGATGCCAATAGTCCCCACAAGTGTCCTCTGGGCAGCATTAGGCAGACAGGCAGCTGTAATGCTGCCGCACTCCACGCGCATAACAACCTCTCACAGATGCTCAAAAGCCCCCCTCCTCCCCTAAAGATTCTGCTGGCTGCCTCTCCTTCCCAGCCTCCGCCGAGCTCAGCTGAGCTCTGAAAAGCAGCTGCGCCAAAGGAGAGCGAGAGCAGGCAGACAGAAACCATCATACCGGAGGGTGGGGAGCAGAGGGAAGGACCACAGGGCGCAACTAGGAGAGGAGTTGTAGCTGGCGGGGAAACAATGCAAAATTATTTGGAGCCAGGTTGGTTAAACACAGTGAAATGGGAAGCACCACCCCAATATTTAATGGTTCCCCCTCTCAAGTAGTTTTGAGGCTTTGCAGCTATAGGTTTCTTTGTGTGGATTAGAATGGGCTTTACTTAACCAGCCCTAGATTGCTCTGAAAACGAACACCCCATAGCCACCAACACTAGCAAGCTTTGCCTGAATGGCTACTTCCATTGCAGTCAGGACTCAAGATGCAAAAAAACCCACTGGTTTCCCTTATCTTGCAGTCATACCCTTAACCCCCTAATTCTAGATGGGTAGTGGCTAGCTATAATTATTTGATAAAAGAAAGGCAACATTCAGAACCGCTCTCTCATTACATCTTACGTTCTACGAGCTGAAGAAAAGTCACTGGAAACAGAGCCATTTCTACACTGGGGTGTCGTAACATTGCTGAAGAATTTTTATTTCCCACCCCACCCACACATTTCTCCCTAGCTCTGCCATTGTCAATACAATGAGGACAGGGAGGGGTGTCCTTGTTAAAAGTTGTATGAGGGCATTAGTGTATTTTGGTCAAAGTAATACCAGAGAGAGAGCGGACAAATGTTTTATCGTGTTTTTAATAAACTATTGAGACCTTTGTATCAGTTTAATTCTTCATCCAGTTCTTTATGATCCCAGTTCATTCTTGAGTTCTATACCCCAAGAAAGCGTCACACTTCCACCACGGTGCTTGGGTTGTCTACCTCGTAATAAGTACCCTGCCTCTGGCTGATTCAAGCTCACAAAGACTGGCTGGACCTTCAATTACTCGATGTAACAGGAGGAAGACTAGATTTATATGCAGGCAATTCAAGGGAGCGTGCCAAATTCAACCTAGCCTGCCTGGACCCAGGTGGCTTTCTGACGGTATGGAACTAGTCAAGAGACCTAAAATAAACTTTGCTAAGGGCACAGCACAACAGAAATTCGTCAAGTACTGTATGTCAATTATCTTAAATGAAAAAAAGAAGTTTGGCTTTTAACCAGGCATCAGTGAACAGAAAGACTCCTTCTGTTCATAGGTGGGACCAAGATCCAGCACAGCATCCTTACATATGATCAATTATGTGGGGGTGGGGCTTACCTCCCCCCCCCCCACAAAAAATATTTTATTCAAGTTGACACCCCTGCAAGGATCACAGGGTGGTCTACAATACTAAAACACAAAACATAGTAACAAATAAAAACATCACTCCCCCCTTTCCACTCTTGGGGAAATATGGGCAAAGTAGAAGCCCTGCAAAAAAATTAAATATGACATTGTAGGGTGGAAAAGCCTTAAAAAAACCAACAACCCACCGGGCAACTGACAGCTTAGAGGCCAAGCCACGGGTTCAAACAAGAACCTCAAATGTCAGGAAGAGAGCCTTATGGGGACAATGGGCTGAGTTTTAAGACTAAATGCTCCTTTGGTTTCTAAGCACCGCACTGCTATTATCATAAATCTGTCATTCTAGAATGGCAGCGATTTTCCTTTTTTTGAAACCGGAGAGAAGATTGTGATTTAATGCATCGCCACGATCAAAAATAAAAAGCAAATCTGCGAAATGATTCCCAGCAATCAAAATACAGGGGTGCATCATTTTAAAGGCTGTACGAGCGACAATGCCACTGTTTTAACAGCTACAGAGCAATCTTGTGAGAACTTCTGACAGTATTTGGGCAAGTGATAAAAATACACCGACTGTGGAAGAAAAGGCTTCAGGGGTTGTGCCTACCTTGCCTGTTCTCTTGGGTAATGTTAGTCATGCTTCCATCTTCTGCAAAGCCACATTCCAAGTTATCCAGTATCTGCAATGAATATTTTTTTAAGCAACTTTGTTGAGTTTGAACACCATTCCACAGTGAAAGCAAATATTTGTAAACTGAAATCAGTCACGGTCACCATATTCAAAGATTCAAACAGGGCTCCCCACCCCATGGGAGCAACTTTTGAAATCACCAATCTATTGGAAGTAATAGGAATCACCCTTCAAATCAATTAAGAAGAAAAAGAGAGAATGCTTTCATACTGCTGCTTGGCTGAAATGACATACACCCAAGAGTTAATATTCTGTGGACAAATGCCAGCTCCCTCAGCCTGAAAGAGAGATGAGCGCCGCAACCCCATAGCCACCTTTGACTGGACTTAACCGTCCAGGGGTCCTTTACCCTTTACCTTATTCCGAACATAACTGGAGAAAAACACGTTAGGCAGGACATCAATTATTTCCTTCAGGGGAGGGTTATTAGCCTGTACAAAATGAAAGCAGTGCAACACAAACTGAAGCAAGCATGTTCAGTGTTGTGAGCTGCTTTGAGGACTGTATATATCCACTAAACGAATTTGTCATCCGTGGAGCCAGTCATTGCTCACCGGTGACGACAGGCCAGCGAGGGCTTCCCATTTGGGCTGCCTGCCAGTGACTGAGACTGTGCCTGCCACAAGACATGGTTGGTGGGCTTCAATCAGACAGGCGGGTGACACCATTGTGCAGGCAGAGTGTTTGGTTCTAGACAAAGGAGATCAGGGTCCAAAGAGCTGGTCAGCAATGAAACCCTGTAACTGGTATGGGGCCAGTCACAGCCTAAGCCAGCTCCCAAGACTGTTGGGAGGATAAACTGGGATCATGCCCGTGTACGCCAGCTTGGGACTACTTGGACGAAGTGAGAGATATGTGGACATATGGAGATGAAGCCAGAGCTCACCGAGCCCAGTATTGCAGCAGAGTTGTCGGGCAGAGAGCTTTCTGAACACTTGAAGAGATGCAAGGGACTGAATCCAAGATATTCTGCATGCTAATGTACATGCTGGCCCCTTTCCTGCAATAGGTTGGATCTGACATTATCTTTCCATTCACAAAAGGGACAGCAATTCAGTGGAGGCACTCACTGGTGGAAAGAGGGGTGGGGAAGCCACTCTTGCTGATTCCCCCGGAAGCCCCCTTCTACAGTTTGAGGTACTTCCAACCATCTGGAGCAGTTGTTGAGGAAGGCACAGGGGACTGGTGGGAGAAAGCAACCGAGAAGCATGCTGCAAGTGAAGGCCCCTTCATGGAAACTCTGGATCTGAGCCAATGCAATAAAATAAATAAAATACAAGCTGATTCCAAAAGAGGTGTTAAAAACAACCACCACCACCTAACCCAAATGTTCTCTCTCTTTGGTAGTTTTATAGCTTCTGGCAGGGGTTTCATTCCTAGTTAAACAATGATCTATCCTGTATCACATACATTTTCTTTCAGAACGATTTCTGTGATTAAAATGAAGTCTGGGCAAGCTAAAATAAAGATGGCTGTGATGATCTGGAAAATTATTTGGGCTGCTAGCTCTGAATGGTTTTGTGCCTGAAATTATAAATCAAACCTCCCATCTGCATGGAAGAAGATCTTTGGTTCCCTCCGTGACGCCTCAAATACCATCACTCCTAAAATCATGATTTGTAGCATCCTTTGGCCTAAGAGAACTAAATGAGACTCATTCCAGAGCACTTGTACTTTAATTAGCTAGTCGTTTCTGCTGATCAGCAAATATAAGGGACTCCCTCTCCTGGGGACAGAGTGCACTGTTTCGGTGCTGATTTCGGCTCCTGCTGGCTGAGAGACGGAAGGCCCCAGCTGCAATTTGCATTTAAAGCCCCATCATCCCACTTTAATCAGTCATGGCTTCCCCCAAAGAATCATGGGAACTGTGGTTCATTAAAGGTGCTGAGAGAGGGATGAGCGTGTAGATTCCTTTGACTTCATTGTGGCTGAAATGTAGCTTGAAAGGAATGTGGCCTTTGGGTCTGAAACGGTTTCCCCACCCTTGTCGTGGAACTTCATCTCGTCACCTCTCTTGGACATGATTCTTCAGACATCTTCCCTGCAATCAGTTACAGGACAGGTATCTGCCCACAGCTTCCACAACAAAGGCAGGGGCAAAGTGTTCACTCAGTTTCTCCTCATCCTCCTCTGTCACTCCTTTGATGTGTGAGGGCCCAACCATCTCCTTACTCATTTCCTGATGTTCTTAGAAGACATTTTCACTGTGGGGTTTAGCAATATTGTCTTCCTCTTCTTTCACTTGCCTTTACCACCAGCTTACATTTGCCAGGAATTTATTTTCCTTTCTGCTCTTCCCATTTGGGCAAAGCTTCCATCTTCTGAAAGAAGACTTCTTTTTTTTTTAATTTTAAGGTCACACATACATTATTACAAGTGTTAGAAAAGGTTCTCTGTGTTGCTTCATGAAAGTGTTCCTGGCATTTTGATGAAATATAGAACTGTGCCTTTGTTCCTAGGATGAATTTTAGATGGTGCATCTTTTCTGTTGAGTAAATATGTAGCCTATAGGCATTATCAGGACAAAACACATGGGAAGATGAGAATTGAATATTCTACACTTCAGGAGACTCGGCCTTGCTTTTTTATATATTTGTAAGGCATTTTTTAAAGCTCTTAGTTGTGTTTTTTTTGTTTGGACCACTGGCCTGCCTAACATAAATCAATATACTTTTGTACAGGGGAGCCAGTGTAGTAGGGAATTGTCTTCAGGCAAACAAAAACTGCACTGTGGATGTTAATTTATTTCTCCCTCCACCCCCATTCATCTCTGCGAAAATGTTCGTTCGAAAATCTAGCTGGGACCACTTAAAGACTGACACTGGTGAAAGAAGGCATTCACCTTGAGACATATGGGGGGGCGGTAGGATGTAAAAAGAAAAAGAAAAAAAAGAAACTGCAAGTTTGAATTTGGTCCAGTAAGACCCCCAAACTCTCCAATGATGATTTTGGCACAAGATTTGCTGTTTGCAGAAGAGCAGTGTTTAGCCAGGGTTCCAGCTAGTTTTTAAATATGCTGGTGCAGACAGATTAGCTTTTCCATTTTCCTTGCCATGTTGAATGGAAGCAGTGAACTGAACCACTTGAAATTACACACTTGCTGGTTCTCACGGTGAGACTTGCCAGGGATGGGGAAGCTGTGGCCCTCCAGCTATTGCTGGACTACAATTCCAATCACCCCCAATCATTAGCCATGCTGTCTGGTGCAGATGGGAGTCGTAGTTCAGTCGCATCAGGAAGGCCACAGGCTCTCCAACTGCAGCAAAGTCTTTCCCATCCCTCTTGCATGCATATGTGTGAATTTGAGCTGTGATGATTAGCCTCTCCTGATAAGAATAGCACCAGTATTCTGTGCTCTGGTAACCTCTAGAGGCAAACTAAGGTCTGGGGGCCGGATCCAGCCCAATCGCCTTCTAAATCCGGCCCGCAGATGGTCTGGGAATCAGCGTGTTTTTACATGAGTAGAATGTGTCCCTTTATTTACAATGCATCTCTGGGTTATTCGTGGGGCATAGGAATTTGTTTATTTCCCCCCCCCCCCAATATAGTCCGCCTGCCCCTCAAGGTCTGAGGGACAGTTTGCTGTAGTGCGGTGTAATGTGGTGTAGTGGTTAACAGCGGTAGACTCGTAATCTGGGGAACCGGGTTCGCGTCTCCACTCCTCCACATGCAGCTGCTGGGTGACCTTGGGCTAGTCACACTTCTCTGAAGTCTCTCAGCCCCACTCACCTCACAGAGTGTTTGTTGTGGGGGAGGAAGGGAAAAGGAGAATGCTAGCCGCTTTGAGACTCCTTAAAGGGAGTGAAAGGCGGGATATCAAATCCAAACCCTTCTTCTTCTCTAGAGGTTAGACTACTGCCATATTTTACATGTGGGATTGCCTTTGAAATCAGCAAGAAGGCAACCAAAATCATCAGAAAATTGAGGTACCTTCCATAGGAGAAAAGGGACATTTTAATATTGAGGAAAAAGAGGACTAAGAGGGGACAAGGCAAAAGGTCTTATTCAGTGTAGTGCTACACAGGATAAGCACAGAACAAGGTCTGCTTGTGCAGTGAGACGTCCCTGACTCCGGCACCTGTGCCCCCTGGAACGTGTTCTGGGTCTTTTCCCAACCTTCCAGAGAAGATTTAGGGGATGCAGAGAGAGGAGAGGGGGGAAAGTCCCGTTGTGCAGGCAGACCTTGTTCTGTGTATGCTGCAACTTAGCTGCATCTTGTCCAAATACTTGATATGGAAAAGTTTACAGAGAAAAGGTCCCTCCTTTTATCATCATACTAGAACTCAGTGAATTTATTGGCAGCAGATTGAAGGAAGTCAAAATAAAATACTCTTCACACAATACAGCCGACTGATGGAATGGTGGTGGCCACCACCTTAGATGTCTTTAAAAGGGGTCAGACACATTCATGGAAGTTGGGCCTATCAGTGATTAAGTAGCCTCCATGTTCAGTGAAAGGACGGCCCTGAGCAAAAGCGGCTGGGGACCAACCAGAGGAGATGCCTATAGCCTTCATGGCCTGCTTAAGGATTTGATGGAGTCATCTGCTTGGCCTCTGTGAATGAGGCAAGACTTTTGGTCAGATCCAGCTGGATTGTTCTCATATCCAGGATCGGGTTTGTTGGGTTTGATGAAAACAAAAATTACCAGCATCTTATTAAATGAGAAGATTGATATGTTTTAAAGTAGGATACATTGCTAACATTTAACTCTGGATATTGCCACCCTCCAAGGTTTGTTTGTTTGTCTGTCACATTACTAGGCTGATGGTTTGTTTAAAGTGAAAACATAACTGCGTAGCAATGGCCTTTGAAATACAGAGTTAAGGTGTAACGGACACTCACATTTCTAACAGCAAAATCTTATGATTTCGGAGCACAGAGCATGAGCCATTCAAAATGAAGCGCTTTCAAATTCCACTGAGTCTGGAAAAGAGCAGCTTCTTTTAAGCCTACCCTTGTCTGTCAAAGAATTATTGCATCATAACTGTGCAATGAATGACTGAAGCTTGATGGCTGCTCCAGACATTCTAAATACTCTGCCTACAGAAAGTGCAAGGCTACTGATGCCTAAGTATTGAAGAAAGATTGACTGCCCTTTACCTTTGTGCAGATTGTTTTCATACTGTGCAGTCTATCAAGCGATTCTTGAGGATTTCCGAGGTACTGCTGAAGTTCAGCATGCAAAATCCTCATGGAGAAAGGAACCATGGAACCTAGAATCGTAACAAAATGGATGGGTTGCAATTATTGTAGTTATCGGTACGGTCCACGTCTATCACAGGCATATGCTCTCTGCATTTACTCAAGATAAGGTTATGTCACTCTGGAGACATGATCTATACAGGCCTGAAACAAACCTTAGCATGGAACAGCAAGCTGTAGATTTTGGGACAGCTGCCCACCCCTCTCCCTGCACTCTGTCACCCTTCTTCATTGTTGCATTTAATGAATTGTTTGCCTAATATCTTTCCCTAAAATTTCAAGATTTAAGTTATCTGAGGAGGTGATGAGCAAATGAAACCAAACCAGTGTTGAGATGCGGTCTCCGTTTTATCTGTGAAACCGTAAGTGGAATTTGAGTTCTATTTACTCACTGATTTTTGTGAGGGTCTGAATGCAAACCAAATAAGGTTTCCGAGTTATACACGTCCGTATGCGGCTGCCAGCCATTGTGATTTTACTATTAATTGAAGAATCATTAGTCACTTTCGGTCTACAAGGGTCATTAGAAGTCATTTAAGACTTTTCCTTTAGGGAAACCAGGTCTTGTTGTACTTGAAATATTCCTAACAGGTACTGCATCTCATTTTTTTTAAAGGTTTGAGCTTCTTTTTGGATGTCATAAAATCATTGAGTTGGAATGAACCATTTGAGTCATTTAGTCCAACCCCCTGCAATGAAGGTCTAACGATTCCTTTACACAATGTTTTAGGACCCAAATTTGCAAAACATGAAACTTTAGGGCTTAGAAAACAAATGAAAGTATTCTTTATACAATAACAATCTGATATATTTTTGTGAGGAGAATCCCTCTGTTAGGAACACACCAAATTGTCTAATAGCCCAGGGTCTTTCCTGTTGACTTATGAGCTCTGCAATGCTTTCCTAACTACTTCAAATAACTTTATTCCTCTATTTTGTGTCCCCATCATTTGTTCTTCTTGTCCTTCGTGGCTGTGGCTCTAAAGCCACAGTTTTCAGGTCTTATTACAGCACCCGGGCTGCTCACAATCCACTCCTTTTCAGACCTACTGAGTATAAAAGCTTCACTCCACAGACAGATGGATAGTCACTATGCCACAGAGAGAAAAATATGACTTCACTAGCCCTGAGAATGGTTATTAAGCAAAGTTAATGATCCTACATGCTGCTGCATGGAAGGCCAACTCATTAGCAGAGAGGTTAGTGTGCAATGGAAATCCATATCGCAATCAGAAAGATGTAGCACCAGAGCTAATCCCACAGCTTCATTTTAGAAGTGGCAAATAAAGTTGGCAGCCAACCAGCACTGAAGTCAATTTCTTACAAAATGGGAGTTACTACTTGGCTCACTTCAGATTCGGGGGGTGGAATCTTATTTTCCCACAGCATCTACACCATGAATCCTGGACAGCACAGGAATGGGAGTGACATGCATGAGGAACAGGCCAAGCACCCGACTTCTGCTACTTCAGAGCCTGGGAGTTTGAATTTATTTATTTTTAAGAAGGTCAAGAGTGGAAGGTGCAATGTATTCAGAGGTAGGCTGGTTTTCCCCACTTTGGTCTTGGAAAAGATGGTTTTCCTTTCTCTCATTCCTCAGTTACATCCCAACTAGGCAAAAATACCAGGACTTTTACTTTCATAGTAATATCTTAAAATACAGTTTTAAACCAGAGATACTGATAGCTTCCTTTATGATTTCGCTAAAGCATGCTGTCACTTGCACTGCAGGACAAAAATCTTGTGAGCTTATGAAAATACAGTACTATTTAGTGATGGGGAAAGTCGGTTAATGCTGTGTCAAAATATCTGGATTTAGATGTGTAACTTTTGCATCAGCAAATTTTACTTTAGAATGAGACAAATGCACACATAGAATCACAGAAATGTAGGGTTGGCAGGTACCCTGGGGATCATCTAGTCTGAGGTTTCCCAAACTTGGGTCTCCAGATGTTGTTGGACTACAACTCCCATTATCCATACCCAGAAGGACCAGTGGCCAGGGATGATGGGAATTGTAGTCCAAAAAACTAGTCCCTTAGTTCCTCTATCTATCTATTTATTTATTATGGTTATTTATATCCTACTTTCCAGGATACGCATCCTTCCAAGGTAATAAAATTGCAGCCACATAATTAAATCATAACAGTTCATTACCATTCTTTCCTTCTAGAACAGCCTCTGAGGTGGTCTTCACCTCAATGCAGCAGAGCGAGAGATGGGGAAGAGGGCTACTCCATCAGCTCCACTGAGATACCAGTTACATTTGAAAGTTTCTGCTTCTGGACTGGCCATTATTTAGGCTATGGTAGGCTATTGCTTAAAAATATACACCACCTATTTTGTACCAAATATTGACACCCAGCCCCAAAATAAAATAAAAAAGACTGCAAGACAAAGTTATCCATATATAAACTATATAATATTAAAATTTTAACCACAAATAATGGGTACTTATACTGTCCCTCTGTAGCCTGTTCATTTATTTATTTTGAATATTATTTTCAATTTTGCACTGACAGATTTCTAATATGATCTGATTTAAAAGCATAATGAAAGGATTAGGCTACTGCAAACTAGTTTTGTGATTCTGGAATAATTTTTAAAAACTCAAGGAAAAAAATCAACTGTTTTCTGTCTTTTGGGGGCATATGGGTAAATACACACACACACACACCCCACTAACATCCAAAAGCAGACTCCTTCAAAATAAAGAATAATCATCACCTCTGAATTGCTGCAGGAGAAAAACACAAAGACAGACCTTGGGGGCACATGAGAGATAAGGACAAGTTAGGGAAAGTCTTTCGAGAAGGTAGATGGTTGTGAACCTTTCTCGTCAAAAATCTACAAGGCAACCATGTTGGCCAGGAAAGTTTAGGGACGTTAAGAGCTCCAGAAGCTGCTCAGTCAAGTTTCACAAGAGCCACAGAGGCAGAAAGACCAAGTCCTAATAGGACACTTCTGAATAAAGACCCATCAGCTTTGCTTGGTCTGCTCTCCCTACAACCGTTGTAAGACTTATCAGGCTGGAGATAAGACTGTTTGTGCTGTTTGTAGTGTGAGTTATTGCTTGATTGCTGGCTGAGTGAATGTAGCCGGGGTGAAGTTGTGGCCCAAGACTTGCCTTACTTTCACAGCAGGCCCTGTCCTGAAATGAGCGACCACAAAGGGGTTTGCCATTTTTTGGAGGGGGTTTGTGTGTGTCACATTGGGGTGATACAAGGGCAGGGGCACCCTGAGCTGTGAGCCAGGATACTGAAGTGCAGGCTGCCTGAGAGAGCTTTTCAATCAAAATTTTGGTCGAAACAGCAAGACTTAGGGTTTGTGGCACGACGACACGGCCACGTTGAACTTTCTTCCAGCTTCAAATTAAAAAGCCAGGACAAAAAGAGGCTAATAAAGGAGAGCCCGTTCCCACAGAAAAGGGAAATCTAGTTGTTGTAATGAACAGACAAGGAAACAGGTAACATGAAAGCCTGCCTAATTAATCGTAAACAGAGGCAGTCCTCAAATTCTCATGAGGACAGATTTAAAAGCAGGACAATGCCTCATAGTTCACCTGTGAGTTTCTGGCAGCGTGACAGACTCTGCGATAACCAGGATTATGAACTATGAAAGTGGGGGGGGGGGGAGGGAATCACACTGAGGAGTCTTATATAAACAAGGTGCATTGGTTAGTCACAGCATTCTAGAAGAATTATGCACACCTACAGGTTTCTCACAGTGGTAATAACCCCTTTTCAAAATAAATCTCCACAGTTCCAGAAGTCTCTGAGAAGTTTTAAGCAAGGGCTGGGTTGTTTCTGCACCATGCGAAACATGGAGGACATCTCTAAGACTGTTAAGCAGTTAACTGTGTCTGCAAGTCGGTATTTATTCTAATGGTCAAATGCATGGTGGCATAACGCTTCTGCATAATGTGTATCTACTGTAAAGCCAATAAGTGAGGGATATGAACAGGCTTGAGAAGTATGTGCAGTTTAAGCATCCTGCTGCAACACAGTCCCTTTCAGACATTAAGAGATGTGCTTCTCATAATGTCTGAAGCTACCCTTAAGGAGACGGCAAAATATCCATCATTCTTATGGACAGGTTGTGAAGAAATGGCGATCGTCTGAAGATTCTGTTTACAGAGTCCTTTTTCGCTCCCCTCCCCACCTTGTTCCTTTCACTGAGACCTGGGCCACCCAGATTTAGAAGGAAAGAAAACAGAGTCAACTTTGATGAATTTGTATCCCCAAGTGCCACACTTTGCTCCTCTCCACAGGAGTAAATAGTATAATTATTCGAGGGAATCTAAAGGGGTGAAACTTCAGACTCCACTATGGTGGAGGCTAAGCCAGTTTCCTGCCTTAGCCATTAAGAGATAAGCCTGCTCCTATCTAAATTATCACTATTCTAGGTATATCCTCATCATGCTAGAGAGTGATGGTACCTGGAAAACGACTGTACACATGATCCATTTAAAAATGATGATTACGGGCAAGATTCATCTAATAATTATTATTGCCCAATTCCCCCCTCCTCGTCCTACAAAACCAAACCCTCACTCATCAAAACATGGCAGCAAGTTAGTGCAATCCAATACTCTGTGCAGCAGAAATTAAGGTCTGGCATACATAAACATGTGCTCTAATCTAGGACAAGATTTTCATAAATGGGAATGGGTCAGATAAAGAAGTAGAAGGTAATTAAAAAAACAAATTGAGGAGAATGCAGCTTTTTTCATGGCAAGTTTTTTGGAGTTAAAAAAAGAACAGACACACATAAGGAAAACGACCAACCAAAACGTTACAGTAGTATGTATAGGATACTTTGCAGCTAAAATGCTATGGTTAGAAACCAAGACATGCAAACAACAAAATCAGATTTCCATGAGCACAAACAAAAAAGAATCCCTGTCCTTATTTTAATACTCACCGTTCTATGTAAGAAACTAATGAATAGCCTGGGAAAATAAGGTAAGCAAAAGTGTTGACTTGGTCAGCAATCTGGGTGGAGACAACTGGGAGTTACCATGCAGGAGAATGATATGCATAGAGTTGTATTTGTTCTTTTTAAAAGGCTTTAGGCAAATCCTATGTCATGTGGGAACTAAAGATTCCAAGGCAAGGAGAAAGGTGACAGAAGTCAAACTGGGCTGCAGAGGTGAGGGTACAGCAATAAGCTGGTATTCAGGAAAGTAGGAACAAGGGAGACAAAGAGCAACAGAGGAAGAAGAGAAGATGTTGAGCAATGATTGCACAGGCAGGAAAAAGAAACAGAGAGAGAAATAATACTTGGGAGGCAGTATTTTCCTGGGCTGTAGCAATTATATAGCATCAGTACCAAGAACACAGAACTCACTGGGCAGTGCTAGGAATAGCTGCTGGGTTTACGAAACAGAAAAGTGTATGAAAAACATCAAGAAAGCAATGTAATTATAGGATGGAAAGAACTTTAGCCATAAGGATCTCCAGTGCAGAATTCTTCATCTTGAGAAGCATAACGCATTCTCCAGCAGGTGTGAAGGTACTACTATTAGTAAGGCCGCCACTAGAGGGGGAACAAAACACATCCTTCAAGTGGGCCTTGCCAGCTCGCATACTGAAAGCAAAGTATTTTCTGCTATTTCTCCCCCTCGTGTCATAATTACTTTACCGAAACACTGGAACACCTACAGTTGTTTCAACGTTTTAGAAGTATGTGATTTATATATACATAAAAAAGAGACGCAAAACTGGAAAATATTTTTTTCTTTTTTAAACCAAGCTCTTGAAGCAAAAGGAATACTTTTAAGTCCTTGTAAAAGATGGAAGAGGATGGAAAGACAGAGCCTTTTAAAGCCACGTGACAGCTGCCACATTCTAAAAGCTAGATTTTTTTTCTAACGCAGATGACCACGGCAGGGTAATCATAATTGCCACACCTATGCTGGAAATCCTTTGAGCGATGAAGGTGGTCCTCTTCGGACCCTGCCGATCGTATGCTGGGTCAGGAGCACGGCTGGTGCCTGTGACAACCTCAAAACGGTGGAGCTAGCCTGTGAGTTCCTTCTCTTGACAGAAGGAAAGAGGACTTCCTCTAGTTAAAACCACTACACCAACTCAATGATATCTAGCATTTCCAAAGAACAAGCAATCGTCGGAGAATTTAAGGCTTGAAAAGACCTGAAGGGCAGCAATATCCTAAAGCTACACTTACTATCAAAATTAACCTTTGCTTTCTCGTCAAATTGCCTTCGCAGGGCAGGTAGCCTGACAGCAACCGCCTACTAGAACTAAAAAAAGAAAAAGAGCATTACAAGCAGAATGAACGAAAACCATACCTTGAAATAGTCACTAAAGCCAGGCAATGGGGGGGATCTTTAGGGTGAGCAGGACAGAATAGAAAATTTAAGTAAACAAGATCTAATTGCATCTCTGTAATGAAATAGATACACAGGCAATTGTCACGCAGGTTAATGTACAATCTCTGGTGCTTCTTCCTCCCCAAGGATGGGGAACATCACATGTGAATGGCAGGATGTGTTTACCATAAAGAGAGGAGTATATGGATGCTGGGGTGTACACTGGGATGCGTTCATCGGCTGTTATGTTCTGCGTGGGGTGTGATGCGTACAAGAGCTGGAATCTGGCTCCTACAAGACTAAATACTAGATAAGGAATGTGAACAGGCACTAAGATTTTATACAGACAAGATCTGTATAGTAAAAGCTATGGTTTTCCCAGTAGTGATGTATGGAAGTGAGAGTTGGACCATAAAGAAGGCTGATCGCCGAAGAATTGATGCTTTTGAATTATGGTGCTGGAGGAGACTCTTGAGAGTCCCATGGACTGCAAGAAGATCAAACCTGTCCATTCTTAAGGAAATCAGCCCTGAGTGCTCACTGGAAGGACAGATCCTGAAGCTGAGGCTCCAATACTTTGGCCGCCTCATGAGAAGAGAAGACTCCCTGGAAAAGACCCTGATGTTGGGAAAGATGGAGGGCACAAGAAGAAGGGGATGACAGAGGACGAGATGGTTGGATAGTGTTCTCGAAGCTACCAGCATGAGTTTGACCAAACTGCAGGAGGCAGTGGAAGACAGAAGTGCCTGGCGTGCTCTGGTCCATGGGGTCACAAAGAGTCGGACACGACTAAACAACAACATGGACTGCATACTACATGGCATGTAAGGTAGGCTATGAAGAGCTGGCTGTATTTTAATTAACAAAAGTAGATGCCACAGAAAGAGCTGTGGGATTCTAGTTGCAGAAAGGGGATGAGGGAAAGTGAAAAAGACATGGTGTGTCAATAAAAGTTGGCAGTTTAAGTTGGAAAATTCAGACTCACACACAAATATGGACATAAAAGAGGCAGAATTTAGCCAGAAGGGAAAAGTTACTTTGGAGTAAAAAGAAAAGCATTTAACAAGTCTAGCTGCATAGACGCCAAGGATAAAGTAGTGCTAGAAATGTTAAGAGACATCCATGGAAATTCATAACATTTCCAGACTGAAATTCACATGCTGTTCGGAAATGAAATGCATTTCATTTCATTCAATGAATATTTTGAATTGATCCAAATTACACACATGAATTAAATGAAATGTATTTTATACCACTTTCATAACCATTATTTATTTGTATCTCGACACATTTGATTGCAAAGTGCATTTTAATTGCCTAATTCGTTTAACTATTGTGAATCAAAATGAGATAGATAAATCAAAGATTTTACAGTTATGCTTGTTACACCAAAAAATGAAAAGAAAAATTAGCAACCATCAGCATATTATCATAGATGACGGTTACTGCGCAGTAGATAAAATATATGTATGATTTATGTTTATTTTATCATTTAAATTAGCTGTTTAACGACACAGATTCATTTTTCATTTTCAATACAGTTTATTGCAAGGCAGACTGTTAGGTATGCCCTTTCTACCTCTTAGGCCATCAAGACAGCGTAGCCCTCAAATATGAACAAAGGAAGGGTGACGGTCTTTTCCAAGCTTTGATCTAATACACCTGCCATTTCCTATTATAGGAAGATCAGCTGGATCCCTGCATTATCTGACTTTTTGATCTGATTATAGATATCAATTCCTTAAGAAGCTAGATAGGTAAGGGGTTAAAAAGATATCTCATCTTTAGTATGCTTAGTCTTGGACTATACTGCAATTCTAAAGCCCTCATCTTTTACTCTTAGCAATTTTGTAGCCCAGTACAGACATAATGCTACACCATAGTTAGTACTAAACAGGTCATTGCCTTAGCAATGGTTGATTAAGATTCACAGACGTACAGAGGGCATGCATAAGAAGACATCAGCAAACCTTCATTCTAAATTTACAAGCAGAGAATAGGGAGCTGGGTGATATTAACAACATAGTTCGGACATAACACTTCACTATGGTTCAATTCCAAACATGATTTGCAAACTTGGTTCAAGTCATTCATTCACATCCTGGTTTGTAACCAAACCTTAGCCATGGTTTACATTTCCAATACAGTGCTGAACCAGGATTTAAGGAAAACAAACCATGGATATGAGTTAGGTTTGCACAAGACATGCTTTTTACCTCAAAACCTGCTTTCAGTGTTGCTGATAACCTTCAAGGATCAGGCTAAAGTTTAATGTGTTCCTTAAAAGAGTAATTCTCAGCTTTGGTGTTGGGGGATGGAGGTTGTTTTGTGTGTGTGTGTTTGTGTGCAAGCCTGTCAGAGGTACCAACAGATCCGACCACGTTTGCAAAAAGAGAGAACTTCTGGAGCCACACACTGAACACATCAATATTGCATGACCTCAACCTCTCTAGGTAGTACCAGCAGCGCCTTGCTTCAGTGAATGAAGGTATTTTGAGCATTCCGTCCTCAAAGGTCTATAACAACCACCTCAGAAATAGCATAATTTTTGTCAGAGCAGCTGATGAAGGCAGAAGCTGAAACATTTTGCTGTAAAAATTTAAGATTTCTGTTTTGTTAATCACTGTGATAAACTAAACATCTGGTTTTGGCGATTAACTGCATCCTACCATGATCCTGAACAAGCTTGTCTGAAGGGCTGTTCAATGCTTTCATTACTATTTATCATATGAATGGCAGGTGTTTCATATATATATTTTTAATAAAAAAAGTGTTTATGTTTTTAAATGTGTTTGAAGTCACTTGGAGACTTCTGGATAACAAGTGACTAACAAGTTTAATAAATAACAATATAATTTGGCCTCTGTTTAAAACTATATATATAGAGAGAGAGAGAGAGTGTGTGTGTATATACATACACACACACACACACACACATATATATATATATACACACACACACACACACACATATATACATATATATATATACATATATATATATAAAATAAACTGTGTCTACTTTCTAAAATGCTTTTGTATATTGCATGCTTGCTATCTTTTACTAAACATGTGCTTTTTAACAATACAGAACTCAGTTCACTATATTTTGCTTTGAAGGATATTTAGACTCCTTACTACCTGCCACTGTTATGTAAAGTATAACCACTGTTGATTAACTGGAAGAGACTTTCAGTGAGCCAGCATGGTCAAAAGACCTTCAAGAAGTTAGGTCACCATTGTGTTGTTTCCGTCTACAAAGTTGCCTTACTCCCTTTAAGGTTGAAAACTTGGGTTTCCTCTTCTAAACTATATAAGAAAACGGACAAAATCCAGCAACATTAAAATCTTGAAACTCCAACTAATGTCAATGGAATATATTTAAGCATGTTCCTAATTCTCTGACTGAAGTCAATGTGATCTAAACACTCTAATGCCCAACATCCTTAGTATTAGCAGAACAGAATATAAACAGATTTACCTTTGCGTCCTGGGTATACATGCGGATAATACTCATAATATAGGTCAGCCTGGTCTAGATTTCCAAATGGTTCAAATTCCATTTCAGCGTTTTGGAAGAGACCCAGTTTCACCAGGAGTGCAAGTCTTACAAACCAAAGCTTGAAAAAGGAAAAAAAGAAAAGAAAAAGGGGGGGGGGACAGATCACTTGACAGCGTTTACTGCAAAACCCAAACTTACTTTACTATTAGTTTTCTAATGATGCCTAAAAAGGTGCCTATGATACGTTCACAGATATCCACATAACAGATGCCTTTGGCCAAAATCAGAAAGCTAAAATAGGTGGTTCTGTCTTCACTTCACTATCTTTATTTTCTGCTCATCTGCCAATGAAATAACAGCAACTAACATCATATAAAAGGTAAAGGTACCCCTGACCGTTAGGTCCAGTCGCCAATGACTCTGGGGTTGTGGCACTCATCTCGTTCTATTGGCTGAAAAGCCGGTGTTTGTCCGTAGACAGCTTCCGGGTCATGTGGCTAGCATGACTAAGCTGCTTCTGGTGAACTAGAGCAGCGCATGGAAACGCCGTTTACGTTCCCGCCGGAGTGGTACCTATTTATCTACTTGCACTTTGACGTGCTTTCGAACTGCTAGGTGGGCAGGAGCTGGGACTGAGCAATGGGAGCTCACCTCATTGCGGGGATTCAAACTGCCGACCTTCTGATCGGCAAGCCCTAGGCTCAGTGGTTTAGACCACAGCGCCACCCGCGTCCTGCAACATCATATAGTTGTACATATAATTTATGGTTGTTATTATTATTAATTGAATTTATTTGTCAACTTTTTATTAAAAGTAACTCCAAGTGACTAACACTAAAACCAACATTAAATAAAATGAATTAAAAGCTAAAAATGCATTCATATTTACCGTATTTTTCGCTCTATAGGACGCACTTTTTCCCTCCTAAAAAGCAAGGGAAAATGTGTGTGCGTCCTATGGAGCGAATGCAAGGGGGAGGCAGGCGGGAAAAGCCCCCAAGAGCCGCACACAAGCTTCGTGCGCTCTTGCGGGCTTTTCCCCAGGAGGGAGAAGGGACTGACTGGCTGCATTAGTCCCTTCTCCTACCTCCCAGAAAAGCCAGGAGAAGCCGCGCAGCCCCTTTAAAGAGCGGGCGGCTTCTGCCGGTTTTGCGGGAGGTGGGGGAATCCCCCCACCTCCCAGAAAAGCCAGGAGAAGCCGCGCAGCCCCTTTAAAGAGCGGGCGGCTTCTGCCGGTTTTGCGGGAGGTGGGGGAATCCCCCCCACCTCCCAGAAAAGCCAGGAGAAGCCGCGCAGCCCCTTTAAAGAGCGGGCGGCTTCTGCCGGTTTTGTGGGAGGTGGGGGGGATTCCCCCACCTCCCAGAAAAGCCAGGAGAAGCCGCGCAGCCCCTTTAAAGAGCCGGTGGCTTCTGCCGGTTCTGCGGGAGGTGGGGAATCCCCCACCTCCCAGAAAGCCAGGAGAAGCCGCGCAGCCCTTTTAAGAGCCGGCGGCTTCTGCCGGTTTGCGGGAGGTGGGGAATCCCCCACCTCCCAGAAAAGCCAGGAGAAGCCGCGCAGCCCCTTTAAAGAGCCGGCGGGTTCTGCCGGTTTTGCGGGAGGTGGGGGAATCCCCCCCACCTCCCAGAAAAGCCAGGAGAAGCCGCGCAGCCCCTTTAAAGAGCCGGCGGCTTCTGCCGGTTTTGCGGGAGGTGGGGGAATCCCCCCCACCTCCCAGAAAAGCCAGGAGAAGCCGCGCAGCCCCTTTAAAGAGCCGGTGGCTTCTGCCGGTTCTGCGGGAGGTGGGGGAATCCCCCCCACCTCCCAGAAAAGCCAGGAGAAGCCGCGCAGCCCCTTTAAAGAGCGGGCAGCTTCTGCTGGCTCTCCGGGAGGTGGGGGAAGCTGCAGCAGATTCCCTCCTCCCCAGCTCCCTTTGAAGCAGCAAAGTGGGAGGGAAGCAGCTTACACTCGTGTAAGCAGCTCCTCTCCCACTTATCTGCTTCAAAGCAACCAGGACGAGGGAAGGAAGGGGATCCATGCAGCGGATTCCCTCCTCCTGGGCTCCCTTTGAAGCAGCAAAGTGGGAGGGGAGCAGCTTACACTCGTGTAAGCAGCTCCTCTCCCACTTTCCTGCTTCAAAGCAACCAGGAGGAGGGAAGGAAGGGGATCCATGCAGCGGATTCCCTCCTCCCGGGCTCCCTTTGAAGCAGCAAAGTGGGAGGGGAGCAGCTTACACTCGTGTAAGCAGCTCCTCTCCCACCTTCCTGCTTCAAAGCAACCACGGAGGAGGGAAAGAAGGGGACCATGGATCCTCCGCTGCTTGTGGCTGCAGCGGATTCCCTCCTCCTGGGCTCCCTTTGAAGCAGGAAAGTGGGAGGGGAGCAGCTTACACTCGTGTAAGCAGCTCCTCTCCCACTTTCCTGCTTCAAAGTGGATGGAATCCACTGCAGTTGCGAGCAGAGGATCCATGGCTCCGCTTCCTTCCCTGGAAGCAGGGTGCGGGGGTGCAGGGGAGAAAGAGGGCAGGAAATAGATGCGGGGCAGGAAGACACAACCACACTTTGACCACTGGAATGTCCACCCCAGCCTCCCCAGATTTCCACTGAGACGGCCAGGCTTATCTCGATGGCCATAAGTCAGGCTCAGCATTATTGACTGGACTTAGATAAGCCATGGTTCCCCTTCCTACCCTCCTCTGAGGCTCGATTTAAAGCAGCAAATGGACAGGAGCCGCCCGCTTTGCTGCTTTAAATAGTTTAGTGCAACATTTGATTCAGAATATTTTTTTGTGTGTTTTCCTCCTCTAAAAACTAGGTGCGCCCTATGGTCAGGTGCGCCCTATGGTGCGAAAAATACGGTAATTAAACGCAGGTCTAAGACATCCCACTCATTGAAGGAGACCACAGATAATTAAATGCCAAAGGATGGTATCGAAAGTCACCAAGAGAGCAAGGAGAATTAACAGGGACACACTCCCCCTGTCTCTCTCCTGACAAGGGACCAAGACAATTTTCATGACAAAACTGGCCCGGAGTGCAACTGATAGACCTAGGGCGGGGGTTGGCAACCCGCGGCTCCGGAGCCGCATGTGGCTCTTTTACACCTTTGTTGCGGCTCCGGGGCGGATACTAGCGAGGGGAGGAGGCGGATTGTGCGCCCCGACACTCCCCACTGTGGCGGGCGCTGTACTGGCTGTGATGTCACATGGGGGCGGTGCGTGCGTTAGTCACGCACCTTCCCGCCCAATTGTGGCTCCCAGGTTTTTTTCCTTCGGAAACGGGTCAAAGTGGCGCTTTTTGTCTTAAAGGTTGCAGACCCCTGACCTAGGGCAAAACATGCCAATTTGAGGATGGGATTTGCGGCTCTCATCCAATCCTGATTCCTCCAAACTGGCTGCCATCACAAGTTGAAAAGAATAACTAATTATTTGCCACAATATTGCTAGGTATAAGAAATGTATATATTGTTTATGCCTCCAGCTATTCCCGCTGACACACGCCCATAAGAGATCTAGAACACAGATTCATCAGTGGAGTTTTCAAGCATTCTGCTTACTAGCCACAGCACCACAAAACATCTTTATAACCTTTGTATTAATAACACTTGAAACAGAGAAATTGCAATTGCTTTTAAATAAATATCAGCACAAATTATTATTACAATGCTCATAAAAATCTTTGGAACACAACTGTCTCTAAAGTGAAAAAAATCTAGGCAAGTATACTGCAGCTGCAGAAGAATTTTTAAATTATTTGTTCATAATATGCTTTTCGGGCTAGAACAAGGGCAAAGTATCTTCTTCCCCAACATGACAGTAAGGACTATGGCCTTCCGTTTGCATTACAAATCTCAGCTTTGGTTTTAAATAGATCACGCTTGCAGGACTAATCCTGAAAATACAAAGGCAATGCATCTGGAAGGATCTTAAACAACCAGTGGTCAGAATCAGGGCACCTATAAGTTGGGAACAAGCAATTTCAACTAGTTAGACTGATAGATAGGCTCTGTTCCTTAACACTGCAGTTGTGCGTACTCTGTTGATGCAAGTTACGTGCAAAGCCAAATGTATACATTAGCTGCAGGCCTCCAGTTTGTGTTACATTTCCACGAAGATTCTTGTAGTGGAACAAATTACCCACTCCTGCTTTAAAGTGCACATTCAGGAAGTGACAGCAAATAAAAATAGCGCTGAAGGATGGCTCTCTTCACCCATTTGTAAAATCGAACCCACCATTTTGCTTGACTGAAAGGCAAATGTACCTGCAGAGAGTCTGTTGTGTGACTTGTGGGCAAGCCATTTTTGCCATAGCCTTGACCGTGGGCAGTCAGAAGCCGTCCGCATAAGTCAACGGCCGCTCTCCAGTTTTTGCTGCTCTGGGTGGGAGGGGAAAAAAGAAGAATAGGCTAAGTAACAAATAAATTCAGCTGCTAAAAAGTTGGAGCTGCTTATTTTGCTTGAAGCAGCTCCAGCTAACCATTAGTAATAATGACAAGGTCAGTAAAGTTAGCCAGTAGGAAGTGGGATGTCATTTGTCAAAACTGCTTGTATAATTAGGCAAAAAGCGAAGCCAGGCATGACTCACAATTTACAATTAGAAGATTGCTAGTGTAAAAGGATACACAATTTATTATGACAGGCCAGATACTGTTCCATTCAGAAGCAATGGTCAGGCTCCATCTGAAATGTGCAACGTTCCTCCCCACCTTCCTAAGTTTCATACCTATTCTCTCCAAATAACACTGGTATTTTATTCTCTTTCTAGGATCCAATTATGTTCCTATTAGTTTTGAATCGATGGCTTCATGAAGGTCATCAATATGATTTCCTTGAAAAATACAGCTTGGTCAAAATGAAATATTTTAATGAATATAAACAGCTGAGATTTGAAACGTCTAGTCGTTCACCCAGATTTAGCACCGAATGAAATACGGGGGAATTATCAAAACAAGACAGAGAGAAACCAAAAACTCATGAAAGTGTACTTCTTTCTATGGGCATTTGCTAGACATTTGTCCGCAGCCCATACATTTTTTATTTAAAAGTGTTTAGTCCTCAAAAAACAGATTTTTCAGAAGCCACAGCTATGTGTACCCCAGGCTCACAAATGTGTCACGCCTCAGAGGAATTCCCTCGGGGGATAACAGCTTATGCCTGTTCCGTTCAAAAGCTAAGATAAAGAATGGCTGTTGCTTCTTGTCAGAGCTAAGAAAAGAGAGAGAATTGTCCCTGTGTGTCCAATACAGCCAGTAAAGAGTGGAATCAAGGACAGTAACTGGGTCGAACTCCTACGACACCACTGAGTAATTCCCTGAAAGTGGCAGTAGTCAGTGACATAAATCAAAAGGAACATCATGAACAGTAGCTTCTCTTTGCCAAACTATTTTCTCCTTGAGTGTAGAAAAGGATACTAAACGGAAGTCCCTCCACCAAGTGTTACCTCTCCAGTCCACTCTACTCCTATTCTTTACAAATATCCCTGTGGCACAATCCATTCGGAGGGGAAGCAGAAGACTCGCGTCACTTATTTATTGATTCATGAAGATGGGAAGATATATCTATGGTCAAAGAGGACAACTGCTCTTCTGTTGTGTGTTGCGTCCCACTTAAAATCTGACCTAAAATCTGGGGTTTACAAGATAGATGATGATGATGATTATCCAAAATGTGTATTTATTTATTTAAAAGATGTGTGGGTTGCTTTTTAGGACAAGGGTCTCTCCAAGCAGCTTACAAACATATAACAATGAAAATCAGATCTCCTATAAGAAGAAGAAGAAGAGTTTGGATTTGATATCCCGCCTTTCACTCCCTTTAAGGAGTCTCAAAGCGGCTAACATTCTTGTTTCCCTTCCTCCCCCACAACAAACAATCTGTGAGGTGAGTGAGGCTGAGAGACTTCACAGAAGTGTGACTGGCCCAAGGTCACCCAGCAGCTGCATGTGGAGGAGCGGAGACGCGAACCCAGTTCCCCAGATTACGTGACTACTGCTCTTAACCACTACACCACACTGGCTCAATGCAATATGTCATACCCATTAAAATCAATGTACATGACTCATTCAAGACCCATTAATTTCAATAGGTCTTCTCCAAATATACACCCATCTATGCCTCATTTGATTTGTATTCTGCCTTTCTGTGGTTAAAACCATGCTCAAATACATAATTACAAACATAAGGAAAGTAAGGTAAAGGTAAAGGGACCCCGGACCATTAGGTCCAGTCGCAGACGACTCTGGGGTTGCGGTGCTCATCTCGGTTTATTGGCTGAGGGAGCCAGCGTACAGCTTCCGGGTCATGTGGCCAGCATGACTAAGCCGCTTCTGGCGAACCAGAGCAGCACATGAAAACGCCATTTACCTTCCTGCTGGAGCGGTACCTATCTATCTACTTGCACTTTGACGTGCTTTTGAACTGCTAGGTTGGCAGGAGGAGGACCGAGCAACGGGAGCTCACCCCGTTGCGGGGATTCGAACTGCCGACCTTCTGATCGGCAAGTCCTAGGCTCTGTGGTTTAACCAATTTCCACGTAAATCATAATAAGATCTAAAATAAATAATCAATAACAGCAAAAAAAACAAAAAACCTCACCCTAAACAAAACTTCCCAAACAATATACCAGCCCAAGACTCTGTTCAGCAGCCTTAGCTTTTGTAGCTGGAGTCAGTCAGGAACCCACTCTCTCAGGCCAGGGAACACTATTCCAATGGAGACTACTCATGCAAATTGGGAGTCAGCCTCAGGAAACCACAAACACTCCCTTCACTTGGTTGGCTTCAGAAGTCCAAACCATAGATCACGGCTATTACTGGGCTCACCGTATGAACTGTGACACACTGTTATCTATAAAGCAAACCAATAATTTCTTTTCATATGTGCTGCAAGGAGGAGGAGTGGGTGAGAAGAGCAAGAACAATCCCTTAAATGACTAAGAACATTCCTAAAATTTTGAACTACAGAAGTGAAGTACTTAGTGATGCTAAGTATTTTATTTCAGATGCTGCCATACATGAATAATTCTGAGGAAGCTTTTAAGGGGCCAAAAGTCAACAGTACACTACACTGATTACTGCTTCTTCTACAATAGATGTAGAATCCAGTATTATTATTACTATTTATTTTTTTAAAAAAGAGAGAATCTGTGAAGATAGCTATGTTTCATGTAACTGTGATATTTTGAAAATGTACACCTAGTAACTGTATCACAATCAGATCTATTCATCACATAATTCCTTCTGGATAGCTCTTTGTGGGTAAAGTCCAATTTCTGCTGAGTTTGCTGGCTTACTATGGTGGAAGAAGAATACCATGCTATTCATTTGTTAAGCATATAGTGTCATGACATTTATTAAAGGTTATTGGGCTACTAGTGCACTGGCTGTCTAATGAACTTTCGAGAGAAGGTGAAAGATGCTAATGGAAAAGCAATTGGGAAAAGAGGTTCAACATGTTCAAACTTGGGAAGATAAAATATAGTCCCAAATTATCTGGCTACAATAGTAAGTTCGGAATGCTTGATTAACACGAAGTATATGGTATCTTCAACTAGTTAACAAGGGTGTGGGTAAGGGGAACAGATCTTGATTTAGACATTGTGCCAGGAGGTACTAACACCAGTGTGCTGTGATTTTGGTTGCTAGAGAGTATTAGCAAGATAATGGCCTAGGTCCAAAAAAACTGAGCAACTAGCTCTGCATAGGGGTAGCTTTGGATGTAGTCTTGAACAAGCAAGGAATTCAAACTCTTTAAAAAGGTGTTAATCGTGCTATGGTTTCCATTTATCTCCAGCATGGAAAACCTTCCAAACCTCTGATGACATTCTAATCAAAGACAAATACACATTTTTTTCCTCACACAATGATTTGGCTATCTAAATTACACATCCAAACTCTTCCAGTAGCTGAGGAGCTTCTCCTTAGGCTGTTTTACTCTAACTGATCCACAAGCTTGCTTGTAAAATATACTGAGGATTGCAGTTTAGTAGGTTTCTTTTTTTCCTGAATTAATCCTCTTGCTGTATTATTAGCAGTGTTCTTTCTTTTTGCTGCCTGAATATTTAAACTTCATTTCACAGTACCGAAGCTGAGAGAATAGCCGTTTGCCTAAGACTAGCTAAGGATTCCATGGCTAATGTGAAATGGGAACCAGGGCCTTCTTGGTTCACAGCTCTTAGCCGCTATAGTACACAAAGAGATATACTATCCCATCTTTGTATCAGTTGCTCAGGTACAGACACAGAGCATCCTGCATTTTAATGGGATCATAGCCAGAGGACACAGAACAGCAGGAATGGACACCATCTGTTCTTTGATGTATGACAGATGTACATATGCAATGAAGGTCACCCAGTTCAGGTGATACAGCAGAATAATGGACCAACCATAATAAATAAATGGATGTCTGATTTCCAATATAAATTCAATTTTTTTTTATTACTGTTATTAAATTTCTGATGGCCATCTGTTTACTTCTCTGGAAAGGACTACTGAAGATTACTCATCTAACCCCTAAGAGAAATCAAGATTAAGAAACTTAACTTTCTGGCATTTTTTATTTTTTTTACATTAGACACAAGACTACTGAGAGTCCTATTCACTGGGCTATTGACAACCACAGGCTACTCAATAGCCCTAGGACAATGTCTCCTGAAAAACTTAAGGCATTGTTCAGGTTGAAGAAACACTTGTCTATAAATCCTGCTTTAGGAAGAGTTAATTGATGCTTTTGAATTATGGCACTGGAGGAGACTCTTGAGAGTCCCATGGACTGCAAGAAGATCAAACGTATCCATTCTTAAGGAAATCAGCCCTGAATGCTCACTGGAAGGACAGATCGTGAAGCTGAGGCTCCAATACTTTGGCCACCTCACGAGAAGAGAAGACTCCCTGGAAAAGACCCTGATGTTGGGAAAGATTGAGGGCACAAGAAGAATGGGATAACAAAGGACAAGATGGTTGGATAGTGTTCTCGAAGCTACCAGCATGAGTCTGGCCAAACTGCAGGAGGCAGTGGAAGACAGGAGTGCCTGGCGTGCTCTGGTCCATGGGGTCACGAAGAGTAGGACACGACTAAACGACTAAACAACAACAATATGACAGATCCTTAAACCCACTGATTCCATGCGTAAAGGAAAAAGAAACCTAGCAGTTTCAAACTTTCTATTTTCAGAGAAGCATTTCCATGTTGACTGTCTCCCACTATACACATAGGTTTTAGGGTGTACACCCAAACTTCTGCAGCTGCATGTTGCAGTGATAGATGCAGATGAATGGGCATGTGGGGTTGTTGCTTTTTAAGAACATTTGCCAGCCACAACTGGTTTACCTATTGGGGAACCCTAAATAATATTCTTGAGAAACCCCAGACTTTTCAAAGAGCACAGTATGAAAGTTATGGGCATAACCCATCTCAGTTTTTTTCTAAATCAACTGAAGAACAATTAGTTGTAGCCATAACTCCTTGACCAGTTTTTTGTTTAAAAATACAATTTATACTGGGAGGTTTGAAGTAAAACTTCTCCTGTATAAAACAGTAAATATGTACAAGAACTACAGCATATTATATTTGACAACATATGAAAATTCAACATTAAATCAGAAGCACAACTAACAGAATGTGTATGATTTTTTCCAAACGGAGTCTCAAAAGGGAGTCATTAACTCTACATGCGACACCATTAAAATGATTAAAATGTCCTCCTCCATTTGCTATGACATTCTTCTCGATTGTAAATTACTCTGGTAGAACACTCTGACATTACTTAGAGAAACTCACGTCAGTAACCCCTTCTTAGACTAAAGTTTGTTTGAAGTTATTACGAGCAGAAAGCTCATTAATACGCCATTGAAATATTGCAATTAAAAAATTTAAGTCTATTTCTTACAGGCTTTCTATACTGAAAACTATCAGTTGCCTGCTGCTACTGTCCCACTTTAATTACAAAAATGCTGCAAGAGCCATTCATTTATGGAATAAATTAAAATGCAAAGTCTTGAAACGTTGGTGCCTAGATCTTTTAGATTTTGTGTGCCAAATTAAGGCTTTCAAAAATGTTTGCTGCTTTAAGGCAGCAATTTTGCACAGATGGGTTATTATTTATTTCAAATGCAACTGAATGATGTGCACACAAAGTTCAAAGTGCAACACACGAACGATACAGCTTCTTGAGACAAAGGCAATGTCATTTCAAAATCATTGGCAACCAGCAAGTGTTACGAGTACAAAAATAATAATAAATAATCAGTCCTCTTTCCACCTCTGAGTTTAAGACAGAAAATTGAATTTCCGGGCAGCAGATGGTCCCAGGTTTAGTTCTTGGCATCTACAGTTTAAAAGAATACAGTAGCAGGTGATGTGAAAGACCACAGACAGAGACCCTAGAAAGCTGATGCCAGTTGAAGCAGACAATACTATGCTAGACAAGTGGTCTTCCAGTGCTCCTGCTAAACCCATCGCCCCACATACATTATTGGCATCACATGCTCCTCCCTATTGGTGCATGCTTGTGGAAAAGGAGAACTGAATGGTATAGGCTGATCTATAGGTGATGAAACCTTTGGCTCTCAGGCAGCTCTTGAATGTAAATGCAGAAGCCATAAGGGTGCTGGAGAAGTGCAACTGTTTTGCCTTGCCCTCGGTTCATCTTCCAGCCACCCTCAGTCACAGGCTGGAACCCAGGAAGCCCCAGATTAAGATCATGTAGTGATTGATGGCAGTATAGTCTAACGACCATTAGGTTCTGTGTGCCGTGCATCAAACTGTGTGCCATGTATCAAACTGGAGAAAGGAGCAACAGCACCAATGCAGAAAAACAACCAAAGCTGTTGCAGTGGGACTAAAGAGAAGTACAGTCGTACCTTGGAAGTTGAACAGAATCTGTTCCGGAAGTCCATTAGACTTCCAAAACGTTCGGAAACCAAAGCATGGCTTCTGATTGGCTGCAGGAAGCTCCTGCAGCCAATCGGAAGCTGCAGAAGCCCCGTCGAATGCTTGGCTTCCAAAAAAAGTTCGAAAACCGGACCACTCACTTCTGGGTTTCGATAGTTCGGGAGCTGAAACGTTCGGCAACTAAGCTGTTCGAGAGCCAAGGTATGACTGTACTGTTATATAGCTTAGGTTTATGAACAACGTGGTGGTTTTTAGGTTATAGCTGTTGAGTTTTGGAATTCGGTCAGCTCTAGGCTATTCTGTTGGTATAGCTGAATATGAACCGGGACGGATCCAAAGTCCCTGTGAGCAAAATGCTACTTTCAGGATGCTCCTGCTGGAGGAAGCAGGGGTGGGGATGCAGCAATTTTATCTACCTCTCCGTTTCCTTACAGCCCCCTGAAAAGTTCCAAGTGTTGAGGGTCCCTTCAGAAAAGCACATGAGGCGATGCTGGTGGCTATAGGGGGAAGGTGAAAATTGCCTCCCTCCCTTCAGTAAGAACTTCGATTGGATTGATGAGTAAGTTTAGCTCTTAACCTATCTAGAGAAGAAGCAGAGTGTTCAATACGCACAAAGAAATATTGTTACTTACTATCAGTTGTTTTAAACCCACAAAAGACTGTTCCACAGAGGTGGCATTTAAAACTTGTCTTTTTGCTGCAGACTGCTCACCAAGGAAGCGAAGCATTAAGTCTTTTACTGCATCACCCTAATTGGGGGGGAAAATACAAAGTGTTGGGTTTTTTTAATTGAAAGTTCCTCTTAGCCATTAAAACACACACACAAGTGTCTTGTATTAATGCAGTGCTATGTGATTGAAATTTCTTCAGCATACAACAAGGTGCTTTGTATATTTCTATTTATATGCCTTGAACTACCCTGCACAACAGTGGCCTTGAGCCTGAGACTATTGTACTGATTCCCGTGACATGAAAAATCAGTATGTTGAAGACAGCTATAATCTCCTATTGCATGGAAAGGAGAGTATTTGGCATCTCTTTACTCTCAAAAGCAGCTGTATGCCACATTGGCTTTAAGATGTGCACTGAAATCCCATTTATTTCTGTGGGGTTACTGCTGCTTGTTTGACAATAGGCTGATTTCACTGAAGGAAGCAGCTGCTACATGCCTGCTAGATGCTTGCCCTTTGTAGCTAGTAACAACAACAAGTGTTCCATGCATCTTTAGAAACAGTATGTGTTCTCCATACCTTAAAGAAGACAATAGCAAGACTTGTGTTCGTGTCTGTGGCTAGACCCCGGTACCTCAACAGGTCACTAATGTGCCTTTCAAGGTAATTGAGTGGGTAGCGGCTGGACAGCTCCAGAAACTCCTGAATGAAGCTAACTATCTAGATACATTTCATCCTGGTTGGGGAACATAAACTATCTTGGTTGCCCTCACAGTATCCAGGTAAGATTGCCAGATAGGGCCAAAAGCTATACTGCTACTAAATTCTGCTGGTCGAATGGTGAGGCTCTTAACTATGTTCCGTGATTTATCATTATTTAGAGCTCCACTTTCTTTTTCTTAATACAAAAACTATGCCAGGTTAAAGAGATGCCAAATTTTCTGTTAATGGACTGAACAGAGATCTCGCATGGTTGTTTCTTCCATCTACTAGATCACAAAGGTTTTCCCCCCTCTCTGCTGAATGTATTCCATTGTACTATTCATCCATTCATCAAACTTCTTTCAGCAAAATCTAAATCTGGCAACCATCTTGAGACTGATCTCATTCCCCCTCCCTCACCATAAACTGTTGTGGCAGCACACCCCAGTAGACGTGGATACAAACTTCAAACTATGTAAAGGACAGTTTCAACAAAACCCATTGAAATCTCTAGAAATATCAGAAGATAACTGTACATTTCTGCTAATAAAATAACTTACATTGTTAATAATAACTGACTGGATTCAGACCTATTTCATTTAAGCAAAGTAGTAGATTCATGTGCTTTCAGACTATGGGTTGTATCCAATGCTAATTGTATTGAGAGTAGATCCACTGAAATTAACAGACATGACTAACACAGGGCCCTTAATTTCAATGGGTCTACTCTCAGTAGGACTAGCACTAATCACAGAGCTCAAGGGCTCAGGACTTGGGCCCACTGTTACACCTGAAACTTATCCCCTTATGAGAAAGTATGAAGACGTGTATATATATATATATATATATATATATATATATATACACACATATATATTTAGCCTTATGGTATGCATACCCTTTCCTAACCCAAATGCTCACCTCCAGGATACTATGAAGGTTTAGGAGTTTAAGCTGGCCAGCTCCTTTGCTCTTCCCAACTGACACTTTCAACATCCCATAGCTCAGTGGTGCTTATTACTAAGACACACAAATCTGCCTGATTTTTGGTTCTTTTAGACCGTTCCCAAACCAAAAACCTCATAGATCCCAATTCTCCAGCCCCTCCACTATCAAACGTATGGAAGAATACACACCCCAAATTTTTACCTTCCACCCTGGCCAACAGAAGCCTCTTCACTGCCTCTTATTAGGTTAAATCAGGGGTCGGCAGCCTAAGGCCCATGGGCCACAAGCGGCCCACAGGGGTCGTTTAACTGAACTGAACTCCCTGCTCAGTTAGTCCCCGCGCGCTGAGCTAAACCGGTGCAGTGTGGCGCAGGGACTCGCTTTCGCGGCACCAGAAATCCTGCCTGCACATGTGCAGACGCCGAAAATCGCATCTGTGCAGACTCAGACGCTGGAAATCATGTGCGTGATCCAGCTCATAGAGGGATCTCCACTGGAGTGAACCAACCCAGGCAAGGTAAACCTTGCTGACACCTGGGTTAAATTATGTTTATAACCATCTGCCTCCTCTATCTGATCTTATCTGATTTCATTGTGCTATTTGTTATTATGCTGAGCAGACTGCTTATATTATACTGCGGCCTGGTGCATTTTTATGAAAAGGTGGGATATAAATGTCACAACTGAAAAACTTGACTGAAAGAATGTACATGCCACCTAGCTTATTATTAGCCACACAGTATTCCAAGAAGTAAGACACAATGGAACACGCTTACCTGAATGTTGTCAAACTTTAATCCAGGCATTGTGAGATTTTCCTTGTCTATGAAAACATTACTGTACTGCTGAGTTGCTACTGAGATCAACACATTCCTAGTTGCATCACTAGGAAGCCAAGCATCGTTCCTCCTGTCTACCTCACTCATATTCAGCACAGATGCAAAAGGATCGTCGCCACCTTGAAAAACAGCTTGGATCTGGGAAAATGGCTTTGGAGACTGTGAAATTTCTGGAGAAGATGCAGACCTCCCAGCTTCAGACCGTCCATTTTTAACAGAGTATTTGTGGCTGGCAGAGTCATGGAACTCCCCAGCTGTTACAAGAGAAGACATTTGTTCTGGTACAGAAGAGCTCGCATTAGGGTTACTGACAGAAATAAAAGAGGATGTGGTAAATGAATCGAAAAAATCAGAAGCTAGAGTATTAGTATTAATGGCTTCACCAAAAAACTTGCTTAGGCTGGGACTAGGTTGAACCACCTGCGGAAGAGTTTTTATGGGAGTCTCGCTTATACCGCCTAAGCTAGGCGACTTCACCATCTGAGGCTCAAAGCCATCATGCAGGAACTGCTGCTGACCATTCATGCGACTTCCCTGGCTGAAAATCGTACACACAGGGATAGGCTCAGGGTTGACGGGTGATTTGTCGGCAAGCGGGGAAGATATCTGCTCCTCAGATTTGCATTCATCAATACTGTTTGATGCAGAGTTAAGCAGCTCATCACTTTCCACTTTCAATTCATTTTCTGCTGATTCCTGAACCAACTCTTCTTTCAAAGGAGGTTGATCGCCAATTCCACTATCAGAAATAACTTTAGAAGCGCCTTCAAGTTCAGTTTTACTCTCTTTGCCAATTGTCTTTTCCTCCAGCTCTTCTTCTGGTGCATGAATGTCTTTTGTGTCCATTTGTTTTACAATTTCTTGAAGACAACCAAGATCACCAGCATCATCTTCACTATTATTTGGAGAATCTGATATAACAACACTCTCCATCATCTGCTCATTAAGTTTATCTATGAAGTTACTAGAATCTTCTGAGATGGTCTCATTTTCTTCAGACTCAAACTCATCTCCACCAAGATCAATTGTTTCTTCATGAAACATAAGTTCTTCATGACCTGGCAGCTGGATAGCACAGCCACCTTCTGCCGCACTTGAACCTCTTATCTTGGCATCCTCAACATCACCTTCTTTGTTTTCCATAACTGCTCTGGATAAAAAATTACAAGTGAATGTGACTGCTGGTGACCAATTCTGAAACTTAAGATGATTTATGCATAAAGTGGAAACCTGATGGAAACATCAGGTTCTACATATCCATTTGAATAATTAAGATGGCCAGTACTTCAAATGCAAAAAGCTCCAAATAAATGAAGTTAACTCTACAGCAGGGACACCGAACTTCCAAGAGACAATTAAAAACTAGCAGTGATCTACCCCATTTTTGGGGGGTTCAGCTCAAAGTTCTTGAGCTTTTTTTAGGGAAGCTAAACAAGGAACAGGGCAAAGGGAAAAATGAAAACAACCGCTCACCAAGGGATCGCTTGTGAAGCAGTCAGCCTTGCAGCGGGAGCTCCTTCTTTCGTTCTAACAATCTAGAGGGCGGGGAGAGGGGGCGGGGCCAGATGGAGAGGGGGCAGGGCCTATAGATGGAAAGAAACCCTGCTCTACTGTAGAGTTAAGAACAGAAATAGTATCAAGCAAATAGTTTCATGCAAACAGTATCACAAAGAGAGATAATTCAGTAACATTTATATAGCATTTACAAATGTGCAGATCATTTCAGTGTAATGCTGTCCCCCACTCGCTTTTTCTATTAATGCAGTTTCTGTTTCTTCATCAACCTGTCCATCAGTATAGATGCTGAACAGAGGTTCAACACATTCTTTAAGTGAAAAGTCTATTAATACGCAGAGACAAGGAAAGAAAGCTGAAATATTAAATCATGGGTAGGCAAACTAAGGCCCGGGGGCTGGATGCGGCCCAATCGCCTTCTAAATCCGGCCTGCGGACGGTCTGGGAATCAGCATGTTTTTACTTGAGCCTAGCTGACCACTATGAGAAAAGAATGCTGGACTAAAAGGGCCATTGGCCTGATCCAGCAAGCTCTTCATAGGCCCTTTTGTTCTTAACTGAATCTCCTCAATAGCGACTTAATTTTCCTCATTCCTACAGCTGCCTCATAACTCTTAGTGCATGGGTTTAGCCTCAAACATGGAGCTACTCCTGGCAGCTGAGTCTACTAAGGTTTGTACTATGAAGCGAGATCACCAGGGAGGAGTTTATGTAGTAAAGCAGGGATGAATTTCTGCCCAGTTAACTTAGGTCTCTTATGATCACTTTGTTTCCTAGGGTAATATGAGCAAAAAAAAGCTACCGTATTTTTCGCTCTATAAGATGCACCAGACCACAAGATGCACCTAGTTTTTGGAGGAGGAAAACAAGAAAAAAAATATTCTGAATCTCAAAAGCCAGAACAGCAAGAGGGATTGCTGCGCAGTGAAAGCAGCAATCCCTCTTGCTGTTCTGGCTTCTGGGATAGCTGTGCAGCCTGCATTTGCTCCATAAGACGCACACACATTTCCCCTTACTCTTTAGGAGGAAAAAAGTGAGTCTTATAGAGCAAAAAATACGGTACTTTATATAAAGTCTGTTGTCCTACTTAGCCCTTGATGGTCCCTCTCCAGATGGCTTCAAAGAGATAACCAGTTGATTGTTATTTCTAAGGCCTGCTCTCCCCATCCTTCTTCCTAGAGTCCCATCTTTCCATTGGATGGGAGAGACAAAAGTGCCAATAGGGCAAAGTCAATGAACTCAAGAAGTTCCCTGGCTGAAGGGGCATGTAACTTGGCAGACCCCTCCATGGACATGGCTCACAGAGGGATTTGCATGCAGAATAAATGGAAGAACGAGGGGCCATGAGACTTAGGAAGCAGCCTTTGTCCCCTAGCCCTAATATGATTTATCACAAGTCTCCATTGATAATCCCAATTTTATAACTAAAAATAGTCCATTGATTGCCAGGTAGTAGGGTTCATAGAATCATAGAGTTGGAAGAGACCACAAGGGCCATCGAGTCCAACCCCCTGCCAAGCAGGAAACACCATCAGAGCACTCCTGACATATGGTTGTCAAGCCTCTGCTTAAAGACCTCCAAAGAAGGAGACTCCACCACACTCCTTGGCAGCAAATTCCACTGTCGAACAGCTCTTACTGTCAGGAAGTTCTTCCTAATGTTTAGGTGGAATCTTCTTTCTTGTAGTATGGATCCATTGCTCCGTGTCCGCTTCTCTGGAGCAGCAGAAAACAACCTTTCTCCCTCCTCTATGTGACATCCTTTTATATATTTGAACATGGCTATCATATCAACCCTTAACCTCCTCTTCTCCAGGCTAAACATGCCCAGCTCCCTTAGTCATTCCTCATAAGGTATCGTTTCCAGGCCTTCGACCATTTTGGTTGCCCTCCTCTGGACACGTTCCAGTTTGTCATAGTCCTTATGACTATGCAGTTGCCAATTCACACCATTTAACAGATGATGTAAAAATGGCATATAAACAACGCTGAGTCTGTTCTTAGGTTTCAACAGACTAGCTAATGGGTGTAAGAGAGATAAAATATGAATGGGGTGTAAGAGAGAGCTGGCTAGTGGATCCAATCTGGGAAACTTAGGTCTTAGGGTATGTGAATGCTAGCATCTGTTTCTCTCACCCAGACCAAGACCTCTGTGTTCAAAAGCTGAAATTCCACTTTAAAAAAATAAAAGTTCAAATAAGTAATTTTAACATTTGTTAAGATTCATGTGGTAATAATTTTCACATGGTGAGATCAGGTGACAATGCATTTGTCTAAGACAGACTAACAGGAAACAAGATTTCTCCCTATAAGACTTCATGGAAATACAGACATACCTTTTATCTCTGCTCTGGCAAGCCTCAGTATCCCAGGACAATTCACTTGAGATCAGCCTCAGTGTCCCATCTGTAAAACAGCAGCAGGAATTATTTTCCCACTTTACAAATTATGATTAGGAAACCAAGCGAAACGGTGATCTGTTCCCTTTGCTCCATTACAAAAATACCATACTGTACACGATTAACAAGCCTATCTACAGAGAAATATCACAGTGCACGCTACTGTTTAGAATACCACGCAGGGAATACCAAAACCTCCCACAGGTTTACTAGTTGTACTCACAAAACAAGTTTCTCTACACACCACTTCGGGCTGCAGAGACACGCATCTGGGTTTCACATTTGAGTCCTACTCTGAAAACACACACAAACACAATCTCTGCCTGCATAGAAGACACCAGGGAGGATTCCAACTTCTCCCTGACGAGCTAGCTTTCTACATGCAGGGAGGTGTTCCCCCTTATCATGATTTAGCCTGGGCGTGTAATAAAACATCGCCCATCCCCCGCAAGACCATTCCCACTTCTCCTCCAAGGGGGGCACAGTCACCTCGGGCTTTTCAAGAGCCAACGCAAACAGGGATAATTGAGGGCGAAGCTGATTTTTTTCCGGGTTGCTCTTCAAAGAGGACGAGCGAGTAGCACCTCCCCGCGCCCAGAGCGGGCGCCCCTTCCCGCTCCAAGCCTCCAGGGAGGATGGAAGGCCACGGAGAGGACACTCTTTCCCACCCTCCCTTGGCCTCCCCCTCACCTACTTCCACTGACAGCCGCAAAAGGCGACGCCTCCGGGACGCGGCGGCGAAGATGTGCGTGTGCGTGAGGGGCGGGGGAAGCGTAGGAGAGGAGCCAACCAATACGCGTGGTGCGCCTGCGCGGCGACGTCCCCCTGCTCGCCACCGCCTCACACACGCCATTCCGGAAGTAAGGACGGAAGCCGACGCGGGACCTGCCCCGTTTTGTTGTGTGTTTCGCCTTTTCCTTCAACACGCGTTTGGATGGGAAGGAGAGGCTAGGCTCCCCATCGCGGCGGCGACGAATCTTGAGGCCTCTGTTGGACAGCCATGGAGGACGATGCTCCGGTGATCTATGGGCTGGAGTTCCAGGTAAGAAGGAACGGGAAGCACCTGCTGTTTGTTCCTCTCAGGGGCGGTAAATGAAGCACCGGCGCACGGGTTGTTTGAGGGAACGTGTGGACGGCGCGCATCCTTAAAGAAGCGTGCTCGAAGCTTTCGCAGGCTTGGCAAAACCAGTCCAACCAGCTAAACCAGTTGACTGCCCGCAATAAGAAAACGGAACCACGCCTTCCAAATAAATAAGCGCCATGGGTATTGAGGAGTAACTGTGAAGGGCATAGGAGCCAACTCCTACATCTCCGAGATCCTTTTGGCCTCCCCCACCCAATAAAATAGGGATGCGGGTGGCGCTGTGGGTTAATGTTTTAATGTTGTATTTTAATCTTGTTTTTAAGTTGTATTCATTCAACTTGTTTTTATTATTGCCTGTTAGCCGCCCTGAACCCGGCCTTGGCTGGGGAGGGCGGGGTATAAATAAAATTTATTATTATTATTATTATTAAACCATAGAGCCTAGGACTTGCCGATCAGAAGGTCAGCGGTTCGAATCCCCGCAACAGGGTGAGCTCCCGTTGCTCGGTCCCTGCTCCTGCCCACCTAGCAGTTCGAAAGCACGTCAAAGTGCAAGTAGATAAATAGGTACCGCTCCAGCAGGAAGGTAAACGGTGTTTCCATGCGCTCCTCTGGTTCGCCAGAAGCGGCTTAGTCATGCTGGCCACATGACCCGGAAGCTGTACGCTGGTTCCCTCAGCCAATAAAGCGAGATGAGCGCCGCAACCCCAGAGTCGGTCACGACTGGACCTAATGGTCAGGGGTCCCTTTACCTTTACCTAATAAAATACCTGAGGAGGCCACTCCCCCCAAGGTTGATGTCATTGCCATTCAAATGGTGTCCATGCACTGCAATTTATGATAAATCATATGGGGCAGGGCTTACTTTCCCTCCCCACAATATCTTGTTTCAAGTTGGCACCCCTGGTGAAGGGGGGTTGGTGTGCACCAACCTTGCACAGCTTTCCCCAACCTGGGGCCCTTTCATGAATTCTGGACTGCAGTTCTCATGATCTCTGGCCATTGGCTGTGCTGACAGGGCATGGTGGGAATTATAGGCCAGAACATCTGGAGGGTGCCAGGTTGTGGATGGGAAGCTGAGATTCTGCCTGTTTCTGGTTGATTCTGCTTGAATTTCTCAGCTCGAGAGCGAATTCAGTTCTACAACTTTTGCCTTTCAACTTGGTGAAGCTAATTTGGAGCGTGCTGTCAACGTTGCAGGGGAGAGGCGGTGATGGTGTCAGTGTTCTTTTTCTCATTTGGTGCTTTTCAGAATGTATGGTATACAAATATGGTATACAAATACATCACACTCAGGAAAATAGGGTGTTTTCAAGAAGATATATTCCATTTCTTGAATGTTCACATTTGATTAAATGGGTGCCATACTGTTATAAAATGATTGATTTGAAATTGTTTTGTACTGGGTTAGGGAACTGGATCCGGCCAGCATGCTGGTTCTTGGGTTCCCCCAATCCTGGTGAACCACTTTGACAGGTGGGCAGGCCTTTGCCCACCTGTCAATTACTTGATGTCACTGTGCTATTAGTATTAACTTTGTAGGATGACAAGCCACACCGCAAAGTAAAATCCAACACATGTTAGCTGTTAGGTGGTGACTTCAGGCCTGTTTTCTGCAGGGATTGGCTCCACAATTTGAGTTTTCTGCACTTGATCCAGCAGCAGGCTTGCTCTCATCCCCAGCCAGCTGATTCAGGATAGCAAACTTCCCTTCCAGCACACCATATGTATAGAACTTTCAATCTCCTGATTGTGCATTGGCAACTTTTAGTTTACTTGTCCCAGAACTCATGTCAGGTGATGCTGGGTGTGGGCAAATGGAAGTGGCTTTGAAAAAACAGCTGTGTGGACCAAATTGAGAACTGTGCTAGACCTAATTAGGGTTGTGGGCTTGAGGTTCCCCACTCCTGGTTTAATGCGCTTCCTTTAAACCATGGGCGCAGCACCTACACATGGAAGAACCAGATAAAGCTCATTGAGGTCCTGTTCTTTGCTCTCCCCCATTGGTGGTCATGTACGTGCAGAGCATGATAGGACATTGAGACAATGGAGGGGAGGTCTGTGTTGACCTGAATTCTCCTCCTCTCCATATCACGCAAGTCACTGTAGGTTAGATTACTGTAATGTATTCTGCATGGGACTGCTTTTGAAGACTATTTGGAAACCACAGTTAGCTTAGACTTCAGTTGCAAGGTATCTGATGGGATTTGTACCTTGGTTTAGCATTATAAGGGCAAGCATGTACAAACCTTGAGCCTCTTCCTTCTCCTTTGATATGGCAGGAAGGAAGAGATGAGAAAAATGAAATATGAGCCCTACTAGATCAAGTCAGTAGCCAATCTACTCCAGCCTCCTGTTCTTATAGCGGTCAATCAGATGTGCTTGGGAAGTCCAAAAGCAGGACTTGAACAGAAGAACGCTCTACCATTCTGTTGCTTTTAGCAACTGGAACTTCCTGTTTCTCCTTTTGGTTAACCATAGTTAAGGATTCAGTTAATTTAGTCTTGGCTTGTTTTGGTAGACCTTAGTTAAAACTAACCACAGTTTGCCAGCGTGCAGACTTTCCTGCATTTAGTAAAAAAGGGAAGAGTAAGCTACCAAACTCCACCTAGTAGCCATGTTGGGTTGGGAGATTGCAGTGCCCGGGGCGTTTTCTTATAATGGCATAGTATAGCAGTGCATGTGAATGAGACCACTGGGACTGTGTGCCAGAGTCACATCATAAATGTGCCATCTCTATTTTATGCATGCATGCAGTGCTATCAGGAAAACTCTGTTTCAAACTTGAACTATTGTAAATATTTAACAGGTGGTCCAGTCTGTTTAGCTGCCAAATTTAAGTTATTCAGTAGGTGCCTATTTTTTAATTAACTATTTTAAGCACGAAACAAATCTCGACGTGAAAATGTACAGGTGAGGTGTCTTGAATTTTTTTTAAAAAATTGCTTGCAGTTCTACGGTAAGTGGGTTGTATTCAACTAAGTTTTATTCATAGTAGGCCCATTGAAATACATAAACTTCAGTTAGTCCTGACCATTTAAATTTAAAAGTTAGTGGAATAAAACTGTATGGAATCTGGAAATCTTGGGTTTGATTAATCATGCTTAGTTCCCATTGTAATCAGTAGAATTTGTTAGTCATAACTAACTTTTTATGTTTATTTCAGTGGAACCTTGGTTTAAGTAACTTAGTTTGGACCCAGTCCATTATGTTTTGCTGTAAAACCTACAAAAATATTAAATTACACAGATGCAACACATTGTGCAGCATATGAGGGTTGTTTCTTGTGCAGGAAATAAGTTTAAAATATAAAGTAAAAGATTATATTTTCAGTTACTTGGTCTACAGTTTCCCCCAGTTGCTGTTTCTACAAAAACTTCTACCTTGAACATTTGTGCAGTTGCTCTTGCATTCTGTGCATCTTTTTCATGGATGAGATGGTTCTCTAAAATTAATTTTGGAAATGTGTCTAACACTAGAAGCATGGCAATTTTACTCATGAGCCTATCACACTTCTATACCAAGCATGCCTTTGGGAAGTTTGGAGAAAATAAATCTATGTAACAAAGAACTTGCATTAAAAAAAAAAAGTCAAAATACAGATGGACTAAATGTCAAAAACACCGTTCTTGGTAACTGATGTCCTGCATGTTCCAAGATACTAAAATGTGTTTGATATTATTGTATTTTTATCCTCCCCCCCCCCCCCCAGGCACGAGCTTTAACACCCCAGACCGCAGAAACAGATGCAATACGGTTTCTGGTTGGAACTCAGTCTCTTAAATATGATAATCAGGTAAACTTGTATGAAAAATGTATTAAAATAGAATCGGAAATGTTTTAAAAGTCTTCAGTGGGATAATGATTTTTGCTTGCCAAATTGAAGTTTTAAATGTAGTGCTGTTTTTAAAAATATTGGATGTGATCTTGAACGGTATTTGGTTGTAAAGTTCTGTGTTAAGAATAGAGCTGGGGATGGTGAGGAAAATCCTAATCATTCTAATGTTAAATAATGGTTAAAGGAGGGTCTTTGAGGCTACAGAATGCTTATATAGTTAGTTGGACTCTGTAATCTGCACCTAGGAGCAAGCCCCACTGAACTCAATGTGGCTTTTTTCTGAGTAGACCTGTGCTGTAAAAAGCATTCTGATGTAACTTAATTTCTCTGCAGTGAGAAATGACGAATGGAAGAACATGGTTCATTGATGAACCTGCACAACAGTTTAAAACTTTATGCTTGGTTTCTGAGTCTCAGCCAAGCCTGTTCAGAATCAATGATGAAATAAAACAAGCAAGTTGCTGGAACTGTTTGTTTGCCACCTTTCTAATATGATAAACATGTCTAAAAAGGAAAAACAAGAACTTAGTGAAGCTTTATAGTTATTTGAACAGTTTACCTTGGGGCACATCTGTTGGTACAAGGCTGGAAAATATGTTTTGGGAGGCAACAGAAACACTCCCTTCCTCTTCTCCCACTGCATGCCCCCTGAAATCTGTTGAGGGAGGGTCCCCCAACCCTTTGAATCAGATTTGGGGAGGGCACAGGGTGCCAAGCATGGAGAAGGAAGGGAATTCCTGTTGCCCTAATGCAAATATTTAGTTCCATACTGCCCAATATGCTTCTTTTTGTGATGGTGGGGAAATCAGACCTGCTCACTAAGATATATTGGTATATCTTCTCTCTTATAATTAGTAAATGTTGTTGGAGACACGGGACTCTGGTTTTTCCCCATGACAGCTTCTCCCAGAATACCCCATAACAGGTTGTAGATGCCATTATGTGAAGTAATTTCACCGTGTAATTTCACCTGCTCCATTCCATGACAGGGGAGTGACTTGATGGCGTGTTGTGGGATGAGTGCTATTATACATAGTGGGAAGAACTTGAGATGGGGATGCCATTTTTTGTAGGATCACATCTTGGATTATATGTACCGTATTTTTCACTCCATAAGATGCACCTAGTTTTGAAAGGGGGAAAGCCCTGTTTTTTTGAGGATCAGCTCAAAGTTGTGCAGCTTCTTTTGCAAAGGGGAAAAGCCCCTTTTTTTTTGAGGATCAGCTCAAAGTTGTGCAGCTTCTTTTGCAAAGGGGAAAAGCCCCTTTTTTGAGGATCAGCTCAAAAGTTGTTGAGCTTACTTTGCAAAGGGAAAAAATCCTGTTTTTGTGGGGTTCAGCTCACAGTTCTGCAGCTTCTTTAGGAAAGGAAAGGGAGCCGTTTCTACAGTTTCCAGACAGATAATCTAATCAGCCAGTCACATGTCGCTGGGGAAACAAACAGCCTCCGTCTGCAGAACATTCAACAATGGAGGCCTGGGCAAGGGGGCGGGGCCAGAAAGGGAGCCAGCGATCGACCACATATTTGCTCCATAAGACGCACAGACATTTCCCCTTACTTTTTAGGAGGAAAAAAGTGTGTCTTATGGAGCGAAAAATACGGTAGTTCCTTCCCTGCAGCTGATGCCTAAATGTATAGTTTCCTGTAGCCGCAGATACAAGTGTTTTGAAAATACTCCAAGCCATTAAAACTTTTGCAGGAGGAAAATATTGATAGCACTCAAGCAGCCTGATTGTATCTGGGTAATAATTCTACTATTGACTCCAAACGCTGTTTGAGCCTGCTTCTCCTTGCTCCCCACTGCCCCTGTCCTTTCCATTTTATGTCTTACCAGCATTGATAATTGAGGTGCAGGGCACTTTCTCTGAGTGCTAATGAGTTGATAGGGTTAATGGCCTTTAGCAGCGCTTGAAGCCATCAGCTCCTCAGTCAGTCATTAATCCCTAAGAAGTGTCAGGAGCCTCTGTTGTTACTGCTTAATTTAGCAGCGCTGGTCTCTACCTAGGTCAGGTAATGGCCATTCTTCCAACACTTTCCGGCAGATGGTAGCTTGACATCCAAGTTGCACTAACTAGGCTTCCACTCCTGGGCAGAGGTGTATTGTGAATGGAATCCCTGAAAGGAATTGCATTGTCATAAAGCATTGGGGGGCGGATGTGATTTTTCAATTGCATTTAGTTCATTTACATTAAGCCAACACAAGCAAGTATGGAGCCTGATACAGGATTTGGGTGTGAAAATGCAGAGACAGGGCAGGCAAAGTGATCCCTACTGCATCTTCTACTTTAAGGTTGTTCACTGAGTACATGTAAGAAAAAAGCACTTAAAAGGGTATTTTTTAAAAAAATGAAGAATAAGAATTGAAAATATAATCATGTTTCTATCCTTGGGATACAAGATTGGTTTACTTTTTGTCTTAATGGGTTTTGTTGTGTAAAAATATCTTCCACAGAGGAACATTTACAATACACAAGGAGGCTCTTATTTGCCTGAATAAGCTGCATTTTTCAAACTTTTGAAACTGAGCTATCTCTTTTTCTACTTTACCTGTTAGCCTTCTCCAACACACCTATACTTTAACTAAATTCAAACAAATATATTGTCAGAACAGGATGTCAAAAGCAGGTAGAATTAAGAGAAGGGTTGGGGAACCTTTAAAGGCCTGAGGGACATGTTCTCTTCTGGGCAACCATCCGGAGGCCAAATACCATGGTTGGCCGGGTCAGAGGCAAAAGTGAGCGGAGCTGGTTTTTACACACACTTGCACACACTCTCCTCCATCCAGATCAAGTAAGAGATGTTAGGGTTCAAGGGCACGTTCCAGCCAGGCAAAAATACTTTGGCTACAAAGTAGGGTCACAGTGAGGGCTATGGATGGGAAGTGTTCCAGAGGCCATCTAGAGAGGCTCAGTGCCTGAGTTTCCTTGCTCCTGTTCTAAACCACAAAGAGATGGCAGGTTTCCTTCAAAACCAGTGTGGAATTGTGGGACTTAGAGGTCAATCCCTGCATATCTGCAGCCCTGTTCAGGGAAGTTTTTAATGTGTGATATTTTATTGTATTTTTGGTTTCTATGGAAGCCGCCCAGAGTGGTTGGGGAAACCCAGCCAGATGGGCGGGGTACAAATAATAAATAATAATAATAATAATAATAATAATAATAATAATAATTATTATTATTATTATATCTGATAGGGAGCACTTGAGACATTAGCCCCATCCGGTTCTCCAGACAACCACAACTCTTCGCTGAATCTCATCTCTCTCTCTTTTCTTTTTTCTATTTTCTGGGTAGCTTGCTGGAGGAGGAGCATCAGTCTCTCTTGTCTGAATGCAGGAGTTTGTTTAAAGCAGGGTTAGATGGTTTGGTGCCCTCCATATGTTGTTGAACTCCCAACTCCCAGAAATGACTAGCAATGTTTCCTACCCCTGTAGCAAAATAAAAGACCAAATGATTGATTGAACGATAAAACGATTGTTGAATTTTGGTCCACGCTTCCAAAACTGTGACAATTGTGAGTGCTTGGAGAAAACATATCCTAGGATATAGGATGTTTGACTGCCCTTCTTCCCACAGAATGTTTCTGATATACCCGAGAGAGCTGTGTTGCAACACCTTGTCTGGTTTTGCCTTTTAATGCTTTCCACGTCTCCAAGCCAAAAGAGTTAGGAAAATAATAATATTAATAATGATAAAATCCTATGGAACCGGTGACATGCTATATTTAATAACACTTGTCCTCGGGGCCTGATGTGGTTCTGAATGATGATCACACCAGTGAGACGGAAGCTGCTGTGCCTGACTTTGAGGGACCTGAGATAGGGCAGAAGGCACTTCTGGTTTATGTGCTGCGTGACCCTCTTTATATGGTTAGTAGGGGCATATAATACATGTTGGTAGAGCAAATTGAATTTTGATTTGTAGCTCACCTTTAGGGAATCAATTTCACTGCCAAGGAGACTACTTCATAATTTCAACATGAGGCTTCCTGTTTTTAGAGGAGGCTGCGGGAGCATATAGATGAAGCAGCCAGCCAGCCTGGTGCAATCTGCTCTGCTCTATTTTCAGCAAAGATTTTGTTAAAATTGTGCTCTGTTCAGGCTAAACACTAAAAGGGCTTTTTTGTATTGTAGGCATGCAGCTTAGGCAGACATTGTGCAACAAGCTAGATAGAACATCTGTCTCTGGATGCTCTTCTGGCTTCCAGCTTGCTTTAGTCTCAGAATGGCTTTCTTATTATGTTAGCAAATGGGAGAGGGAAATGAGTTAAAGGGGTTTATCTCAGGACAATTGATTGCAGAAACGAATCCCTTGTGGTCTCTCCAGAGAAGCAAGCAATTGTTAAAGCGTTTCAAAGCTTTCTCTGTGTTGGCAGGGTATTGGCCTGAAAAATATTCCACCATCACCCTTTTCTATTTTGCCCATGGCTTGTACTTGCATAGCATTTCCATTTAAGGCAGATGTGGCCCTCCAGATTCTGTAGGGACCATAACTCCCAATATCCCGGACCTCAGGCTATTCTGGCTACTGATGATGGGGGTTGCAAACAAGCGGCATCCTCAGGCTAGCCATGCTCAATATACATAGGAACAAAGGATGCTGCCATGCTGAGTTGAACCATTAGTCCATCTAGTTCAATATTGTCTGCATACTGACTAGCTGCTGTTTTTCAGGGTTTCCGACTAAGATTTCTCAGAGATCTGGGGATGCTGGGGATTGAACTCGGGACATTCTGCGAATGCTCTGCTACGGAGTTATGACTCTTCTCCTTATTTAAGATACAGGTGGCAATATTTCATGTGGGAGTTCTTTTCCTGGCCCCCATATGTCTTGGCGAAGCACGTATAAGCTCCCCCCTTCCACCCTCGTTCTGCCCTCTTTCAGGTCCAAAAGGACTAATGCATCAGCGATCACACATCAATTGGATGTGCCTAAAATGGTCACCGCCTGTAAACAAGAACAGAGCAAGCTACTTTCCCCACAATCTGATGGGTTAAAACCCTGATCCCTGCTAAAGTGAAGAACTTAGACATCCTAAGTACATGTGAACAATTAGATAACTTTGTAAGATGTTGGGAGAAAGTTTTCTCACATGCACTAGTGCATCAGCACTGTTAGGTCAGCTTTCCTACAACATTTCTTGAGTAGTAGCCAGCAGACAGAAGGAGTGACTTTTTTGGGGGGGGAGGGTTGCATGCAACAGCTCTCAGGTTTCGTAAGTACAGTCTTCCAGTTAAGACGGGGATAGGGGGCCCTGTGACCCTTCAGATATTGTTGGAGTACGACTTCCATTTTCCCTGACCTTGCTGGCTGGGGTTGATAGGAGCAAGAATCCAACAACATTTGGAAGGCTACAGGTTAAGGGGTCTCACGTTAGAAAGGTTGGGTAAGGTGTTTGAGCACTGCCATCAGTCATACCAAACAATATTGGCATGTTAGTGTATCTTAGTTTGGTAGCCTACCTTTGGGGGCCAATGGGTGCCTTCTGAATTTTGAGTAGGTGCCATGGGCACCAGCCACAAAAGTTGCTGTGAGGGTGTGGCAGTACCCAAGATGGCTGCTACATCTAAAAATGCCAGAAGAGAGGCACCTACAATAAAACACCGACAGAAGCTCATAGCACCTCTCCTCTGTTCAAAAGAGAAAGGAGGTTGGGTGCCCAGGCCTGTTATCCAATGAAAGATGGGCATGTGTTGAAGGGTACATTTTTAGTTTAGGAGAAGCTGAACCAGGTTCAGGAAGCAGGAAGGTACTGGCTAGAATACTAGTGCCTACAGGCACTGCATTGGCAACCCCTGACTTATCTTCCCAGTACCAACGTTCAGTAGTAAAAGGCTACATGAGGACTTTGTAGTGATGCTATATGACTCCTCCCCTCTTGTCTAGCATGGAAAGCTATTAGTTGTATTTGTTCAAATTCTGCTGTAAGATATGGGGTCTTCTCATAGTCTATGTTACTTGAAAAGGAGTTTGTATGTTTTAATGAGTGGGGATTTAGTGACTAAATCAACCTGCATTTTGTATTTCCTTATAGAGACTCATTACTGGTCTCCTTTATTACCTGTTGCAGCTGTAGACATAGCATGGAAGATCAGGGGTTTCTTGATCAGCATTTTCACTGATAGTTGTTTTCAGTGACTCCTGTGCACCCATTTTTCTGAAATGAAACTGATAGTATGTTTCACACAGTTGTAATGTATGCTTCAGACCCCTCTGAAAAAAAATATGCATGAAGTCCTAACGGTTCTTGTCTTGCATTTGTAGATTCACATCATAGATTTTGATGATGAAAATAACATTATAAACAAAAATGTTCTTCTGCATCAAGTTGGTGAAATTTGGCACATAAGTGCCAGTCCAGCTGACAAAGGTGTGCTTTCAACCTGCTACAGTAAAAGTAAGTGCAATTTGAAGGCTTTCCTTTCCTCTCCTTTTCTTCTGTAAGACACTTATCTGAGAGTGTATATATGGTATTGAAATGCACATTATCTCTTCTAGTGGCATTCATGTTGGTTTGAGGGATTACATTCTAACTGCCAATTTTTTAATTGATAAATGAACTTAGTGGCTCTCTGATCACTTAACTTTTGGCGCACATGTCTGATGCATGGGAGGGGCTCCAAGCAGTGTTCAAAATTAGCAAGGCGCCAGGTGCATTTTGCACCTGCCTATCAGCCACTTGTGACCAAGTGAAGATGCCTGGTCACCAGGATGGCACCTGACATCTCCACCATCTGAGGATCATTGGATCTTGACAGTTTTCACACAGTTTTTACATCCCTATAAAATTCTATCAGTTATCTTTTATCTGCACAATCGGAATGAATTTCAGGATCCGAAATGCTTTTTCTGTGCCGCCTGAGCAGGATTGGTGAACAACGTTTTAGTTAATTGTTGTAGTTTATCTTACCCCACCCTCATATTCTTACGTTATGAATGGTCCATGTCACCATTAAGAAAAAGAGGTAGGAATTGGCCAATATATATGTGGACAGTCCCTGGATCAAGTGACTTTTCTTCTTTAAGTTCTCAAAGTTCTTAACCAAGCTCAAGGTTGTCATCTGTAGTAGCCAGATGTTTAACTGAGTGACAATTGCAGTCAGTCCATCATTTGAAAAATAAGACTTTAGAGCCATCTTGCCCAAAATGGCAACCAGAGATTCTGTTTTGGTGACTGCAACCTTGGTTTAAAGAGGCATTTGACACCTAGCCTATATATCTGAGTTTCTAACGCTGGTTCCAAGAGAGAGAAGTAAATTGCCAAGTTAGATGAGATACCTTTTAAAAATGCTAAAGTGTCTTGGAAAGATATACTGTGCTGCTCTTTGTAAAGGGAAAAGTGGCTGAAATATTTAATAAACTTATTAATTGTAAAACCCCGCACAGCGGTGATGCAGTCTCTTCTGTGGTGGACAGTCACAGAGTAAGGAAGAAAAATGTACCTTCAGGTGGGTAAAGTGGCTGTAGTGAGGCGAGCTTTCAGCTTATATACAACAAAGAAAAACATCTGCACAATGGTGAGTGAGCAGCAATGGGTATATCATGAGAAGACCCTTTTCCATGTCCCCTGCTGCCCTGGGCTGCTAGATCATTATATCTGAATTGCTATAAATCTTCTCACTTTGAGAAGGTGAAACGGCAAAAAGGATAGTAGATCATCCTGGTACCAGAGTAGCTGGCAAAATTAGAACAATGAAGAGCTGACAAAGCACTGAGCAGAGATAAAATACAACCAGTGCACACCCTGCAATACTTAATTTTCACAGGTTTTGTTAAAGACTTGGGAACTCTGAGAATGCTAGACCTGGGGGCAAACTGCAGATCTGTAACCTTAGTCTCTTCTCTTCTGTTTTTTGGGGGATGTAACTGTAGTAAGACCTTTACAGACTGTTCTGTAACTTCACATCTAATGCTGCCGATATCTTGGGCTAAGATGCAATTCTGCGTTAAAATTGCAATGTGTATATAACCATTATTACGACTGCTGTGTTGTGGAAATGTATGCATGTATATATGTCTAGTTTCACCGTGGAACGGACTGCACAGACCAGGGAAGGGGGTATAAGTAATGCTGAGCGCTGCTTTCAATTTCACATGTGTTCACAAAGAAGTCAATTCTGTCCTATTTCTGAAATAATCTTCCTTTTCCCCCACATACATCTGTATGGCAATATCTATTTAAACTTGTTTTTTTAATCTCACTCTACACATTTTATAAATATACTTTACCTGTCTATATTTTTTGAGGTGAGCACGGTCAAAAAATGCAGAGAAGTGCAAAATCCAAAGATAATTAGGTTCCAATCTGCACATTAGTCCATTAGGCGCAGATCAGGTCAGTTCACATTGGAGTTCATGGAAATTGAATTCCTCAAGCATCCCTAATCCCGCTTGCCTTTGCTACCATCTGCTTGCTTGCTTTTTTTCCACTCCGTTCTGCTGAACTCTCCCTGCCATCACTGGTATGACTTCAGGCACATGGAAATTCAAGCAGAAAGGCATGGCAGTTGCTGCAAATCAGCTGGCAAGGAGTTGCCATGGCGTGTTAAGGGGTGTGTGTGTATGAATGACAGAATCAGGGGATTTCAGAAACTTCTGCTTTATAACCTTTCTTAGTCCTACTGAATTGTCACTCACCTCAGAATCCTTTTATAGGCTATAGCTGGAGATGAAAAAATCCAGAAGCATGTATTTGCAAACTCATTTCGCCCTTTCAGCAGTTTTAAATAAGAACACTGTGTTGAGCGTTCCTTTAGAATATACCGAGAATGTGAAAATGAGATGAGTCTGTTCATAATTATAATTTACTTACGCAGATTGTCGAATTAAGTGAGGTCTCTCTTTTAACTTTGCCATTGGGCAATCCATTTGAAAGGGTTGGTTTGGGGATATTTTTTTGGAATGCAATAACTTTATTGAACTTTGAGATCAGAATGGCAAGTTGGAGAGATTCAAATCGCCATCCCCACATCTACTTTCAAGGAAGAAAAGGGAAGGCGTAAAACACCATTAGATACAGTACTAGAAATGAGCCATCTCCCCACCCAGTGGATATTTCATCCCTGCTGTTGGTACTTTCATTCTCTGTCCTCTGCTGTGCTTTCAGACATCATGGAAACTTGTAGGGAGGCGAAAGGTCACAGGCCTTGCCAAGTGTTCAGTTGTAGGAGATGTTTTCCAGAGATCTCTATACACATAATTGGTGGGAAAGAGAGTTCATCTGCTTCAAGAGCGGAGGAGTCTGGTGGAGAAAGCAGGGGTGGAAGTGGCAATTTTTCAGTAACTCAAAGTTACTGGGGTGAGGGGCAGTATGCATTGCTAGGATGCAGGTGGTAGAAGCTGAGGAAGAAAAATGAAATATCTGCTCAAGCACCTCTTAAAAATATGTAGTTGGCCAACATGGGATAAGAAATTTGGAGCTAATTTTTGAGCATTAATTTTTGTTCTTTAAGATGACCATCGTTGAATCCCAGATGGGCTAAGGATTTCATTGGTGGAGCATTGGGAGGGAGGCTGGCTGCTGGTAGCCATGATTTTGGTTCAAGAAAAGTTCTCAGCTCACTGCTGTTGGTCTTCTGTTAATTATTTGGATCCATACAATTCTTTAGATGTTCTTGAGCATCTCCAGAATATTCCTCTTCATTTTCAACGTTCCTCTACATGGAGGTGCTGCTGTTTCCCTGTAGTAAGTAATGAAGGGGCTCAGCAACACTGAAGAAAACATTCCACAGATAATACCGTACTGATCTACTCAAGCCGTGTTGAGCATATTAGATATTATGAGGAATGGCTTCCAGAAATCGGAATTGATCGTTGGAGATGAATTGTGAAAAAGGCACATTTTACGTATCTTCTGTTAGTGCAAGATTTTGGCCTTGTGGGCAGAGGGGGTTAAATATGTAAACTAGTCTGAAACTATTTGTGTCTTTTTTTTTTAAAAAAAGTCATCTTTGTAGGATTGCTGTCTGCTGTGTGGTTCTCTCCACATAGGTGAGGAAGGACCCTGTAACAGGTGATGGGAAAGTTCTCGGCCTGAGAGACCCTGCCAGCCAGAGTAGACCAGGCTTTCCCTATCTGGTGCTCGCCAGATGTTGCAATATGGCTGAGGGTGATGGGAGTGGAGCTCAACAACATCTGGAAAGTACCAGGTTAGGGAAGGCTGGAATAAAGCTAGATGGATGGATGATCTGAGATCTAGTAGTACAGTGGTACCTCGGGTTAAGTACTTAATTCATTGCAGAGGTCTGTTCTTCACCTGAAACTGTTCTTAACCTGAAGCACCACTTTAGCTAATGGGGCCTCCTGCTGCTGCCGCCGCGCTGCCGGAGCACAATTTCTGTTCTCATCCTGAAGCAAAGTTCTTAACCCGAGGTACTATTTCTGGGTTAGCGGAGTCTGTAACCTGAAGCGTATGTAAACCGAGGTACCACTGTAATATAGCTTCCTGTGTTCCTACTGAAGTTGAAATTCTTTTGGCTGGAAACATTTTGATTTTCAAAAAAAAAAGAAGATTTATATTGTCTGAACATGGGAGAACCATTTTAAGAACACACACTGGAATCGTAGCAAGCTTTTATACTACTCAATTTAACTTTTCTAGAACATTTTCTATTTTCTGAGAATTGAAGGGTTCCTTGCTTCTCTTAGTAGCCCGAATATTTTTTAAAAGTCCAAATGAGAGAAGCAAGATTATTGTTATAGCATGCAACTGAAATGAATATTACTTTTATGATGAATTTAAATGTAATGGATAAGTAAACCGGGCTATGTAGTCTGCTTCTTACATGATCCAGGATGCCACGTGTTCTGAGAACAGACATCACAGCAGTTTGGTGAGACTAAGAAGTAGCATTCTGACAAATAAACCAATGCAAATGCCAAACGTCAACTCTGAGCAGCTTTGAAAAGAAGCAATTTTGCACATGATATGTCTGCAAAATTATGTAAAGGGGAGTTCTGTTCACTCATTGCCTCTTCTAGATTCCAGTTTATGGTTTTCCACCTAAAATGAAAACATTTGTGGACTGCACTGAATATGTTGCTCGGGCTTGCATAACTTACTCCTGATAAACACATTTTCTTATAACTCCAGGATTAAAAGCTTGACTCTATTGGTGTGCTGCTGAAAGATTTGATAGCACACAGCCTGCTTTTTTTATTTTATTTTCCAGGGTGGGAGAAGGGGAGACAGGGAAATCACTTGATTCCTAAGAGGCATAAATAGCACAATAAAGTCACTTTTAAAACAAATCAGTTATATGCCAAGATACTGTCACTTTTATAACTAGGACAGTTTCATAAGGTCTGACACTGGTAGCTGTAGAGATGCCGATTTATCACATCAGTGTGACAGCTGTAGGAAATTAAATCTGGTCCCCCCCTTTTTTTTCACCTCTTACTTTTGTGGGAAATCCTTGGAGGGCACAGAGACTGGCATCGCCACCTGCCCTCTCCTTCAGGGTGAAAGCCTTTGTCCCTGAGAGAGATCAGCTGGCACAATAGATATGTAACTTGTACCTCTCTGCTCCAGCATCACTGGCTCAATGTGCAATGTAGCAGAATTAATAATACTGTAGGGATCTCACATTTGCATTACCTGACTTTATTGGAAGGGGGGGAAGAAGGAGAAGGAGAGATGTGCCGTCTCGCATTTCATTAAGGCTTCAGCATATACATTCTGTAGCTTTAATATTGCAGGGGGAGAAAGAGGGGAGGGTGGGAGAAGAGAGAGAGAGCGTGCTCACAGCTTCATCTTATTTGGATTTAAAAGAGCGGTTTCCTAATGCTTTATGGAAATGCAGTGGGAAAGAGGACAGTGTCATTCCTTGACACTGATGAGGGTGGTTTGGGGGTCGTGAGTGAGGGTTCAGTTTGATTAAATGAAGGCTTATCTACAGTGGAGCTGCAGAGCATGCTTGCTCCTACAAGTCAAGGTTCATTCGCTCGAAAAGCTGGGGTGGGTGCAGGCGAAAGATGATTCAAAGGCATCTGTCATAAATATTTCAAATCTGTGCCTGCGATAATAGCTCCGTGCATAGTTCTTCCCATGTAAAAAGTGAAGAGTTGACTAGAAAGCACTCTTGCGGCAATATGGGTGGTGTGTTTTTGTGTGTGTGTGTGTGTGTGTGTGTATATATATATGTGTGTGTGTGTGTGTGTGTGTGTGTGTTAGAGAGAGAGAGAGAGAGAGAGAGAGAGAGAGAGGAGGAGAGGGAAGAGAGAAAGAAAAGGGGTGGGGGAGAGACAGAGAGTCTCATTACACAATAGTCTGTCTTGATGTAATGGTGGAAAGAACCGGCAGAGGGCAAAGTCTCATAATTGTAGGTGATGGTCTCTTTGTCTGCTTTTGCCCTGCTGTTAAGAGGATTTTGAAGATGTGATGATAAATAACCTGTTTTGAGGGCTTGGGGTATGCCGCTTTCCCCTGTCAAAAATCATCATTCAACACATCCTGTCTCCTCAGAGCTTCGGCTTTTTCTGAGAGAGCACATTTTAGCGTTGCTTTTAAAAAACAAAAATTCTACACAGAAAGGCATTTTCACATATAGCAGTTTCTCTTCTTTCTTTTGCTGGAGAGAAGGGGGAAGGGAATTCCTGTGCTTATCAATGAATCGTGGTCTTTTTTTAAACAAACAATTAAACGGACAAACAAACTACAAATACTGTAATGCAGTCCTTGCCAGCTAATGATCGCCTGTTGACAATAACATTTTGTGATGGAAGATCAGACATTGGTATCTGTTTGGTAGACTGCATTGCGAGGGCAGCAGCAGCAAAAAAACCAACAAAACAAAAACCACTCAGTAAAGCAGAAAAATAGCAAAAAAATAAACTTGTTCAAATCATTTCATTTCTGCTGTTGCTTTTATTAACAGTGCAAAAATCACATCTGGATTTTATTAACGTAAAGTGTTTGTGCAGTGGTATATTTACATTGAGACATTTCATATTTTAGGTGAGGACAGAGTTTAGACTGGATTAGATGAACCAGTGCTAAACATCTGTGTCTTAAGTGTCTCTTTAAAGCCTCTGTTGGATTTTTCTGAAGTGAGTTTACACTAGAAATGTGAAATGGGACAGGGATCCAACAACCTATGCTTCATTTTATAGATCCCACAGCAAAAATGTTGCTGTGCAAATATGAGTTTAGAGACACTACTCACGGTCTCATCCAAGGCCTTACTCTGTTACCACCCTCTCCCTGGGAAGGGGCTTTTATCTTGGGTTTGAGCCTTTTTAGCCTGGAGTTTATGGGAAATTTCCCCACATTTGTTTTCCTCATCACCTCCCCATTTCCAAAACTGGGAGGAAAGCGGAGTTGTTGTGTTTTCCTGGCACCTGGAAAGGTGAGTGAGTTAGGATTGGATGCTGCTGACTGATGGCGCCTAGGGTGCCTTTAAGAAGCAGTACCCGTTCCATCATTTTGCCCCCTAGCCCTTCTCATGAGTAAAGGTTGGGGGGGGTGCCTTTGAGCTGTGGCCTCCAACCCAGCACCCTGGGGAAGGGGAGAGATAAGCTAACAATAAATTGTAAGCTGCTGCCCCTCGTGCTATTTACATTTTAAGAAAAAGAAATGAAGGCACCGAAATAACATTTAGAAGACATCTGAAAGCAGCCCTCTTTAGGGAAGCTTTTAATGTTTAACAGACTACTATATTTTAATACTTTGTTGGAAGCCGCCCAGAACAGCTGGGGAAACCCAGCCAGATGGGTGGGATATAAACAATAAATTATTATTATTATTATTATTATTATTATTATTACATACTTACTTGAGCATAATGCTCAAAGGGGCAGTACATTGGACATATATACATTTCCTGAGTATAATCCCTTTGTCTTTTTCTCTGCGTGTATTCATTCAAGATGTGGCAGTGTGGGGGATGGCATCCCACTGGTCCTGCTCCATCATCAGCATGTCCAGCAGAAGGAGAGGACAGGCTCTGTATTCATGTCACTGTATGTACAATCAGAAACACTGGTTGTAGCAGGTTTGCTAAGTGAGAGTACATACCCTGGGTATGTACAGCTCATTCTCGCTTTCTGTGGAAGGCATGGAGATTGGGAGCAGACCAGCAAATGCATGGGAGGCTGAACTCAGTCTCTATCGGGGTTTTTTTGGTTTTGTTTTTTTTGCCATAGGTTGATGGAATGCACAGATGGAACATGAGCAGGGCTATAATTATTATTATTATTTTTTAAAGGAAATTACAACTTTGAAGCTACCTAGTTTATCTGCACTAATTAATTTTATGAAACAATGCGTCTTTGGAAACAGGAAGTTTTCTGCAGAAAAATAATAGCAGTGGGGGTGGGGGGTGGAATTGGGAGCTTTTCCAGATCACATCCATGGCTGCTCATTAATTGCTCTCAGACTCTGGAACCTCCCCTTCCCAGGAAACCTGTTTAGCTCTGTAGCTACCTGCTTAGTGGTTAGTGGTGTATTTTAAAGGCATTGTTTTCAGGGGGTCTTTGGATCATGATGAATTGAGTTTGCCCTTACACAGAAAAGTTATGAATATAAATCTCTTTCAGTGTGCTGTTTTTAGTTATACAGTGGTACCTCGGGTTACATATGCTTCAGGTTACATACACTTCAGGTTACAGACTCCGCTAACCCAGAAATATTACCTCGGGTTAAGAACTTTGCTTCAGAATGAGAACAGAACTCATGCTCTGGCAACGCGGCGGTAGCAGGAGGCCCCATTAGCTAAAGTGGTGCTTCAGGTTAAGAACAGACCTCCAGAACGAATTAAGTTCTTAACACGAGGTACCACTGTAGAGTGATTTTAGCGTGGAGGCTTTGTGGTAAGAATTCACCTCTACACCACCTTGTTCATTATCCAGTTGAGGAACAAACACCTATTGAATAAACCACAGAACCAGGAAAACTATTTCCGTGTCCAGCATTCAGATCGAGGGGCCCAGCATTTATTATAGCTATTGCAATAAGACAGAGCTAACTCAACTCAATACAGTGGTACCTCGGGTTACAGATGCTTCAGGTTACAGACTCTTCAGGTTACAGACGCTTCAGGTTACAGACTCCTCTAACCCAAAAATAGTACCTCGGGTTAAGAACTTTACCTCAGGACGAGAACAGAAATTGCGCAGCGGCAGCAGCGGGAAGCCCCATTAGCTAAAGTGGTACCTCAGGTTAAGAACAGTTTCAGGTTAAGAATGGACCTCCAGAACGAATTAAATTCTTAACCCAAGGTACCACTGTATACCAGTTGAGAAGGTCTGCCCCGTGGCACTTCAGAACAAAAGCTTATATTATAGTTCAAACACAGCAAGCAAAGAGTCATAAAACATCTTCACATACGTCAGGAAGTAAAACACACATGGCTCCATACTGGTATTTTCGCCCCTGCATCACCTTGGAGTGGCCCCGATGGGCCCAGACCATTTGACCATTTTAGGTCTCGGATGTCCGGCGTTACCCTGGCAACCTAGCCTTCCCTGAGGGAAGAGCATCGTAAAGTCCTTTTCCTGGGTTTGGATAGTTTCAAGGATAGCTTAAATATCTTGCCATTTGTACCACTTTCAGGGGTAGATAAGGGGAGATGGAATGCAGCGTAAGGGGGGAGAACACACAAAAACCAAACCTAACACATTCTAAAAGGTTAAATACAATTAAAGTTGAAACATTGTCAAAATAATAAAAATATACACCTGGGGTCTCTAATTCTTATCAGTCCCCCTTTGATCATAACCTTTTCAAGGATTGTGATAACACCTTATCAAAATTTTCAATCTGATCCATTCAAAGACATAAAACACGTGGGGAAACCTTCATGCCTACTTTTGAATAATTTGCTACAACTTCAGCAATCACAATACTCAGCAATAGCTTTTTAGTGATACGCCAAACCTACATACGGATTTTCATTTTCCTATGGGTATTCTCAATACACCAAACATACAAATGATATCATGCAAACAATTACATGAAGTGAAGAAACATTTGTCCTTTATGGGCATCACAACACAATTCAATACGTCAATTTACAGTTCCCACTAAAATTCAAACTATCATATAATACAAAATACCAATTCTGTATCTAGCTATTCATGAAAATCTCTTAGTCTTGAAAAACTTCTTGTTGCTTCCAAAAAATACCTTCAATCTCCCGGAGCTTCAACTTTAAGTTGTAGTCCAGAAAAAGTCTTTACAAGTCACCTTCTTCCAGACCCCCTTTGCCCGCCACCCCACAAGTCCTGGTTTGATGCAGGTGAAAAGAAATGGCTGTTGCTACTTTGCTGTCATTTGGGAGGCCATAAACTGGCAATAAACATTATTCTAAGTGATTCCTTGGCAGATTTCTTCTATTCACCAGGAGGGTTGAGATGCAGAGAAGTTTGCAGAGTTTGCAGAGAAAGCAACATTTGCTTCTGGGCCTGAAAACATAGTTAGCATGGGAAGGGGTTAAAAATGACAAACGGGGGAAGGGTTTTTCCAAAACAATGATCTTTTTTGCGTGTGAGAGCTATAAACCATATAAAGTTTTAAAGTTAGAAAATGTATTCGTTCCAGTTTATTTATAACTGTTATTGTTATCTGCTTAATTTCCTTTACCTACTTGGCTGTGGGAGGAAAGAGAAAGAAAATCTTATTGTTCATTCAAATGCAATAGAAAACATTTCGCTATAAGGAGCAGTAAGAGTTTTCAGAGACCTCCATTACCTGTTCATTTCTACAAAAAGCAAAATTATTATGGAAGAAAAAAAAGCCTGTTACAGTTATGGGCAGTTATTTTTATATCAGGATAACTTATTTCCACCGTGGGTTTATTCATACAAATTTTAGCAGTGACAGGTTTATTAGAAACAAAGTTAATTACTTATTCTCAAGTAATTAATCCAAACCATGTGGGTTGAAAAAAATTAGAATGGAAAATTAATACAACCCCCCCAAAAAAACACATTAACTCTCCCTTCCTCAGTTGATACACATGTTCTTTACATGTACAGTGGTACCTCGCAAGACGAAAAACGCGCAAGACGAAAAACGCGCAAGACGAAAGAGTTTTTCGTTTTTTGAGTCGCTTCGCAAGACGAATTTCCCTATGGGTTTGCTTCGCAAGACGAAAAACGAAAACGTCTTGCAAGTTTGTTTCCTTTTTCTTAAAACCGTTAATACCCTATGGGAAACTGTTCTTCGCAAGACGAAAAATTCGCAAGACGAAAAAACTTGCAGAACGAATTAATTTCGTCTTGCGAGGCACCACTGTACAAGGTTGAACCAACTTCCAGGCTTTCTGCCATATAAACACAAGAGCTCTAAAGTTCTAAAGTTGGGCTCTCAAGTAAATTGACCATTATTCAAGCACATAATTTAATGAATTCTTTACTATTTTCTTTTTAACTAGATCAGTCACACTTAACTGTCTAAACTTTAACCATGAACACACTTTTCTCAAACTTTTGCTTCGTACCGCATGCACTGGCAAGGAGACTTGAGAAGTCTTGGAGCTGCATGTTACACAATAAGTTCACCCATACTACATTGAGATAAAGTTTATTTCCAATAATATTTAAAACGCTCTGTTACTGCTTTCCTTTCCACATCAACATGATCCACTTGAAGCACTCTCTGAAAATTACAACCTGTTCCTCTTGCACAGACATCCCTTCTCCACATCCCTGTTGCCTTCACACACAGACATTTACTATCAGAACCAATCAAGAGATCCCTGGTTCTTTTGTCAAACAGATAGCTTTCCTTCTTCTGTCTGGCATCATAAAATCACAGAATGGTAGAGCTGCAAGGGGCCCCTCAGGGCTATCCAGTCCCAACTTTCTGCAGTGCAGGGAATGTCAACCAAAGCATTCATGACAAATGTCCATTTCTTGTTCAAGAAGCCTCTACTAAAAACCTGCAATAAAGGAGTGCCCACAATTGCTTGGGCTCCTCAAAATACAGACAGCAGAGTAAAGTATTCAGTGTGTGGCACAACAGTTGGGGGGAATTTATCCTTCTAGCGTTGTAAGATCTGCCTCTTTGCAGTTGTGAGAGGGCTCTTGTGTTGCCCACTAGTGAACTCCACAGGATCAGAGAGTAGCTCACCGTTATATGGGCTTCCTTAAACCTTAAAGCAATATTTAGTAGCCAATTGGGACAGGACGCGTGTGGTGCTGTGGTCTAAACCACTGAGCCTAGGGCTTGCCGATTGGAAGGTTGGCGGTTTGAATCCCCGCGATGGGGTGAGCTCCCGTTGCTCGGTCCCTGCTCCTGCCAACCTAGCAGTTCGAAAGCACGTCAAAGTGCAGGTAGATAAATAGGTACCGCTCTGGCTCTGGAAAGGTAAAAGGCTTTTCCATGTGCTGCTCTGGTTCACCAGAAGTGGCTTAGTCATGCTGGCCACATGACCCAGAAGCTGTACGCCGGCTCCCTCGGCCAATAAAGCGAGATGAGCGCCGCAACCCCAGAGTCGTCCACGACTGGACCTTACGGTCAGGGGTACCTTTACCTTTACCTATATAGCCTCTGCTCCAAAACAAGTGCAGTCTTACCTTGAATCCTGAACGCCCTGGAGCTCGGACGTTTTGGCTCCTGAACGCCGCAAACCTGGAAGTGAGTGTTCTAGTTTGCGAGCGTTCTTTTGGAACCTGAATGTCCAGCAGCTAATCAGAAGCCGCAATTTGGTTTCTGAACGTTTTGGAAGTCGAACGGACTATCGGAACGTATTCCATTGACTTCCAAGGTACGACTGTAGTTGCAGGACATGCCCTAATCCATGTGTGGATCTGCACTGCATTGCCAAGCTAGCACTAGATGTAGCCATGTGAGTTCAAAAAGGGTGGAGAGGAGTCCAGAAGAACAATTTCTGTTGGATCAAGTGTTCAGTGGTACCTCGGGTTAAGTACTTAATTCGTTCCGGAGGCCCGTTCTTAACCTGAAACTGTTCGTAACCTGAAGCACCACTTTAGCTAATGGCGCCTCCTGCTGCTGCCGCGCTGCCGGAGCACGATTTCTGTTCTCATCCTGAAGCAAAGTTCTTAACCCGAGGTACTATTTCTGGGTTAGTGGAGTCTGTAACCTGAAGCATCTGTAACCCGAGGTACCACTGTAATTTGAAATCCAAAGAAACACTTGTAATAGTCTGTCATTGGTGCACATGTATTGGGACTTCCTGACATCTGCTTTTAATACTGATACTCTGTATACGCCATATCTTGAAATGCATGAAAGATTGGCGAGTGTGTTCCTAAGTGTGTGAAGAGTGCATTTCCCTCGCCATTGAGTAGCTGGAGAATCTTGATGCCTCAGCAGTGAGAGAAAATATACTGATTTACAGGGAAGGAATATATTGATCTGCAGGGACTACTGCAAATGGTTTCATATTATGAAAGTGCTGTATGAATACTAAGAATTTCTACTGAGTATAAGTTATACTGTCTATCAACCAAGCAGTGATGCATTTTAAAATTATCTTCACACCCTACTTTGGGAGTAAGTTCAGTGGCCCCTGAACTTGTTGGTTTCAAAAAAAAATTATGCATTTTGGACCTTAATGATGGCAAGCCAGAACCAAAAGGTAGCAAGGTGGTAAAGTTGTCTTTCAAAAGTGCTATACCTTTGGAGCTCCCTCCTATTCAAACAGGCAAAGTGTGTTTCATCTCCATTAATAAGAATGATAAATCCTTCTGTTTTGTCAGTGGCAAAAAAAAATGAGGCATCTAAGACTAGCTGCTTGCTCCTGTCATACAGGGAACATTAATGGGCACCAGCTGGGCTGCAGCTATAGCTGCTACGCGACTTTAACTTTGCACAGCGAGAGCTGCTGCGGCAATGGTGCAGAAGTACCTCCTGTGCAGATTTAGAAGTACACTTCAATTGTGGTTCCCAGGGCAACAGAGTAATGGCAGCCAGCTGGCTTTGTACCACCTGAGCGCATCAAAGAGCAAGTCCTGTCAGCCACTGAAGCCTTGGCTCAGCGAGCTCCAGCGTGGATTTCTGCAGACAGCAGCTTTGGCTGGAGTTAAAAACACTTGGGAATGCAATTAAAGGATGACCAACGTATTTTTTGTTCATTTTACCCATAGGTACATAAGTCTCTTTACAAGAACTCATAGCAATCTTCTATTCTCACACAGATGTGACACATGTTTGATGCATTCTCCTTCTAGACTCTGTTTTTTCCTTCCTCTTTTTTTATAAAGAAATAGAACTGCAGAAATCTGTAATGCCTACAGTCTTTTATATTGTGTTATTTCAAACACAACAGATAAAGTACCACAGTACAAAACGATTTCCAGCCATCCAACCTTCACAGAAATGCAAATATGTATGTATGTAAATCACATTGGAAACCAAATCCCATACCTCATAGAGACCATTCCTTGAAAAGAGATGAAATCTCCTTTTTATTGGAAAAGGGAAGAAATTGATTATAGTGGTACCTCAGGTTAAGTACTTAATTCGTTCTGGAGGTCCGTACTTAACCTGAAACTGTTCTTAACCTGAAGCACCACTTTAGCTAGTGAGGCCTCCTGCTTCTGCCGCGTCTCCGGAGCCCAATTTCTGTTCTCATCCTGAAGCAAAGTTCTTAACCTGAAGCACTATTTCTGCGTTAGCGGAGTCTGTAACCTGAAGCGTATGTAACCTGAAGCATATGTAACCCAAGGTACCACTGTATTGGCTGTGGGAAGGCAAACGGAGTATAACTCAAAATTTCCCTTTTCCACAAGAGTATTCAAATAACCTAATAAAGCTTAGAAAGGTTCTAGTGGCACAAATACCAGCCATGTACTCTGCAGTTCAAGGTGCCGGTCTGTACGACAGTTGTCTTTATCACAAGTTGAACAAAATCTGCATTAAAAGATATACATCATCATCCCTCATATGATCCAAACCAGGGTCTGGCTGGAGGGCTGGATCCAGAAGTCAACAACCCTCCACAGGGTGCTTTGACAAGTGGCTGGGATCATATGATGTCATGGCAGCCGTAGCGTAAAGTTTCAAAGGAAGACTCTTTTCTTTGTAGTTTCAGCTTGAATTCTTTTTGAATTCTGCCTTGAAATTTCCCACACTTGATGTCATATGACATCAGGCATGGGAAAGGCGGGTGCTGTTTAGCAGTCCGGCAGACCAACCTCAAAGACCTACCACTGATCTAAACCATAGAACTGTTTTCTCACCCTGAGTTGAACACCATTGGTATAAAATATTTGGACTGTGTTGCTCATAGATTGTATTTTTAATCAAAAGGGCTAAAAGTGGCAGCTGTAATATGCACAAATTGAAATAATTTTGAACGTCTTACAAATAGATATACCACACATGTACCTATGTAATTTGCAAATCTATTAAATGATCTGTACACATGCCTTCAGCTAACTGTCCTGCAGCTGTAGAAAAGACGAACAAAAATGAAATCATGGGGCAGATTCATCTACTCCATCCCAGTAGCAAAGGCCAGGGCATGGTTGGGAGAATCTCTAGAACAGAGCTTGGGCGGCAGGGGCAGGGGGCGGGTTGTCATTCAACTGAGCAAGCATAAATGCTTGCACTGACAGAACGTTCTCCTTAGCGCTACATTGAATTCCACCCTATATGTTGTTTTCTAAGCAAGTTAAGCAATTGTCAGTACATCAGCTGGAGTTTCAGTGACTTGGCCAGATTGATATGTGCCGACTTCTGTATATTGAGCATTTCGTTGCTGCAGTTCTGAGTGCTTACCTGTAAAAGGAGTGAGTAATAAGAAGGAAGTGTGAGGATTTAATTGTCCCCTTAAACTTCAGATTTGTAAGTGACAAAAAATAACGGGTTCATCTCTGTAATGGGCAATGAAAATACGTTATGAGCTTCTTAGGAGTTGTAGAACTGCTTGGTTTCTAAAACTCCCAAGGATTGGTAACAGGCAACTCCTTCAAAGGGTAGATTATGGCATGCATGAGAGAGCATTCAGTAACGTATGTTGCCAACAAGATGTCAGTGTGTTTAATCATTTTGGTTTGAAGAATATAACAGATGGCACCAAAGTTGTGGTTACATTGGGTGAGTGTGGGTGTTAGTAAGGGTGGTTTAATGCTTAAAAACACACAAAAACTTTGATTTGCTTCATATCTTCTCTCAAGGACCCAGGCCTATCTAGGAGTGCCAATGAATAAAATTTTGGAGGGGGGCAGGTAATCTCCACCCTGCAAAATCGATCACATGACACCATTTGAATGGCAATGCCCATCAACTTTGGGGAGGCCCAGCCCCTCAAATACTTTATTAGGGGGGGTCAAAGGGACCTCGCTAGGAGTTGGTTTCTATCTGCCCATCTCTCCCAATTGATTAAAGGCGCCTCAATTACTTAGGTCTATCAGTTCTTCTGGAAAGTGCTGTAGAGAAGATTAAAATAAAACCTTGTGTAGCCAAGTTAACTCTCCTGGCAACATTGTGGATACCAATTTATGTTAAGTGTGGCAAAGCTAGAAAACTGTCCTAGGAAATGTATTGGCCTGGGCCATCTAAAGTTAGTTTCGACACATTCCCATTGAAATTACTAGAGCAAGTTTAGTCTTGACTAACTTAAAAGCATATTACTTTCAGTGGCACTGAGGACTTTCTGAATGCATTCTCTACTGGTATTGTTTGAGGAAAAGGTTCTAGAAAGAGTGACTTCTGAATTTCAAAGGATAACAAATATTATGGGGCTAAATGTATAGCGACAATAATACAAAGAGCTATTTAAGTACACCCAAAAACTTGGTCAAGCCCAGTTGAATTTTGGATTTTGCTTTCTTTCTTTCTTTCTTTCTTTCTTTCTTTCTTTCTGGATTCTAGTAGGCCTGTCGTTTGATTTTCTGGGGTATTCCATTCCCCCTAAAAGTTACCGTATTTTTCGTTCCATAGGACGCTCCGTCCCATAGGACGCACCTACTTTTTTGGGGGGGAAATAAAGGAAAAATTTTTTTCCTTTATTTCCCCCCCCCAAAACCAGGTCGGGGAACAGTGGGATGGCGGCGCTGCGCCTCCCCGTTGTCCCCCGAGCTTGTGGGGCTGGCCATGTCTGCCCGGCGTGAGGGGCGCTCTGCTTCAGGGCGCCCCACGCGCCGGGCGGCAGGCTGCAGACACCTGCGCGAAGCACGGGATGTCCTCCGAGGGCGCCCCGTGCTCCGCGCTGCAGGCTGCCGCCCGCAAGCCGTGCGCGCCCAGGGGGGATCTCCCCCTGGGCGCGCAAGGCTTGCCGACACCTGCGCGAAGCACGGGGCGTCCTCCGGAGGGCGCCCCTTGCTCCGCGCTGCAGGCTGCCGCCCGCAAGCCTTGCGCGCCCGGGAGATCCCGGGTGCGCAAGGCTTGCGGACACCTGCGCGGGGCACAGGACGTCCTCCGAGGGCGCCCCGTGCTCAGCGCTGCAGGCTGCCGCCCGCAAGCCTTGCGCTCCCGGGGAGATCCCGGGTGCGCAAGGCTTGCGGATGACCTGCGCGCAAGCACGGGACGTCCTCCGAGGGCGCCCCGTGCTCCGCGCTGCAGGCTAGCCGCCGCAAGCCTTGCGCTCCCGGGAGATCCCGGGTGCGCAAGGCTTGCCGACACCTGCGCTGAAGCACGGGGCGTCCTCAGGAGGGCGCCCCGTGCTCCGCGCTGCAGGCTGCCGCTCGCAAGCCTTGCGCTCCCGGGGAGATCCCGGGTGCGCAAGGCTTGCGGACACCTGCGCGAAGCACGGGACGTCCTCCGAGGGCGCCCCGTGCTCCGCGCTGCAGGCTAGCCGCCGCAAGCCTTGCGCTCCCGGGGAGATCCCCGGGTGCGCAAGGCTTGCAGACACCTGCACGAAGCACGGGGCGTCCTCCGGAGGGCGCCTTGCTCCGCGCTGCAGGCTGCCGCCGCAAGCCTTGCGCTCCCGGGGAGATCCCCGGGTGCGCAAGGCTTGCGGGCACCTGCGCAGGCACGGGGCGTCCTCCGAAGGGCGCCCCGTGCTCCGCGCTGCAGGCTGCCGCCCGCAGCCTTGCGCTCCCGGGGAGATCCCCGGGTGCGCAAGGCTTGCGGGCACCTGTGCCGGGCACGGGGCATCCTCCGGAGGGCGCCCGTGCTCCGCGCTGCAGGCTTCTGCCCGCAAGCCTTGAGTGCCCAGGGGAACTCCCCCCGGGTGCGCAAGGCTTGCAGATAGCTTCCTGGAGCCTGAAGAGCGAGAGGTGTCGGTGCGCACCGACGCCTCTCGCGCTCCAGGCTTCAGCGAAAGCCTGCATTCGCTCCATAGGACGCACACACATTTCCCCTTCATTTTTGGAGGGGAAAAAGTGCGTCCTATGGAGCGAAAAATACGGTAGTTAGCATTCCATGCCAACTGAGCACCCCTAGGTCTTATTGGACTGTATGGGGGAACCTTCTTTTCTGAGCTTTTCTCAAGAGGTACACACAGGTATGGGCCCAGTCTTTTCCTTCTCACAGGAGAAGTATCTCTATTTGTAGGGCTCCATGCCCTTAGTTTGAGACTCTGTGGCCTTACTGCAAGATGTCATAACACTGAAAAAATCAGAGCATTCCACAAGATGGAAATTCAGAAAAACGTGTGAAGAATGCCTCCAAAAGCAGCAACATAGGCTCAGACCAGAAAATAAGCTCCTAATGTATTTTGGGCACACAGACGGGACAGAGATGCATCATATCACAGCCTCTCAGTGGAGAGGGAGGACTGCTTGCTAGACTCCAAGGAATGTCAGCCAGGTTTGCAAGATGTGAAAACCTGATACCTTCCTACTCAACAGACTGTCTTGTGCCTGCAAATATGCACGGTCTTGATATAATTAGCAGCTATTGTACTCTGAAAGTGAGAGATCTGTCTAGCCAGTCTCCAATTAGTTCCCCCCCTTTTTTAAAGGGGGGCAGTCTTCAGTGTTTCCAAACCTTAGCTTAGCCTGTAGTGATAGCAAAGAAACAAAAAATTGGTCAGTTTATTACATTTGCACGGAATCTTGTTTTCCCAACACACTGGTCATTCCTAGGCCAGGTACAGAGTTCAGAGGGGAAATGTGCCACAGGGCAGGACCCTGCGGGTGGAGTCCAGTTGGTACCCTTGCACTCAGAAACGGGCCTTTGTTCCAGTGGGTGCCTTCACTAATGGAAGAGGAGGGGGAGTGGTTTTTTGCCCATTTCCCTTGCCACCTTTCACCATCTTCTGGAGAGTCCCTCATCTGCAGAGTTGATTTTGGAGGGTGCTGGGTGGAATGGCTAAAAACCACCTCTTCCTCCCATTAGCAGAATTGTCTGTTGGATTTCTCTTTTGGGAGCACATGGGCACTAACTGGACTCTTAACCTAGGACAGGTTTCTTAATGGGGTTAGAAAAACACTATGGCAGTATTTTGTGACTACGTTATACAGTCATACCTCGGCTTCAAGTGGTTTCAGGTTAAGCCTTTTCGGGTTGCACTCTGTGGTGACCCGGAAGTAACGGAGCGCGTTACTTATGGGTTTCGCCGCTCACGCGTGCGCAGACCCTCAAAATGACGTCACGCGCATGCGCGGAAGCAGTGAACCGCGACCCGCGGACGCGGGTTGCATTCACTTCAGGATGCGAATGGGGCTCCAGAACGGATCCTGTTTGCATCCAGTGGTACCACTGTATATTTTTGTGACTTTATATTGTAAACTGCTCTGTGATCCTTGGATGAAGGGATATATGGAAAATAAGTTAGTTAGTTAGTAGTGGTAGCTCAATTCCACCCAATGTTAGTGATCTGCTGACAGAAATCTACCCTGGGTCTTATCTGCCAGTGTATAATAATAGCCAAAGGATCTAAACCACGTTTAAGCCAAGAAATCTGTTAGTCAATATGCTTGTACCATACAATAGCAGATAATATTTATTCATGTTTCCCTCTTGAACTAGGTAATAAGGAAATGTTTGTCTGAAACTGAAGTAGTTAATTTTGTAACAAAGAAGCAGATATACGTACTTGGCAACCTTAGACTTCAGTGTTGTTTTACCTACGTTGTTAGATAAGTTAATTTAGTATTCTGATTCTGCAAAATTAAATGGCGCTTATTTCTGTCAATCTTCTGCATCCCCCTCTCCTTAGTTTTCCACATTATGATACAGGGATGCTTCTGTGCATTCTCTGTCATAGGGATGGGGAACCTGTGGCTTTCCAGATGTTGTTGTACTATAACTCCCATCATCTTTGACCATTGTTGGTGCTCCCAACAACCTTTGGAAGGCCACATACTCCCCTAATATGCACTCTTTTGCAGAGAACCTCAATGGATTATTGGTTTCGCTTACATTCAGGTGGATTAGAGTAGCTCAACCAATAAGATTGGACTTCCATATTGTAGAGATTCCATTTTGGCCACTGGAGTTCATTGGAGAGCCTTGAGTAATGCACTGTCGTCGTCCCTGCTTTAACCTACCTCATAGGGTTGTTGTAAAAAATAATGTTATAAAACATTTGTATGTTAATGCTACTACTTTCAGTGCCTAATACAGGTTCTGTGTTTAAGCAGATTTCTTAGCCTATATCCACATTCTAGGCTCATGTTTAGAAGTAGGTTCTAAAACTGCATTTTACATTTATTGTAAAATCAGTCCTGATATTTGTCTTTCCTGATTTTGCCTTGCTAATTATTATACGAACTATTGAGTTAAGCCTAATAGTTCAGAACATTTGTATCTGGAGAGTTTATTGTCTTCCTTCACTAATGACAATTAGGCATTGTTGTTTTTTATGCCCTTCACCAAATGTGGGGTTTTGCGTGTTGAGCCGCTCATTCCTTGCAGCTTTCACTAGGTTTTCTCCTCTATCCTTGCATAGCCTTTTGTTAAGCATTAACTATTTATTGAAAATTTTCCGTGTTTCAATGTGTACATGCCTGCTGATTGCAGAATAACTTGTGGTGCTGGAAAAGTATACCCAACACTAAACAGCAGAAGCCAAACAATCAGGGGGAATGAATAAATAAATAAATACAAAGGGGGGAAAAAAGACATATGAACGTAGTAAACACATTGTCATTGTATAATTGTATAACCTTTTGAAATCTGGCTTAGGGAGTGTTTGAAGCATTGCTAGATAAGGATGGTAATAAATTTGTCACTGATTCTGCAACGGTATAAATTTAGCATGGATGATATAGGGCAGGCATAGGCAAACTCAGCCCTCCAGATGTTTTGGGACTACAACTCCCATCATCCCTGACCACTGGTCCTGTTAGCTAGGGATGATGGGAGTTGTAGTCCCAAAACATCTGGAGGGCTGAGTTTACCTATGCCTGATTTAGGGATTGGAAACCAGAACTGGCGATACTTGTATTCATGTGACTATATTGGGGGATATTCCATGTTAATCATATATGGAGTGATAATTATATATGGAGTCATACTTGGAGGACACCCTCTGACTTAGTTGGATATCGCTCATTGTTCTTGGGGTTGGTCAGTTTCATTTATTCAATGTGGTGTGCAAGAGCTTTCCGCAACTTCCATGAAGCAGGAGCTTTTTTGGGATTACCTCCAATACCCATTACACTACAGATGGGGAACCTGTGGCCTGCCGTATGATTTTGGATTACAACTAACATCACCTGACTATTGGCTATGCAGACTGGGGCTGATGGGAGGTGGAGTCTAGCAACACCTGGAGAGTCAAAAGTGCCACAGAGCAACAAGGGTCTTTGAGCACTTGTAAGCATGTCAATAGTTTTCCATTCTGTGCATTCCTGGAAATTCTGGAACTGGCAACAGCCTTGGGTTTGAAATTTTTTGGGGGGCCAATAAACCAGGGACTCGGAGATTGGATTGTTCAGACTTTCTGCTGAAAGGACTGAAGCAGGCGCTCTCTGAAAGTATGGGGCTTTAAAAATGTCGTTCTCTGCAGAGGAGGTGATTTAGTGCCACACATGCAAATTAAAGGCAACCCAGCAAAGCCAGAGAGGGAGACCTTAAAAACTGTGCCTGCGTTAAGGTGAAAAATGGTACTCTTAGCAACGGCTCGCTGTAATTTCCAATATTAATTGAAATGGACATATGGGAAGCAGCCCTGGAAAACTACTTCTGAGGCGGGTTGCGTTATCCACTGGATGTTTGGCTTTAAAATGTGAGAAATCTGAGTTAAATCTATGCTAATTATGGGCTCTGTGTTAAACTGCTTGCTTCCTTTGTAACCCATCATTTTGCCTGTGTGCCATATCGTCAGAATAAAGTTCAGTAGGATTATTTAAATATTTTAAATGGCAGATGTGCTGTGACTCGCCTATGGTTATGAAAATACTGATGAACCATATTCCAGAAAGCCTTTCCTCCCCCCCCCCCCATCTCCCCATACTGTGATCTGTTGACATTATCCTCTGTTCCTTAGCTTCAGACAGTAAAGTCATGACATGTGCGGCTGTTTGGAGGATGCCGAAGGAATTGGAATCAGGCAGTCATGAATCCCCTGATGATTCATCAAGCAACGCTCAAACCCTGGAGCTACTCTGTCACCTTGACAACACGGCCCATGGCAATATGGCCGGGTAGGATTCTGCATATTTTATACTGTCAGGAAGGGGGGGGAATGTGAAGGATAGACCTATTCTGTTCAATGCAGGTTTATAGTAAGTTTGGGGTTTGCACATTTTAAATATACATACTTCTGAGAAATCATACATACTGACTTCTTCTGGGGCTTTCTGTGTGGGGGGGGGGGAGATTTATTCCAAACAGCATCAGGGATTAAAAGCATTAGTCCTGCAAACTCAACATTGGTGCAACTATCTTTCTGCAGTTCTGCTGTGCCTTTCCTTTTGTACATGTCTATATGTTCATCTGCACACCAACTAATGCTAGCCGTTCAGCCACATTCTCTATAACTTGGAAATTCTGTTTTGATCTTTGTTTGGGTTCTAACTTTCTCTCCTATGTTTGGTCTACCCTGAAGTTGAAATTTTATTTTATTGTGCACTTCTATCGCAAAAAAAGTAGATGCTTTCCTATCAAGAACTGATAGCGGAGTATTATCAAAAAAAGCTTTTCACATTTCCTTCTAATTATTTAATGATGACTGATGTGTGTTTACAGCGTTATTGATGAAAATCCCCACCCCCTTTATATGTTTGTGTACTGGTAAGATAGGACTGTTAAGACACCGTAACCAAATTTTGCATGCCGGTTCCTGAGATCAAGGATCAGGTTTTCATCTATGTTTGGATACAGCTGGGTCCTATTTTGAATGAAGATGGTGGATGGAACATTTCAAAAGTGCACTGGTTTGGGGGGTTTCTTAAAACTCCCAAACAGCACCAGGCTGCTAGTATTTAAAAATGTAGCTTTAAGTACAGTCGTACCTTGGACCTCGAACGCCTTGGTTCTCGAACAAATCGGCTCCTGAACAATCAAAACCCAGAAGTGAGTGTTCTGGTTTTCAAACGGAAGCCCAACGTCCAGCGTGGCTTCCGATTGGCTGCAGGAGCTTCCTGCAGTCAATCAGAAGCTGTGCTTTGGTTTCCGAACATTTTGGAAGTCAAACAGACTTCTGGAACGGATTCTGTTCGACTTCCGAGGTACAACTACATGCATATATAAGGTATTGCTCTTCAGAGTGTTTCCAGTAGTACATATTGCTGGGTTTTTTCTTGAGAGTCTTGTTCCACCAGTTGACCAGTCCATCACAAAAGTGGTTATCCAGTTGTCTGCTTCCTTGCACTGGTATAGCATTATCTTTACTACATGGGCTATCTCCTAGACTCTTACGATCCTGTCTTCTAATGTGGGAGTGCCCATTTCCCCCAAATATGTATGTGTTTGAGGGAAGGGGGGGCTGTTGGTTTGTTTTTGTTTTATTATGTATTTTGTGTTCTCATTTTGTATTTTTATGTTGCGAACCACCCTGTGGTCTTTGGATGAAGGACAGTATATCAATTTAATAAATAGAATAAGATAACAGTGGCTGTTAACAAGTGTATTACCAGTTCCATAGCAACAGATAAGACCAAGTCTGTAACATTTCCAAACAATATGACCAGTGGGTCACCACATCCTGTTATATTTCCCTTGTTTACATCAGCTTTGTTACTACACACACACACACACACTGGTACCTCTAGTTACAAACTTAATTAGTTCCGGAGGTCCATTCTTAACCTTAAACTGTTCTTAACTAGAGGTGTGCTTTTGCTAATGGAGCCTCTTGCTGCCGCTGCACTGCCAGCACACGATTTCCGTTCTCATCCTGGGGCAAAGTTCTCAGCTCGAGGTACCTCTTCCAGGTTAGCGGAGTTTGTAACCTGAAGCGTTTGTAACCTGAGGCGTTGTTGTTATGAATGAAAATAAATTTCAGTAAAAAAGATGCAGCAACAATGGTCTTGTGGTACCACAAACACTGACAAACTTACTGTGACATAAGCTTTGCCAGATGCCCATTTTCTGACCCATGAAAGCTTACACCGTTTGCCAATCTTCAGGGTGCCATGGAAGTCTTAATCTGTTGCAGCAAAATCAACAAGCGCTGCTGCTTTCTGCTGTTCCAGCCTGTTGAGTGGGCACGTAGCCTTGGCTTTATCTTTGCCACTTTTCTCTGCTTGCTTCACCATACCCCTCTCTTTCTCCACTTTCTCTGTTGTTTCCTATGTGTCCCAATTTCAGATTGTAAGCTCCTAGGAACAGCGACCTGTCCTCTTGCATTCTGTAAAGTGTCAGGCACATTGTGTTACCCTTTCAAATATGGGGTGCATATGCTCACAGAATAAATGAAAGATTTGGACCTGTATCAGGCTTTCAGATAAATGTTCATTGTGTTTTAGGTAGAAATTGACCCGAAATGCTTCTTGTCAATATGTCCATGTCCCACATGTGGAACCTAAAGAATTATAGCTAACAAAGTTATCTCAGTCCCTGAATATTTAACACAACATAGAGGGAAACGCCATAAATTTGTGCTAATAGGTTTTTTCTGTTTAGGAAGGTGTATCGTTCTGGTACTCTATGCACAATCAGAAGCCGTCTGCTGAATAGACCAACAGCAACACGCACACACACATTGGGAGAGAGGGAGAATTGTGAAACATTGTCACATGAACCTAAAACCACATTTCAATATGGCTAGTTCTAACCAGGGACCACAATTCAAATATGTTGTTCCTTTTAGGCAAGTTACCACCACCTCCCTACTCCTGCCTCCGCCACCTGCTCTGCCACTGCTGCACACCCTGCCACACCCACTGCTGGCAGAGAAGTGCCACCGCCATCAGCACTGATTTTGGGCAAGATCGTGCTGATTTGGGGCGAGATTTCACCCAAAAACTCATTAGGTATTGTGCGCTCTGCAAGCTCTTGTATGATTTCAGGCGAAATCTTGCCCCAAATCAACACTTCTGGCGGCACATCTCTGCCACTGGTGGAGGCAGTGGGGCACCTTTGGGCATGATGTTTGTTGGGTTTCTGCCGCCTGAAGCAGCTGCCTTACCATGCCTAACAGCTGGTTAGGCTCTGCTTGGCTGTAACATTTCTGCAGCAAGAGCAGGTAATTGACACATCTTCAACCATTAGTTAAAGTAAAAAGTTTTCTCAGCTTGATGCAGGCTTTAAAAGTTTTTGAAACATGGTTAGGAGCAAGGAGCTTGCTGAAGATTAAAACAAAAAACATGAACCTTTCATGATAAGAGGTTAAAAATCAGCCTGTTTGGGGCACTATGCTTCTTTTTAAACAAAATTGTCACTTGGCTGCCAGCAGTTCATAGCGTGCATTGCAGACTTTGGTCTTCACGATTACAGTACCGTAATTTACAAGAACTGGAGACTGGTATAAGGGAATTATTTTATTTAAGGTGGGGGGGGGGGAGAGAACGGTAACCTTCATTTTCACCATAAATCCTGAAGGATTGCTACAATCGCATCTATAAAAGAGTGAGCTATGAGATCCAATAAAATGAATTAGTAATGAAATAAAATGCCCATCTCGCAAGGACCGATTGAATACTGTTAGATGTTCTCAAGGTGTGTTCATTGAGTTATACTTCTTTCTAATTAGCACCCTTTCTGTCAGGTTACTAACACCTTCTTACAGCTCATTGAAAATCAGAAATGCCAGTGATAATGTTCACTTTCTGAAAACTTTAAAGATATCTTAATGTAAGTGAAAGGCAGTAGAATTAGCACCCATAAAAATGGCTTTTGAAAAAGGATTCCAATATTGGTAAATCATTAGAGCAAAATCTTTTTTTACCATTCTTACCATACTTGGACCCTAACACTGCAATCGTATGCATGTTTGCTCAGAACTAAGTCCTACTGAGTTTAGTAGGACTTCCTTTCAGTTAATTGTGTATAGAATTGCAGCCTAACTTCCAGACAATTTGAAAATATATTTCTAGATGTTTAGCTCACCTTCCAGTGGTGATATCAAACAAACCCTGTCATGGATTGGAAACAAAAATACTTGTTTTCATATGCATAATATCGCTGAGCAAGGGATCACACTTCTTCAATAGGTGTTAAGCAATTGTAAATGGAAACATATGCGAAAGATATTTTCTAAGTGCTCAGGAAGAAGCTTGACGCTTAAAGTGGGTAGTCGCTGACCTAAATAGTTCATAAAATAGTTCCCTCTCTCATTTTCTTGAAGCTCTCTTCCTCATTTGGGTGCCACTGCTTTGCTTGTCTCTCTCAACTTTTTTTTAAAACAGTATAGGGTTGTGAATATATAAATCAGCAGTCTTTAAAAAAAATAGGCCAGGAATCAGATGTCTAACACAAATCCCTTGAGTGTTTTTTGTTACTTTGCATTGCCAATGAATATAACAGTTTCTTTTCTTGAGATGAAACTAAGGCAGCAAGCTCTTAATTATTCAGAGACTCTTTCCCCTTCAAATCATAAAATTGTAGCGTTGGAATGGACCCGCGAGGGTCATCTAGTTCAACCCCCTGCAATGCGGAAATCTCAACTGAAGCATCCATGACAGATGACCATCCAACCTCTGCTTGAAAACCTCTGGAAGGAGAGTTCACCACCTCCCAATGGAGACCATTCCACTTTTGAACAGTTCTTACTATCAGAAAGTTATTCCAGATGTTTAGTTGGAATCTCCTTTCTTGTAACTTGAATCCATTGATTCGGGTCCTAGCCTCCAGAGCAGGAGAAAACAAGCTTGCTCCATTTTCCACATGACAACCCTTTAGATCAGCCTTTCTTAACCTGTGGGTCCCCAGATGTTGTTGGAATCCAACTCCCATCACCCCTAGCTAGCAAGGCCAGAGCTCAGGGATGATGGGAGTTGGAGTCCAACAACATCTGGGGACCCGCAGGTTTAGGACCACTGCTTTAGATATTTCAAGATGGCTGTCATATATTCTTTTCCAGGTTAAACATACCCAATTCCCTCAACTGTTCCTCATAAGGCTTGGTTTCTATACCCTTTATCATCTTGGTTGCCTTCATCTGCATACCTTCCAGCTTGTCAATATCCTTCTTCAATTGTGGTGCCCAGAATTGGACAAAGTACTCTAGGTGTGGTCTGACCAAGGCAAAATAGAGTGGTATTGGGGCACTATACTTCGGTTGATGCAGCCTAGAATAGCATTAACCTTCCCCCCCCCCCACACCACACTGTTGATTCATGTTAAGCTTGTGGTCTACTAAGACCCCTAGATAGATCCTTTTCACATGTACTATTAGCAAGCCAGGTGTCCCACATCTTATATTTGTGTAGCTGGTTCTTACATTTGTCCCTATTGAAATTCATTTTGTTAGTTTGGGCCCAGTTCTCCAATCTGTTATGGTCATATTGTATCCCAATTTCTGCCTTCTGTGGCATTTGCTACCCTTCCCAGTTTGGTGCCATCTACAAATTTGATGAGCATCCGCTTAATACCTTTCGGCCCAAGACAAAATGTGGCACTCCACTTGTCACTTTTTTCTAGAATGACGAGGAACCATTAGTGAGTGCATGTCCGATTACCATTAGCATTCCCTTGCCTGTGTATAACAATAATAATTAATAATAAATTTTATTTATACCCCTCCCTCCCCAGCCAAGGCCGGGCTTAGGGCGGCTAACAAGCAATAATAAAAACAAGTTGAATGAATACAACTTAAAAACAAGATTAAAATACAACATTAAAACATTAAAACATTGAAACATTAAAATGCAGCCTCATCACAGGAGGAGAAAGGAAAAAAGAAAGAGGGGCAGGGAATAAAATTGACTCCAATGAAACCCAAGAGAACATGATCACTTCCTCCCAAGGTTCCCAGTACTTTCACTTTGTTGATCTATTCCTCCCTGTTATTGAGGAACAAGTCCAAGAGAGAAAAACCCCTTGTTGCTCCTTCCACCTTCTGTTTCCAATATCTCCCAATTGTTGATAGTGATTGACTATGAAGACAAATCACATGTAGTTAAGGGCTTTGCTCAGGTAACTGAATATAAATATGAGTTAAAAGTATCTTCAACACGATGGGGTAAGGCTAACTTTACCTTCTCTGCATGGCATAGTAAAGCCATCATAGGATGAAAATGATGTGATAGTCTATTTCGGGTTCCACTACCTGGTGGGCCTCCCATTGCTGTTCGACCCCAACTCCCATCATCTTCAGTCAGCATAAACACTGGTGAGGGGTGAGGGGAAGTCTAATCCAGCCACATCTGGAGGGTGGCAGGTGCCACACACACACCGCTAACGTGGTGCGTTGCTTTTTACTTTGTTCCAATGGCCACCTGTAAGTTGCTTTCAGAGTGCTTGCTATAAAGTGGGACAAATAGATTTTTAAGTAAGATATTTGATCTATTAAATGGTTTGTGATTATGATTACACCAACAGGGTGCACAGCGCAGCACCAAACAACTGCAAAAAGACAGGGCCACTCGATAATGTCTTCTGCAGATTATAGTTAAGTGGAAGGTTATAAATGCACCCCCAGGGACTTGCATGTGTGTGCCTGCTTTGGATTGCTTAATGTGACGTTGTTGAATTTTTGTGCTTGCAGTGTTGCATGGGAGCCGATGGGAGATGGCAAAAGATTAATTTCTCTGGCTGATAATCACTTGCTTCTGTGGGATTTGCAAGAAAGCTCAAGCAAGGCAGTGGTAAGGCGTGTCACAAATTACAACGAGGCCGTATTTTGTGTGTGTTGGCATTACTTTTCTGTACGTTTGTTTGATTGATAAGCAAGTTGCTAACATATTTAAACTGTATTCCAAGCAGCAGCAATGTGTGTGTGTGTGTGTGTGTGTGTGTGTGTGTGTGTGTGGCTTTTCAAAGGAAAGTAAGTGTTTTAATACCTGGTGAGGAAAATCTTTCGACAGCCATGAAACAATCTTCAGAAACCGCACATTATTCACACCCACAGAAGAACAGTCATGATTCTTCCTGTGTGAAGCCTTTGTTCATCCTTTTTGGCCTACGTCTCCCCTCTCCCCCCCCATGTTGGTCAACCAGCCGGTTCCTTTTTGGCTGTATCAGCGTTCCCTCGAATTGACCAATATTCTACTCACTGTCTCCCTCGCCAACAGTTGGCCAACTCTTTCTAGAGCAAAGTCTGTTTGCATGCTGTGATCAACATTCTTGTCTGATTGAAGTGTCAGGTTTTTACAGACATGCTTAGCATTTCCTCCTTCTCCTCTTGCTCCCCCTGGGCTGCTCTGCCTTGCCTTGCTTTAAGGTTCTTTGAATGTTAATTAGGCTTTTCACTGTCCTAGGCAGTCTCTTTCGTTCATAATCTCAAAGTTACCATATTTCTCCTTAATTCCAATCTGTATCAAATATAAGCATTTCCTTTGGGAAGTTCTCCAGTCTGTCACAAGTCATACCACTTAATAGAAAGGGAATTTTTCTACTGAGCGTCGAGTTCTTGGGCTCTCTCATTTACTTCGCTGGAATTTAGCTACAGAAATTCATCACTGTCACATGCCTTTCATTAGCTGAGCTATTCCTCCAAATAAACATTGTCCACATTAACTCTTTCCTTGACTATGTTTGCACGTGTTTAAGCAGTTGCTGTCTCTGTCAGTTGAGCTGTGGGCACTATACCATTTTTTGTAATAAAAAAAAAAACATTGCTCCAAAGTTACCCAGGTTCTATGCTGTGGACAGCGGACCTGTGACATTAAATAATTATGCAAATTAAGGTGATTTGCATGCATCTGGTTGTTCTGCATAATTCCTGCTCAGCTAATCATGAAGATGAGTGAAGATCTCTGTAGGGATACCTTCTAGTCATTGGACATTCTACCCAAACCACTACCACCCTGCTCCAGTTTATGAGTCACCTCAGGCATTTCCGGCATGTTCTTTTCCAAAATTAGCTTCACAAACAAAGAGTAGAAACTTTTCTCTTACTATTGCTCCCTACAGGTGTTCTGAAACTACATATAAAGGGGGAGGGGACAAATAGATTTTTAAGTAAGATATTTGATCTAATAAATGGTTTGTGATTATGATTACACCAATAGGGTGCACAGTGCAGCACCAAACAACTGGGATTTAAAGAGGAAGGAACTCTGATGGGATGGGGAAGGAGGCCATTTGATGAGGTACCAGGGGCTGCATAAAATGAGGTTGAAGGCCACAGGCTGGTCACCTGTATTGTTAAGGAATACAGGTGTTTCAGGTCCTGTTTGTGTTCTAGGAAATGGAGCACAATCATCAGCTTGATACATTTTCCTTCATTTGTGCTTAGGGGCTATTCCATGTTCGTGAACCTGTTCAGAAGAGGTGATGGTCCCTGAGACACAGTAGGAAAGGGGAGATTAGGAGCAGAGCCTAGAATTCTGTCTCTGCTTACACTGGAAAGAGAATCGAGTGGATTGTAAAGCACTGTTTATTTGAATGTGGGATTTCCCTGAGCTATAAGATGAGTTTTTAAAAATGGTGTACGTGTTGCTGTAACCTTCTGTGTATGTAGGCTTATCCTAGCAATATCTGAAAAGACCCAGCATTGAGAGAGGTAGCACAGGTGATCTTTTGACCAAACTCATCCATTTATCTGTAAGGGTTCCTCTCTCTTTTCTTTTTTTTCAAAGGTGATAATGAATTACCTTGTAAAATGTTATGAAATAAATAAATAAATAAATAAATATTTTTTTTTATCTTATCCATCAATAATTGACAAATGTCGTCTGTGCTAGGTAGAACCAAGTGTAACTCGCCAACAAGTCAGTGAGGCATGTTACGAAATGAATATTATCGTCCGACACATGAATAATTCCCTGTTTTAAGTTTCAAGCTGTTCTGCTTGTTGCTTCTGAAGAGAGTTGCTCTGTACAGCTAGAGAGGCATTTCACACGAGAGTCACTCACTTGAGTTGTTTCTAACTCGCAGCTGTCAAATTCTGTCGCCTTGGAAGGAAAGGGACAGCTGAAGTTTACCTCCGGACGATGGAGTCCCCACCATAATTGCACTCAGGTTGCGACAGCAAACGACACTGCCATTCGAGGATGGGATATACGCACTATGACGTAAGGAGTGTGGTTTCTTCTTTCTGTCTATATGTGTATCTGTATAAAAGCTGTGTCTTTCTGGAAAGTTACTCTTCCAGCAGTGATTTTTTTTTTTTTTAAGCAGGCTTCAAAAGTAGTCATTTCACTAGTTTACATGTCTAGTTTAGACGTCTGCCACGGATTCAATAAGCTATAAAGGTAAAGGTAAAGAGACCCCTGACCATTAGGTCCAGTCGTGACCGACTCTGCGGTTGTGGCTCTCTTCTCACTTTATTGGCCAAGGGAGCCGGCGTACATGTGGCCAGCATGACTAAGCCACTTCTGGCGAACCAGAGCAGTGCACGGAAATGCCGTTTACCTTCCCGCCAGAGCGGTACCTATTTATCTATTTGCACTTTGACGTGCTTTCGAACTGCTAGGTTGGCAGGAGGTGGGACCGAGCAACGGGAGCTCACCCCGTTGCGGGGATTCGAACCGCTGACCTTCTGATCGGCAAGTCCTAGGCTCTGTGGTTTAACTCACAGCGCCACCCGTGTCCCTTCAATAAGCTATAGCAGCAGCCTAAAGGATCCCTTTTCTTCACATCCAGTATGTACGGTATGTGAAAATCCTGCTGTTATTAAGCTACTGATAAAAAAAACCACCCCATTCATTTAAAATAGAGCTAGGTGTGGATGTTTTTAGAGCCGAGGTGGGGAAACGTTGGCTTTCCAGATGTTGTTGCTCTCCAGCTCCCATCAGGCTTTGCCAGCATGGCCAATGGTCATGAATGATCGTGATGGAGGGCAACAGCTTCCCCATTCCTATTTTAGAATGTGCCAATGCCATTGAACTCAGCAGTTCAGTCCAGAGCAGAGTGACTTAAGTTTCCATTCTGGACTGTTACTTTAACGCTGGCTGACTCTGGTATACTAATGACACCTTCTTTTTCAAATTTTAGAGGTTTTTTTAGGGGGCGGGCTGGAGGGGGAGATTAGCTCGGTCTGGAGTTTGCTCTGCTTTGTTTGAGGAGGGATGAATTTTAGGTTTCCATTTGATTTTGACAGTATCTTTAGAGATAATGCAGCAGAAGCTTCCAATCTATTGACAGTCAGTTGCCTGGCACAACTGTGTTTAGTATTGGGGCCGCAACGTATCAAAATTTTTGAATGCCAACAAACCTAAAGCTTCAATATAAGAAATATAGGACTCCTTTCCTGCTCTAGTTGTAATTTTGATAAGCAAAGGAGTGATGTTGTGCACATCTGTTGCCATGACAACAGAAGTCTGTGCAAGCTTTTTTAAGATACAGCTTATCCCCTTAGCACACAGTAATTTATCACTAGCCTCGGAAGACGGATGTCTTGTAATAACTTCTGCTGCCTTAAAGGGGGAGATGACTTTAAATTTGGTTTTATGTCTCCCGTGTGCTCATGGGTGCAGCACTATATTTCCATTGTTTCCAATTACATTCCTTTATACCCCAAAACTGATTAATTTGATTAGGAAAAGTTAAAAATATGTATTTAAATGCTTATAGTAATTCTCTCACTTTCCTCTTCCATTTTCTACAATAATATGGGTTAAAACCTGACTTTGGGCTTCTACACTAGATCAGTATAAATTGGAATTGGACTCATGGCATGGCACCAGAAAAGTTCACAAATGTGTGTGCTCAAAGCTGATCCTAGTGAGCTGAAGAGAAGCATTGTCTCTCTTAGCTTAATTTTACCTCAAAGGCTTTGCTGGACTAGAAAAGAAGCTTGAAAGCTGGGGACATAAGGCTGTGTTTGGAGCAACCTAAACCAAAGTTGAAGCTAGATGGGGTGTGTACATTTTTGGCGGTGGGCGACACATTACTAGCAGCTGAGCAGAAGGCGCTGGCTCCATTGCTGCGCCTACTCTTGCTTTTGACTCCACCTACTGGAACCTCAGAAGGTTGTCCATGTAGGAATGTGACCTTTGGGTTCAAAGCAATTTCCTGACCCTCCGGGAAATCATGGTTCCCACCTCCCTCTTGTCTCGTCTGCTACACCAAGGCCCTTTTAGCTTCTGGACTCCTGTAGCTACAAAGTGGTGAGAGATTATAGCAGGGCTCCTCAGCCTTTTTTGAGCTGGGAGCCCATTTGGAAATCTGAGATACTCTCATGGGTGCCACAAAATGCCCTTATCCCTTCCCCATATTATACACCTGGTCATATGCTGAGATTTCCAGATGGGAACCGTATGGTTGTGCCACAGCCTGCTGAGATTCATCTTGCAACGTATGGGGGGAGGGCCTTATCTGTTGTGGCACCCAGTTTGTGGAATCCTCTTCCCTCCAAAATGAGGCAGGCCCTGACTTGATCAAGTTTTTGACAGCTGCTTAGAGACCATTTTATTCACCCAGGAATTTGCTGTTTATTCATGCTGAGCTTTTAGTAGAATCACTGTTTCTACAGTGATTTTTATGTTTCGTTGCATTTTAATATGCATTGTTGTGAACTGCCCTGGTATTACCCTATGAAGGGGATGTATAAATGTATAAATATGCAAATACACAAATAGATGAATGAATTTCAGAGAAGAAAATGTGGTGGCACTGTTTTAAGCAGATGGTCTCATGACCAGACAATAGTAGGCAGTGCGGCCTACAATATACATTTCTTCACATTCGTTTGGAATATATTGCCTGCAAAACTTAAGGCATGCCCACAGCAGTTGTTTGTATCTGGCTACATGCTCTTTGATGGCACATATTCCAAGAGCTGGAAGTTGAGGGGAAAAAACATAACCAAGCTGATGGTAAAGTAATTATTGAACAATATGCTTATTTAGAGTCCGTGCCTGTAAGAGGTAGCTGTATGCAGTCCCTGTTCTGCCTTAAATTCACTGTGGTACACCTCTGCCTTTTATCATATGTGAGTGGCGATTTGTGAGCTCACTAGAGCACCCCAAATTTTCTTATGTGGAAGGTGGGCTTTGGCACTGGTATGAATCTCAGTGATGCTGCTGATGTGTTAGAGGACAAGATGGTGGCTTGAGTCTAACGACAAGGCAGATGTTTCCCAGCACTAGCTGCCTGTGTGGCATTGGAGGTGATGCTGGTGTGTGTGTGTGTGTGAGTGAGTGAGAGAGAGAGAATGAGAATGAGAATGAGTGACTGAAGCACCACTGTAACTATCTGTACATGTGCTGTGATGCCCTAAATCCGGTCTACTTGCCCCAGAATAACCTGGCTATTCACAGACATACCGTTCTAACCCCAGAAGTAATTTCAAAAGAGCAGAGCTGATATGCCAGCACTTGGCACCAAAGCAAACGCAGCAAGTTGCTGTTGTCCTAAATTGAAGCAAATTAATTTGCAGTGCAAACATGCCCCTTGTTTTCTATTAGCACTGTGGCTGGGCTTCGCTATTTGCCTTTTCTTGATGTGCCTCTTTTTTTCTTTCCACCCCTTTCCTCCTGCAGTCAAATATATTGTATAGAAAATGCTCATGGACAGCTGGTGAGGGACCTAGATTTTAATCCCAACAAACAGTACTATCTGGCTAGCTGCGGAGATGACTGCAAGGTGAAATTCTGGGACACCAGAAACGTCAGTGAGCCAGTGAAGACACAGGAAGAGCATTCCCACTGGTAAAGTGAATTTATTTGGGTGAAGGATTTATCAAATTGAATCTGCTAATTGTTCTTTTCTGAAAACCATGCAAACAAGTTCAGCTGGTGCTGCAGATAATTTTTTTCTTTCTTTCCTCTAAGCAGAATACAGATATTTTTAATATTTTAAAAGCTAGCAAATGTTGATTTGTTTTCTAGGAAGGTATTGTCCTTACTGTAAAATAGTTTTAATGTGTTTCTACAGCAGAGATTAATGATTCCCTTTTGTTGAAGATTAATGTAGAAAGATTTCTATATAGCCAAGAGGCAGAGTGTTGTTCAGATTTCATAGATTTTAGGGTGGCAGCATCTGCGGCAAAATAATTCTGGGCCCTGAAGCGACTTCAGCACTGGCATTGAAGAGGCAACTTTGTGGAAACATCTTTATTTACTGAGGAGATTATTAAGCCATTAGAACAACAGAAAATCTGGAGACATTTGGTATTAACATGATATTCAAGAGCTCAGTTAATAGTGTTAATCCTCCCTTTGTCTTATGGACTATTTTAACCATACCCAGCACAGATTTGGGGTAATTTTGGGCTCAACTTATCACATTAATAAATAATCCACGTTTTGCTTATGGGGGAATGCTTTGTCTTCGTAATATCTGCATGCTGTATTTAAACAATAAGCAAAAACTTCCATTGCAGGATTTGGGCTTTTGGGTCTCCCCCTCCTTACAACTTGTTGGTCGGCTCTGTAAAGAACTGGCCTTGCAAAATGAAATAAAAAGTTTTTAAAAGTAGGAGCAAAAGATAAGGCTTTTGTTAATCCCCCTCCTAGGCTTCATCCAGGTATTGACGTGAATTGCTTTTGCTAATTGCCTCCAGGGCAACTGCAGTGCATTAATGCCCAGTTGCCCAGTCCCAGACAGAAATAACATTGTAGAGCTATTGCTGTGCTTACCCAATACATCAGGAAAGGCAGCAATGCTATCCGGCCCAAGAAAAAGAACAGTGTGTGTTTATTTCTCTAGGCTGGTAGGAGCAGAGAGTTACATTGGACTGAAATGTGCAGCCCTTCCATGAACAAAAGGAGTTACTCTATTTTGGGAAAGGATTTGATCCAATAGGGTCTTCCATTCACAGTATGGGGAGGAAGGGAGGTAGGAGAGATGACTTGCTGATATCCACTCCTCTTGTCGCCAGCAGGAGCATTCCAGATCTCTCACAGATCTCTGGATCCAGTCCAGTGGTTTTGGGACAAGCAACTGGGCTGACATTGTACTACAAGCTGGAGTTGCACTTCTCGGATTAGCACAGCCAGTGTATTCAGCTTACTGATGCTCAAGTACAGAGATAGGAAACCTGTGGCCCTCAGATATTGCTGGACTCCAACTCCCATCACCCCTAAACTTTGGCCATGCTCGCTGGGGCTGATGGGAGTTGGAGTCTAGGGGATTGCCACTATCCCATCCTTGCAACCTGTGCCTCTGATTCTCAACACGGTTCCTAAGCACTTTATTAGAGAGGCAATATCAGTGGCATTTTATTGTTGCTGTTCAAAGCTCACTATATGTCTTTCACCCCATGACTGAAACATCCCATACATGTTTTTCGGTTGCATTGGACAATAGCCAATATTTTTACACCGTAAGCACAATTCTCCTTCCAAACACAGAGGTTCCTTCTATTTGTAGAGTAGAAAAGTTGGTATACTGTCCACAGCTTTCAATATATAGACTTGTTTGATAGCAGGTAATAGATTTCAGCAATCCACTGATGGAAACTGACTTGTCATTTTGAAAGCTGTACCACATGCTTTTATCTGCGTCCTTTAGGTAGTGGTTCAACTGGTTGATTCTGTGGTGGGGTTGATGTTTTCAGGGTCTGGAACGTCCGCTACAATCATTCCCATGACCAATTAGTGCTGACAGGCAGCAGTGACAGCAGAGTCATCCTTTCCAACATGGTATCCATTTCTTCTGAACCTTTTGGGCACCTGGTCGATGATGATGAACTTAGCGACCAGGAAGACCACCAGGAGGACAAGTAAGAAAATACTTTGCTCTTAATTAACAGACATAACATTTTGTGTGAGGTCTAGCGGTCACTTAGTTTGATGAAATGTTATTTACTGATTGTAGGGTTTTTGTGTACACACCTAAACGGTAAGTAGCTCAACCTCTGAATTCATTAGCTTTCATACGGTTGTGGACGGGCACTTTTCTTGAGGTTTATTCCTTTCCCCCTGAAACACACATTCTGAAGTTATATGGTAGCACTGGCTTGGATCTAAAGCCCATGGAAGTCAAAAGGAGGCCAATGGCTTCCATGGGCCTGCATATTACACAGGAGGGGGAAAGGTTTTTCATTTTCCATGGAACTGTTTCTTTGTGACATGGGTTGGATGGGCATTTCAGGAGAAGAGCAAATTATATTTCCGCGCCAGCTAAAATACTGGTGGCCTCTTGAAAAACTGGCACCAACATTAAAACCACACAAAAATATTTCAGTGGGCTTCTGATGCTTCCTTTTGCACTGCTCTGAGGACTCCTGGGATTTTCGGGTAGCATGGGTGTGCATGTTTAGAACTGGAGAAGGGCGCCAGCAGATCGTGCCTGCAGAAGCTTTTACTTCATGACTATTTCCCATTTTAAGTCACTAATGCACCCCAAGTGTGTGTGTGTGTGTGTGTGTGTGTGTGTGTGTGTGATCAACTTATGGAGAGTATCACTTCCTGACTTTATTATTAGCAACTACACAATATTAGCAAAACGCAATGTTTGTTTGGAGAAGCTTCATTCTAAGCTATTTAATAGTTTCCTCCCAGTTCTATAAAAACGATAGACGTCTTAATCTCTTCAAAAGAATATGTGCAGATGTAAAATGCGTAGGGGGACAAGTGTGTGACCCCCTCCCCCAGTTTCCAGTGGTGCACCCACTCCATCCCCACCTTTCTATCTGAGCAAGAAAGCCTGAAGAGGATTTCCAACTGCATTTGGCTGATAATACAGCCTTCCTCATCATGGGTGGCTTCTAAGCATGTTTGGCCACACACATGCCAACCCTCCCTTCAGACCTTTCCCCCACAGCATGGAAAGGTTGGGGGTAGAGTGGATGGGGATGTTGGGAGTGGAGGTTAAAAAGAAACAAAGAGTAAAGGACCACTGGTTGGTTAAGTCCAGTCAAAGGCGACTATGGGGTACGGCACTCAGCTCGCTTTTCAGGCCGAGGGAGCCGGCATTTGTCCACAGACAGCTTTCCAGGTCATGTGGGCAGCATGACTAAACTGCTTCTGGCACATCAGGTCACCGTTGATGAGTGCCAGAGTGCACAGAAACGCTGTTTACCTTCTTGCCACAGTGGTGCCTATTTATCTACTCGCACTGGTGTGCTTTTGAACTGCTAGGATGGAAGAAGCTGGGACAGAGCAAAGGGAGCTCACCCTGTTGTGTGGATTCGAACCACCGACCTTCTGATCAGCAAGCCCAAGAGGGTCAGTGGTTTAGACCACAGTGCCACCCATGTGGGGGTGGGAGCATGCACTTTGTGCCCACACACATTATTTTGAATGCATGAAGGAGGCTTGTGTATCTCCCAGGTTGTTGCTTATGTGAACATTTTTTAAAAAATAGGTCTCTTCCCCCCACCCCAGGTCTCTTGCCATTTTTAAACACCTCACTTCTCTCCTGTTCACCCATGGATATGGTAAACAATTGTTCTCGTCTCATTTCTCATAGGCTTTTAAATAATGGAAATCTACTGCTGCATCCACCACCTCCTTCTTGCTCACTATCCTAAACCTGCTCAGTTTCTTTAGACTTTGTTCATGCCATTTACCTTCCACAGACCCGTTGTCATCCTTGTGGTTTCCCTGTGAATCCTTTCCAAATTGTCAACCACCTTCTTGAACTGCCGCTCTCCTCCAAACTGCGGTACTTCAGATGATGCTTAACTAGCGATAAGCGGAGCAATGTTATCAGCCTTGGGAAGCAACGCTTCTGTCATAGCTGCACAAATAGAATAGCATTGGCCTTTTGTGCTGCAGCATCGCATTTTTGACACGCTTGGTTCATTATCCACCCTTAAGCGCTAACTCTTTCTCAGAAGCGCAGCTTCCTAGGCAGTCATCTTTTCTTCTTGAACGTTTGGATCATCTTTGCTGCGGTGACATTTAACATCTTTTCATGTTGGCTGCCTCCTTGTAGCCATTCCAGCTCTCCAGCTGATGGAGCTAGTTCTTATCTTTTATCTTTTAGTCTGTTCTCCAGGAGCTTTTCAGCCCCTCCCAGATTTTAAGCCATTCATTGATGGAAGAGTTAGTTATTTGTGGCATTCATAGCCCACTGTTCCTCCAAATTTTTTTCAGCAACAGTAAAATATGTAATTCCGAAGACATAAAATAAGGCAATTCATGATGTATCAAATAAACATGTTTTGTTTATTTGGTCACCAGAGAAGAGGCGAGGTGGACCTCCTTTAGGAAGACACCCTGGAGTCTGGAGTAGCTGCTTTTTAAAAAATCCTCTCTTGATTGCCTGCCAATTGCACTCCAGGTATTGGCAAGACACACACAAAAAACATACCCCAATTATTTTTAAAACTCGGTGGGCTCGTATGTTTCAAATACTCCATCCCCAAGTTGTATTGGGCTTTTTTTTTTTTAAATGCTTTTTATTGGTGTCTCATTTAATACAAACAAACAAAATACAGTAAAATTCAACAGTCATTTACCCACATTCTTTCCCCACATTCTGCTGAGCATTGACTTCCTTCCCTCCCTTCAAGAGGTTTTCTTATGTCAGTTACTTTTCCACAGTTTCTTATTGTATCCAATCCTATCTACATCGTAAGATTTATTTCAGTCCTGCCAGAGTTTTCAGATTTCTACAGTTATTATTTATGTACTCCATGAATTTATTCCAATCTTTTTGGAATTTTGCTTCCTCCTGATTTCGGATTCTACAGGTCAATTTTGCTAGTTCCGCATAATCAACCATCTTCGTCTGCCACTCCTCTATTGTTGGTAATTCTGGTACTTTCCATTTTTGGGCTAACAAAGTTCTGGCAGCAGTCATAGCATACATAAATAACCTTTGATCTGCTTTTTCTATTTCCTCTCCCATCAAGCCTAGCAAGAAAGGTTCCGGCTTTTTCGGGAAAGTGTATTTAAATATCTTTTTCAATTCGTTATAAATCTGTTCCCAAAACTGTTTCATTTTCTCACATGTCCACCACATGTGATAAAAATCCCCATCTTTATCTGTGCATTTCCAGCGTGTCTTACTACTCATCCTGTACATTCTCACCAGTTTAACAGGTGTCAAATACCAGCGATACAACATTTTCATTATACAGTGGTGCCCCGCAAGACGAATGCCTCGCAAGACGGAAAACCCGCTAGACGAAAGGGTTTTCCGTTTTTGAGTTGCTTCGCAGGACGAATTTCCCTATGGGCTTGCTTCACAAGACGAAAATGTCTTGCGAGTCTTGAGATATTTTTTTCGCTTCCCCCCCCTTTTTCTAAGCCGCTAAGCCTTTAATAGCCTTTTAGCAGCTAAGCCGCTAAGCCAATAAACCTTTAATAGCCGCTAAACCGCTAATAGCGCTAATCCGCTAATCCGCTAATAGGGTTGCTTTGCAAGACGAAAAAACCGCTAGACGAAGACACTCGTGGAACGGATTAATTTCGTCTTGCGAGGCACCACTGTATTCTCTCTTAAGGTGGTACAGGCTGTAAATTTTACACTCTCATTCCACAGTTTTACCCAGGCATCATACTCAATGTTATACCCCAAAATCCATTATCCATGGGTTTTAAGTTGTGTTGGGCTTTGAACATCCTAACCAGCTCTTTGAATTGTGCCCAGAAGCAGACCGTCAGCCAGCGAAGGTTTCTAACATGGGAATCACAAGTTTCCTATCCCCAGTATTGTCCACAGTCTGGCTGCAGCAATACGAACCAGTTGCAGTTTCCAGGCAGTCCCTAAAGGTAGCTCCGAGTGAAGTGTATTATAGCAGTCTAAATGACATATAAGTGGGACATGGGATGCCATGGCCAAATCTGGCATCTCCAGGAACAGGCAAAGTTGGTGCACTAAGTTTAGCTCTGCCAATGCATTCCTGAACACAACCAAAACCTGGACATCCAGGTTCAGGGCCGAACCCAGGAAAACAACCGGAAAACTGAACCGGACCGCTTTGTATTGTGACGTTTTGTTGCATTTAATGGAATAAAAAGTCTTCCCTGCAGAATAGGATTGACTTAAATGCCAACATATAGTATATTGTAGTGCTGAGATCAAATTAGAATTAGGAGTAGGATGTGATTTGACATGGGTTTAATTTGAATATTCCGATGGTCATGCCTTTTATGGATTAAATTGAAAATCTCAACTTCTTCAGAAGCAGGAAAGAGATGATTCTTCAGGTTACTGCCTGAAGATTTTGTTTGGCGTAACTTTTTTGGGAGTTGCATGGGCCTCGTACGTGGCAATGAACCGCTTGTTAAATGATCCAGTTAAAATACTTGCTCTACAAATGCAAGAGCCACAGCTGTTCAGTTCTCTGGCATAGTCAAGCACCCAGTTTACATTAGCTTTTTAGGCAATCTAGCAATGCAGTTCAGCATCTTCTCAACGTAAATAAGAGCATTTGTGGGTTTTGCTACATTTTATCCTCGTAACAACTCTGTGAAAGGAGATTAGACACAGAGAGAATGAAGTTGTGACTCCCATGGTTGAGAAGGCCAGTTCTCCCCCAAAAGATCTTCATTATTTCTGCGATAAAGAATCTCCATATCAACACACTAGCACTTCCTTTATTCACATAGTGTCCGATTCCACGCAGGAAACACACACACTTCTATACTTACCACGGGATTCAGTATGCTGAGAACCTCAAGCTGGTTTAAAAAAAACCTGAAACAAGTTTCTAGACCTTAATACACTGTGAAATCCAGGACCCTGAAGTGTGGGTGGTAGCAATACTGTAGTTCTTTTTCCCTTCCCAGTATTACCAGAAGCAGAATGAAGAAATAATATTTATTTATTTATTTATTTATTTATTTATTTACACCCCGCCCATCTGGCTGGGCTTCCCCAGCCACTCTGGGTAGCTTCCAACAACATATTAAAATACAGTAATCCATCAAACATTAAAAGCTTCCCTAAACAGGGCTGCCTTCAGATGTCTTCTAAAAGTCTGGTAGTTGTTGTTCTCTTTGGCATCTGATGGGAGGGCGTTCCACAGGGCGGGTCCCGCTACCAACAAGGCCCTCTGCCTGATTCCCTGTAACTTGGCTCCTCGCAGTGAGGGAAGCGCCAGAAGGCCCTCGGCGCTGAACTTCAGTGTGCGGGTAGAACAATGGGTCTGGAGACACTCCTTCAGATATACAGATATACAAATATACAGATTTGCTTAACTTGGATAACTTATGCAGGTTGCAGAATCCAGCTTTTATTAACATTTTTTTAATTAAAAAAATAGCATAGTGTAGGCTTAGAATTATAACAGGATCATATATAGTATAAACAGGAAAACATGATTAACATGACAGTAATGGCTAGTTAGGCAGTTTTCCAGCTGAAACTGCTGGCCACTACTGTGTTGCAATTGTGGGAGGAAGTGGATTCCTGTTCTTAACAGAAACCAACAGGAGATGGCAGTTTAGGTAGGTGTCTCAGTCAGTGTTATGCAGTGTGTGGTTGCTGATTGGTTAGACACTCCAACTCACATTCAGGGCTAGCCAGTCAGCAGCAGTACACTTGCATGGACCAACTGAGACACCTCTTGTTTGTTTCTGGTAAGGACGGGAATTTCTCTCCCTCGATTGCTTGCAGACAACGTGTTTTGCCAACTGCTCCTCTGTTTATGCATAGTTCTAAAACTTCCCCTGGATCAAGAATTGCATATGAAATGCCGCTCTTATTTGTGTGCCGTATGAGACGAAGTTGCACTAAAGGAGTTTAACATTATTTAAATGTGAATTATGTCCCTGTTTATTGGTATGCTGTTGTTGTTTATTAATTCTCATTCAGTTCAGATCTGGATACTAGTGCTTAGCAAATTCAGCAATTCATTCCAAAATCCATATTAAGACTTTAATAGGCCAAACAGTATGTCAGAAAACAATGTGCAAACTTCTGAGTTCTTCAGGACTCTTCATCGGGCTAGATGATAAACAGCAAGAGCAGGGAGCAAAAAGGTTTTTGATGGCGCAGCCATGCAGTCTGCATCTGGTCATAATCTGAAAACAGTCTTTGAAGCATTGCAGAACTCATGTTGCAAACACTTACAACTGCAGAGTAACTCCTATAAAATAAATATGATAAATATTTTAACTTGAGGAATATTTTAATATGCTATTTGTGTGCACTCACATAATATCCTTCAGGAAACTGTCAAATCATCCTTGCCTATTGAGAGAACAGTATAAATGTTGGTTTCCAAATATATTTTTTTCTACGATGACTTGCATGGCAGAATCAGAAAAACACAGTTTATCTCATTTCAAGGTGTGTGTATTTTTTCCTAAAGAAACTACCCTCCAGCAGTGAGCAAGCATTGTAATGTTTTATAAATCTCTCATATGGGCACATACAGTATAGAATACAGTGTAGATTTATGGTCATTTATCTTTTAAAAAAAGTTGAAAAAGATACTGAAAGGCAACTGAAATTATCCAGGGCTCAGTACATCTGCTTATGAATAAAGCCTGAATAGTTTGAAGTGTTGTTTTTTGATTAGTTTACAGAGGTAAACTGAGTTGACATATGATAGATGACCTTATTGAGGATTTTCATGGATGAAAAGGAGAGGTAAAATATGTATTCCAATATTTGGCTACTGGCTTAATTGTTGTTGGTTTTTTTGTTGTTGTTTTCTTTAAAGAAAGAAATAGACACTGAACATTAGCTGTGGGTTTGTATCTAATGGTCTTGCTTAGCAGCGAGTAAGACTTCTGTCAGCAGAAATGATAGGGAAGTAATTTTTGGCAATTTCCTCTTCCTCCCAGTAGCCCCTTGCAACCCTCCCACCATCTCTAGATAGCCCCTCATATATATAAAACTTTGTCTACTGTTGGTATGAAATCTTGAGCCCACCTACCACCACCCACCATGGTTGCCTGTGGGCCAAGAGAGGGTGGGATCCAGATGCAATTCCTGGCTAGGCTGGTAGAGCTTCCTCGGGCTTGTCATTCAAGTAGCATATTACTGCCTAATAATAATAATAATAATAATAATTTATTATTTGTACCCCGCCCATCTGGCTGGGTTTCCTCAGCCACTCTGGGCGGCTTCCAACAAAGAATAAAAATACATTAAAATGTCACACATTAAAAACTTCCCTGAACAGGGCTGCCTTCAGATGTCTTCTGAATGTCAGGTAGTTGTTTATCTCTTTGACATCTGATGGGAGGGCATTCCACGGGGTGGGCACCACTACCGAGAAGGCCCTCTGCCTGGTTCCCTGTAGCTTTGCTTCTTGCAATGAGGGAACCGCCAGAAGGCCCTTGGCGCTGGACCTCAGCGTCCAGGCAGAACGATGGGGGTGGAGACGCTCCTTCAGGTATACTGGGCCGAGGCTGTTTAGGGCTTTAACACCTTAAAGGGGTTATGCATTGCGGTGCCAGGAGGGGAAACTCTGATTGCCCTGTCCCAGTTTTGCGGCTTCTTAAATAAACTTTTCATCAGGCTTATTTGCATGCCATTATCGTTCCGCCAAGAGAAAAATCATAGGTCGCCACTCTGTTCCATCAGCAGCGAGGTTCTGAAGCTTAGGCAACATTTGGCAGAAAATAAGCCCTTTGTGTCTTCCTGAAGTGCAGTCTTGTGTGGTCTTCACTTGAAAAAAAAGAAAGAAAGAAGGGGGCGGGGAGAGGCTTCTTCTCCATTCTGCCTGCTACCAGCATACTTTAATCCCCAAAGGGAGATTCAGCAAAAGACAGAACAATTTGAGAGGACTATAAATAGCCGAGTGGAGCAGATAATGCACAACCGTGATCTCTCTGCTAAGGCGGTATATCATTCTTTAGCATACATCTCTCCACCACTTAATTGTTTAATTGTTACACAAAACATTCGTGCATCCAATTGTGCATTGCACCTGGCCTGAAGGAAGTGGGGGGCGAGCCAGCAACTTCCTTTGTTGCCTGTTTATCGAGCTCCAGGTTAACCCGAGCTCCTGGTTAACTGAAAGTCGGCCATGTCCCCTGATAGGGGCGTGTGCCATCCATTGCTCCCTTGCTTATTCGGAGACGTCTGAAATCTCTGGGATAATGGAGTCTGAGATAAGTGGGTGAGCACCGCGCGAGGCACATAGCCGTCTGGGGACGTGACCAACTTTTCACGTCAGCCAGGTGCGTCTGCTGAAGAGCAGATCTGGAAATGGTGTGTGTGGGAGACTAAATAGACATAGCCTCCAGGAAAAGAAAAGAAAAGGTATTTTTTTAAAAAAAAAGCATAACTGATTTTCTTTCGCATGCATATTTAACATTCATGCTGCTCCTTGTTCTGCTGCATAGCTACTACACTGGGATTATTTTATTTGGTTCTTGATGCCAAGCATCAGAAACCACAGCGAAGCATCAGTGTTCTAGCATTGCCTTTCAGCAACAGGGATGTGATTTCAGTTTTAACCTCCCGTTTGCAACTTTGCTGTTGTACCTCCTAACGCCTTCCAGCAGCACAAACAGGATCTTGAGCTATGTCAGGGACTGGCTGGCTGGATGAGGTGGGCACCCCCTTCCCAAGAGCCCTAGCCCCACCTCCTGGCATGACACAGAAGATGACTTAGACCCCGGATGGTGGTGTTGGGACACTGGAGAGCAGTATGGGGAAGGGACAAGGTGGAAAGTGCTAGAAGCAGGAGGTATGAGCGATCAAGCAGGGGTCAGAAGAAGGAGGCCATTCTACGACAGGCTGAGAGTCACCGTGTGAGCGCAGACTCTGATACAGAGGAGTCAGTTTGCCCTTGCTACCCAGCAGGAGGACAGTCCCAGTCCTGCTGTCTCTCCTCCCCCTCTGACACCCTGATCAAGTAAGAATCCTGCATGTTCAGGAATTGTTGTTTTTATTCTTGAGGCGAACTAGCTGCAAGGTTGCCTTGGGTTCTCTTTATCCATCCTCTTTGTTGTAGAAACTGATTTAAATTTATGCATTCTGTGTTTTTATATTCTGATTTTATCCTGTGAACTGCCCTGAGACCTGTGTGTGTAGGACGGTATATAAATTTATTAAATAATAATGTTGCTGAGCAATGGGCTACACAGGCCGAGAGCAGCAGCCCACTCCCTTGGCGCAAATCATATAATAAGCAGCACATTCCTTCTGTGCAATATGTAACTGGGCATTCTGTGCTAAAAATCCACATACGTACTCTGTCTTCCACATTTTTGCTTGAGAGGGCACTTCCATAACATCCCAAGTAAATGAAAAAACAGTATCCACTTCCTAATATATTTTGCACTGTTAGCTTCATGAGAATGTCTTAGTCTTGACGTTCCATCCCAATATCCTCGCCATCATATTTTCTGCATCTCGTAATGAAAATACCTATATTCATTCCTTAGCCTTAGTTTCAGGGTACCAACGTTATTTGCCAATGTGGCAGCCAGTGAGCACCTCCAGTTTTTCTCTTGACTAATCGTGCAGGTCAGGTGAACTTCACATCATCTGGTATTGCAACTTGGTGACCACGACATCCATGTTTGAACATCTGTGGAAGGAAGGAGCACTAAAATACCCTGTATTTTAGCTCTTTCAGAGACACAACCTGGGAACTTTTTAAAACAATGTTTTCCAGAAAGAGAGAGAAGTGGGTTGAGGAGGAGGAGAGAAAGAAAAGCTGATTTGCTATGATCTTCCTTAATAAATATGTTAGCCAGCTCTTAGCTCCTTACACACTGCCCAGGCTTGTGCCCCGGGGAGGTCAGGGCTGGTTCAGCTGCAGGTCAGCATGGAGACTCAGAGACGAGCAGTAAAGTTGATTTTTTATTCAAGGAAATAGAATACAAACAGAGAAACTTATGGGGCAAGTAAGTTGCCCCAGTAAATCAGTTGCCAGAATTGACCATCTGTGCCTCTCACTTTCCCCTAAGTCTCCTCCCTGTCCAGCTGTTTTCCCTGCAGTCTTAAACTCCAACGGGGAGAGCCCCCCCGTGCAACCTCTGGACTCGTCGTTCTGCTACATGCAAAAGTCTCCAAGTCCTTAGAGACAAGGGGGGAATGGGAGCTGAATACAGTAGGACCAGCAGGCTCCTGTGATCTGTTGCAGCCTCAGCCCCCACTTCCTCAGCTGCCTGTCTTACATCTGCCGTGCTTTCTGCCTCTTCCTCTCTCTCACACAAGCCTGTTGCTTGTTCGGCATCCAACCATTTTGCCCCCCCCCCTTTCATCCACTGTCCTACCACCACTTCCCTGGCTCTGAGCCTTCCTCTTCTGAGGCATTTTTTGGAGGGTGTTCCAGCTGGAGCCTCCCACCACTCCTTACGTCTAGCCCAGTGGTGGCCAAACATGGACCTCCAGCTGTTTTGGGACTACAACTCCCATCATCCCTAGCTAACAGGACCAGTGGTCAGGGATGATGGGAATTGTAGTCCCAAAACAGCTGGAGGGCCAGGTTTGGCCACCACTGGTCTAGCCAGACCCTTATACCTCGGTGCTGCTAACACAGTGGTTGGAGGTGCTCTCCATTGCCTCTCAAGACAGGCAGATACTAACATCTTAGCTCTTGTAGGTACGCTCATCATTCTGTAGTAAGAGTGGCTGTGTGTGTGTGTGTGTGTGTGTGTAGCATCACAGGAAAATTGATGTGAAGACATCTGCAGCGACTCCTCAGGTGTTATGAATATAACATTATTTCTGCTAAATTTGTTCCTCTAGCTTCTTCTCCCGCCCTAAACCTGCACAATTAAGGAGGAGCTTTACAGCACACACACACACACACACACACACACACACCTCTTTATATATCAGAGTTGCTCCAATCACTTGCTTTTTTTCCTTTTCCTCTTTTTAAATTCTAGGATTAAAGAACCACTTCAGGACAGCATAATAGCTACCTACGAAGAACATGAAGACAGTGTCTATGCGGTGGAATGGTCTTCAGCCGACCCATGGCTATTTGCCTCGTTAAGTTATGATGGACGGCTTGTTATTAACAGAGTTCCCAGAGCTCTTAAATACCACATACTGTTATAAATCTGTTCACATTTCTTCAGCTTCATTATCTCAATATTGGCTGATAATTGGAAATACTCCATTTCTCAAATAAGTGTCATGAAAGGAATATCAGTCCTTTTCCCTCTAGTGTAAATATTTGAAAATTAAAAGAACTGCTATGAAAATCACTTTTTTAAAACTGTTTTTTTTGTTTTGCAGCTGACATTACACACACACACAAATGAAGAGACTATTGCTGTCCAATTTCCTTGTATGATCTGTGTTGTCCTATATGAGTTAGTTGAACCCAAAGGAAGCATCTACCTGTATTTTTTTTAATATTTAGGGAAGCAAATGGAATATTGCCAATACACTCACACCAAAGTAAACTATTTCAGTTTCACTTAAGTGTTTCCATAGTGGAGGTTTGTGGTTGAACCAAATCATGTCTTAAAACATTTCTGTCTCTTAAATAGACATAGGCTGTGTTTGCATTTAATACTAAACTTTAGTCAGTACAGTGTGGCTGAGCCATCCGCAGATATGATAGCCTTCTTCAAATATCTCAAGGGCTCCACATGGAAGACGGAGCAAGCTTGTTTTCTCCTGGCTCTGGAGGGTTGGGCTCAAACCACTGGTTTCAAGTTACAAGAAAGGAGATTCCGACTGAACACCAGGAAGAACTTTCTGACAGTAAGAGCTGTTTGACAGTGAAATGGACTCATTATCATCATCAAACCTTTATTGGCATCACATACAAACGTTCAGAATAAATAGGCCAGTGCGATCTCGTCGCCATTTCAACAGTACAGTCATTTGCCAAAGGGAAGAAGAGGCAAGCAATCTATTTCATATCTGTGGGTCTCCAGCAAGGGCAGGATCCTGTATCATACTTCGGTGACAAAAAATCAAATAGAGAAACTTAGCTACTGTCTTGGTGAGCTCCTGGTCTCTCCCCTGTAATAAGAAGCGCATAACCTCTGTCTCTGGTTTCCCTGTTGCAATACATAGATGGTCTAGAAATTGTTGGCGGAGATCATCATACATTTTACATTTAAGGGCCATGTGAGCTAGAGTTTCCACCAGGTGGGCATCGCATGGGCAGATCCTATCTCCTTCTGCCATGGACTCCTTCGGGAGGTTATGGACTCTTCTTCCTTGGAGGTTTTTAAGCAGAGGTTGGATGGCCATCATGGATGCTTTAGTTGAGATTCCTGCATTGCAGGGGGTTGGACTAGATGGCCCTTGGTGTCCCTTCGAACTCTAAGATCCTATGATTCTATGAGCTTCTGTGTTACGTTAATGTGTTTCAGTTATTGCACAACAGGAAGTGCAGGGGCCACAAGGCCTAGGAAATAATTCCACTAGCTTTGGGAAGGGAAGATGAATATGGATCCATAATTCCTGCTGTTGCTATAGTGACAGCTTTGGCTTCTGTTGAAAGGGCCTGCCTATTCCAGACCTTTGTCTCTACACAGCAGCTGGATCGAAGTGTGATTTTTCATGTGTGTATGCTGTTCCCAGTATGTAATGATATTACAAAATTGTATTTGTAGGGCCTGGGAAAAGGGAGGTGGACAGGGAAAGCCCATTAAAAAAGCACACCCCAAAGCTGGATTTTATTCTTGACCGACTAATAAGTACAGATTCATACGGTCTATGGTGGGTATTTTTCTGCCTCTATTTTAATAATTCCTGCACTTCCTGAAAGATTAGCCATCGCCCTTAGAGCTTTCCTTTCAAGGGTTGGTATCACGTCCATTTCATACCTGATGAAGCTGATGCTTCATGTGAGCGGACAGCCAGAGCTCTCCTTGGCTTCAGCAATAAACCTTTGCTAATGAAGAAATGAGTATTGAAATTGTGGGTTTAAAAAAGAAAGTTGGTGAGTTTTATTTTCACTTTAACATACCTAAGCTTTGCACTGTTGAATTGATTTTACCTGTTAAAAGTTATCTGCCGTAGCTAATTTCACTATGGACTCGCATGGAAGGAGTGAGGTACCCTTCATATACTGAAAACAATGTTATAGGTGGATATGGTAATAGGGTTATAGAACTAATTTTCTCATTTGCTGGCAAGAAGCTGGACTGAGGATCCCCCTATGATCAAACAAACCCGTAGAGCCTGGACCCCAGTTTATCACTGTACCTTCAGCTATCCACATGGATAGTAGGCTCAGGAAGCAGATGAAATGCAGTACCTTTACCAGAGCTGCTGCCAGTCCGAGTAGACAGTATTGGGTTTGAGGGACAGATAAGGCAACTTCCTGTGTTGAGTGAAATGGAAGCATGCTGAAATTATGGCATGGGGTTTGTTCAGACATAAATAAATTGTGGTTGCACTAACCATAGTTTAGACTCTTAAACCATGCTTTTTGGTCCAGATTTATAGGCAAAGTATATTTTTTTGTGATTTCCTTCCTCCTCATACCTTCCACGAGAATTTCTGGATGCTAAGTCAGACAGTGGCCTCTAAGGGTTAAGCACCATCCCAAACCATGAGTTCAGATGTATTATCATATGACAATTTAATGAAACCAGTTTTCAAACAGCTTCAGACTCCCAATTTCAAATCCTCATTTGTTGGCCACTGGCAAACCATATTTTGCCAGACGGTGTTGGTTTAGACATTACAACAAACCATAGTTTTGTGTGCTAAAGCATGGTTTGGTGTTGCCCCTTTCCTGCACTAATGGTCTTTTTCATTCTTTGTGCATATATTCCATCCACCTTAAAAAGAAGGCCTCCTTAAGTCTAATATGCCAACTCTTGCAGCTTACTATTCTGTGACTGCTGGTTCATCCTAATAAATTGGGCATCATGTATTGCTGCGTCTTAGGGAAGCATGTGGGTGTTTGATGGGTCAGTGCAGCTGCCTGCAGTTTTGGATTCACCAGGGGGATATGGCTACAGGCTCTCCTTTTGGGTGTGACTGTTGGCGCAAACATTGTGAGCCCTTGCGCTTCGAAACTGACCACTGCGCTACTGCTGCCCCAGCAGTATTCTCTCCAGGATTCCCAAACCCAGTCATAGCATGTGAAGCTTCAGCAATGTTACAGCATCAATGCATCTTCAGACCGTGCCTTGGGACTATTTGCATTTAACAAACTAAGTGTAAAGAAGCAAAGCAGCTTTGAAAATATTGGGAACAGTCATTTGCCGTCAAATGAAAGATAGAAAGGAATAGAATAGTGTTCACTTTTTAAAAACATGCACCCCTCCCCCAGTACGCTAATATTTTGCATTTGGCTTTTGAGATGTTTATTGCATAAATGAGGAATTAAAAGAGGAGCACCATTAGATGGGTGCCATTGAGGGAATTCGGCTTTCGCGTTGGCACTTCAGGCTTTTCCACCCCCTGCACCAGTAAGAAACCTATTATATATAATTACAAGCATAGTGTGATGTTTGTATTCCGTACTATCATATAATGAAATAGAAAGGAAAGGAACCATGTTGTATTTATTTACTTAACTTAGGTTTAGCACTTGATGCAAAGTCTGCCCAAAACTGCATGTCTGCGTGTGCTTTAAAATGATCACTAAGCCTAAACGCTAAAGCTTAAAACTTAACATTTCTCTGTTTACTCCATGGACTTCTATTTCTTTGTGCTTGTTAAGAAACAGAACTTATTTTTGCTCTTAAACATTTAATTAGGAGGTTGTGTGCACACCCAGAAGCAAAAGGTGTTACAATGCAGGGAGGAACATACCTTTCTATGTTATTTGTGCTTGTTAATAAAGCTGACATTTTGGTTAATGAAAATGGGTGTGTTCTGATCTGAAGTGGTGGTGGTGAGGAACCTGGCTGTTAAGGTTAGGGAGGGAAGGAAGGAAGGAAGGAAGGAAGGAAGGAAGGAAGCCCAGTCAGTTCGCAAACTAGCTCTGGAAGTTCAACATATAGCAGGCATGTCTGTCGGGGTCAATCCATGTTGTTTGGTGCTTGGTGTTCATGGTGGATGGCCAGAAGAGGAAGACAGAAGGTTCACGAAGAAGGAAGTCCTGAAAGGAAAGCAAGGTGCCTTGGCGGTGGAAGACTTGCTGGGGTAGCCAAATCACTTGAGTTAGGCTGAAGAGCAGAGCCAGCCCATGACATTTTGGCACCTGAGGCAGATCCCAAAATTGCACTCCCCTCCCTGCCAGGGAAGAAGGGGTGAGGGAAGATCGACATCAGGATCTGTTGACCCTGTCGCCTGAGGGAAGAACATGCCCACCGTGTTGGGGGTGGGGGAGAGAAGAGAGATGCAGTTCAAAACCACAGTTTTCTATCTCTCAGTTTCCATCCATTTAAGCCGCCACTTTTCTCTGTCAGTGTCCTTTCTCTCTCTTTCCCATGCTTCACCCTATACAGTGGTACCTCAGGTTACAGACGCTTCAGGTTACAGACACCGCTAACCCAGAAATAGTACCTCAGGTTAAGAACTTTGCTTCAGGATGAGAACAGAAATCGTGTGGCGGCGGTGGCAGCGGGAGGCCCCATTAACTAAAGTGGTGCTTCAGGTTAAGAACAGTTTCAGATTAAGAACGGACCTCCGGAACGAATGAAGTTCTTAACCCGAGGTACCACTGTACTGCTGTGCAGCCTGCCTTTTCTTTGGCTCCCCTCCCTGACACCATGCGAACCCAGGATGGTGACACAGCACTACAAACCCTCCAGTGGGTGCTGCGTGGTGACAGCCTTACATTTTTATGTACGTTAGAAAATCTAGAAATCACAGCGGCCTAAGACTGTTTTTGCCTTCAGACTCACAAAGTTAAGACACACGAGGAAAAGGGAGGGGGAGGGAGGAGGAAAAGCAAGCTCAAGCAAAAGTTCTGAATGTCACTGGCAGTTCCTCTCCAGAAGTACACACTCCTCATCCCCGATTAAATCTAGGAGCAGAGTTGGTGGCAACATTCATTCCAGGAGGTAGGGCATCTCCTGCCACACAGTTCTTCCTTCAGACAGTGGGCTTGATAGCAGTTAGAACCCTTCTCCCTTCCTTGCTCTGGGCTGGATCTGGCTGTAGACTAACAGTTGCCCAGCCCTGGTCCTCTACAGAAAACGCAGCATTTATCTTTGTTTCGGGTGAAAATGTTGTATATGCCTTACTCTAGCATCTATACTGATGGGCCAGTATAGATGCTTTGGCTGAAAGTTCCTGTGACTCTCCCAAGGCGGTGCTCAGATCTGTTCCTTTTTTG